GACGAGAAAACAGACATTTTATACTAGGAGTTTATGTTCATTAGTTGGTGTGGTAATTTTTTCAAGACATGTATATGTTCACGTGCATCGTCTGTGCATGCGTTTATCTGCAGTTTGTACCCGGGTCACATGATTATGAACAGTAAACATTTGTAATGTAAAGCGGGATAAAATTGTACAACAAATTGCAATTTTAAATTAAGAGCAAATGCAATGCAATTTACGCTTTAGAAAAAGTGTAAATAAAATAAGTATTATATTTGTATTTTTTTGTGAGGTCCCCCTAATACAAAATTCATGGCTACGCCACTGAATTGTATTATTACTTGTCCAATCAGTATTCTTATGGATACAAACATTTTTATTACAAGTAAAATTTAATATTGAATTTATTAATGTTTCTATTTGTTGATAAATAAATGGATTGTAAACTTCAATTTGAATTGGTCAATCATCTAATTCATTATTGTATATTTAAATTTGTTTAATATTTTTGGATTCTGAGTGGAGGTAAAGAAGCTTATGGTTTTACAAAAATGTTTTTTTTTTGTTTTTTATCTGTGCACAACTATTCTACCAGAAATCGTGCCCCGATTTTTAAGTGTAGCACCTCTCATCAATTTTCTCATTGAATGTGAAAAACTGAAAAAAAATGTACGACATATATTAGTAAAATATTAGGATTTTGTTATCTATAGACAACTTTTTTACCATCAATTTTGCTCCGATTTACGATAATAGCTTTTTTTTTTGAAAGAAAATCTTACTGTGAAGGTACTTTAAGGAGGTCATTTTTCGATTTTCCCAAGAGTTTTCCCAGAAAATATGAACAGTCTGGAAAAACTTGGGAAAACGTAGAAAAAACGGAAAAATCAATACAACATTAAACAAATATTATTAAAGAAAATGACAAATATATTGTTCATCACAATCAACTAAACTCCACTCAGAATTATTTTTCGTAAGCACGAACTTACGGGTACAGATAAAATTACCTATAACAGCGGCTGCACCCGTCCTAGGACAGCTTTTTTTTCTTTCTTTTTTGCATTCTTTTGATTAATTGGCGATTGAAACAGAGTTTAAGTATTAAACTCATTATCTGTTTCATTTACCACTAGTTATTTTACATATGACCAATGTCCATAATATTACGTTTAAGGGCCTCTTAACAAATTTTTGTAAAATTGCATACCACTTCTAAATAACAAAGAAAATTGGAATCAGAATTATCACTTGTTTATGTTGAAAGTACCTTTGTTTTCGAAGAAGATTCTTCAGAATTTTTAAATGTCTGTAATATTATTTAAATGGCTTCATGACGAATTAAATCATGTAGACCTTGCCGGATATAATATGGAAGAAGTCAAGAAGGTAATAAATGTTTTCAAATCATACCTACTTCTATAAAATAAAAAAAAAAGAACAAAAATATATAGTATGTAATTAGTATTGGATGGTAATAATTTAAAAAACAATAAACATTTAAAAAAAGAATTTAAATAATTTGAATTATTTTTTATATTGTTTTGTTTTTTTCTAAATTTTGTAAAGCAAGAGAACTTCCATCAAAATTATCTGAATTGGATTTATCATCCCGTAATTTTGATGATTATGAATTACCAAATGAGATACCGATTTATTTTTTTTACAGAAAACATTGATAAACAACTATAGCCCCACATTGCGCGTGAAGTTATATGGGCGCCAAAAGTAAAAACTAAAGTATATCGATGAAGAGTTACCCCAATTTAAATCTATATTAAACTATATAGCTGACCCAAATGGACCACCTGGTGAGTTGCAGTATATTGGATGTCTTCGTACTCCCAAGGATCAAAGAACAGAATTCGCATCAATGAATGATAAAATTATAAAATAGCAATCAATTTAATATATACAACCAATATAATATATGGTCAAGATGGCATTGAGATAAATGGTTTCTACTACATTCTTTTCTAAACAGTAATATTTAATTATACTGTAATTATACCCTTCAATATATAATAATTGTGTTTGTTTATTGGTCATACATAGGGCCAGCAGTAGGCACAATCAACACCGACCTATGTCTGAAGGGTCATTTTATTTGTATGAGAAGGACTATATTTATTAAAAATTGGTCCCTAGACTAGCGTTAAAACCTCAAACTCGTTTTTAAAATACTGCTGAGCAAAAAAAAATTAACATTTTGTAAATAATAGCTGATATCCGACGATTGACTAAATTTATCCTCGGTAGAAACGATATACTTATAAGTACAATACACTGAAACTAAAATTAATATTAATAAAACGTATATTAAAAAATTATAATGTACAACTATAATATAAACTATGTAGGTATATTTTTTTAACTAGAATTAATAACATTTTAAATGTAGATTTTATGTGATATATTTACTGTGGAGTATAGGAACGTCAACAGTAGTTGATCTTTATTATCTACTAAAATATTAAATTATTATAATATTTGATTTTCACATTGATAATTATTATAGGTATGTAGTAGCTGTATAATACATTAAGTTTGTATTCTATTATACTTAATTTCAATAATATTATTATTTGTTCTTCGTTGTCGTTTTTTCGTGGTCTGAGGCCCTGTTGAATATGTTTACAGTTAGCAGTGGCTGAAAACTTACAGGTACAAATTTAGCATATTGACCATATTTTATATACCTATTATCTTTTATATTTTTATCTTTATTGTTAGTACATAAATTATGTGATGAAAAATTTTGATAATAGTTATTGTTACATTATAATATTAGTGTGTGTGTGTAGTACATATAAATGGTATTTTCATTTTTAATAATTATCGAAATTGCTATCAATGCTTCAATGCTTTCAAAATGTTCTGTGCTTTAAATTAATGAAAGCATATTATTAAATTTATTCGATTTCATGATTGATTAGTAAACGAATGTTTACTGTTTACAAATAATACGTAGGGTAGATTCATGATATTATTATTTATTATAATTTAATCTATTGAATTATAATAATCAATCAAAGTGTAATTAATTTTAACTTTTTCAAACAACGCTCATTTTTTTACGAACATTAATATGATATGATATGGTTAAGTGGTAAATAAAGAGGTACAAAACAAAAAAGCAGCAAATTTTGATTTTGCCTATGTATACATTTTTTCTAAAGCCGATCCTGGTCATCCATGTTTTATAGAAGTGCAATATAATATATATTTAAAATGGACGTCTGGAAATTGACCGACAAGTCAATTTCCAGAACCTATTTTCAGAAAGGTATACAGTGATTGAGCCACTAAAATTTTACATTTATAACAGGTAGACCCGTTGATTGGGCCACTATTTTAAACGATTTTTATTATTGAATCCGTTAATTGGACCACTATATTTTAAATCATTTTATATTTGACAAATCTCAAAGGCAAATCTCTATTTAACACCACTGTTTTAAACCATATTATTATTTTTCCAAGATTACGAATTTAATTTTTTTTTATATTCGTTAAAATCGATTTATGTTGACGGTACTTTTGAATACTGTGCAAAACAATCTGTATCATATTATTTTTAAAAAAATGAATAATTATTTGACTAATTTTATAGTTATTGTATTTTATGTTATGCATTTTAATATATTTAAAATTATATATTTTTGTGTTATACATTTGTAACTCAATATTTGGGTAATAAAATGTACGAAGCAGGTGGACAAAATGTTACCCAATTCTCAACCACCCATTTAAAACATAAGGCATAAAAACGTCCCTTAAGATCTCATTGACTCCGAACGGATTTAACCATTTAGACATCATTCAGTAACTTAATGTAACCCATATAACATAATTTTTAACCTAACCGCATCTGAAAAAGCTAAATTTTAATTCCGTGGGGGCTAACTACATCTTAGCCCCCTCACTTTATCAGATCGACTTCGGACCATTTCAAACATAATTTTTAAACTCCAAAACTTTTTTTTAAATATTATAACCGACATAAAATAATTTGTAACCTGACTTAACAACTAGATTGAAAATACAACCAAAAAGTACTTTCTAATGGAGCAACATTTGGATGCAACACGATTGTTTAACCTTTTTTTATAACATGTTACGTTCCCACACGTCATATTATATATAAGCATAGATGAACCTATATTGGAAACACAGCATCGCGAGTGGACCCGAATCAAAATATAAAAATATAAACGATAAGACAAATTTATAATTTCAACATAAAATTGCATTAGCCGACCTAAATAAATTAATTCCAGGATATATAATTGTCACAACGGAATAATGTAGATAGCCGCGACTATGAATAACGGATTGCAAGGGTCCCTCCGAGTATATAAACGCCGTCCGAAACATCATCTAGGAAGATGAATCCACCACAATCATATGTGAGCAACTTCGCGTCATTCTGTTTTTTTGTTTTTGGACTTATATTTATTTGTGAATTAATTTGGACTTAGATGTTTTTGAATTGAATTTATTAGACTTGTATTATTTTATGAAAATTATTATCATTGGACTTGTATTTTATTGAAAACATTAATCTATTATTATAACTCAAGTTGGAATTTTTAAATTATTTTAAAATTTTTCTTCCGAGTTTTCATCCTTATGTTGATCACGTTACAAATACAATTGTGAACAATTAATGTCGCTTATCAAACAATTTTACCCGAAAAATGAACGATTACGAACGTTTTTTTAGGCTAAATCGTCAAGTTTAAATAGGGTATATTTTTCAGAATATATTTTATTCTATTGGGGGATTTAACAATAATAAACATTTCAACATTAGAATTACGTTACTAACTAAAATGATACAAATCAAATTATAATGTTCAAAAGGACACAAACAAATCACAAATAATACTGCATGAATACAAATCGAGCTGGTTTTCTATTAAATTAATATAAATTTAGGAATTGGTGGAATTATGAACTAATATATTTATTTAAATATTTTGAAGATAAATCTTGCAGCTAGTGCCGAAAAAATGGGCATCAAAGATGATTTCATATTTACACAGGACAATGATTCCAAACATACTGCAAAAAAAGTTAAGGCTTGGTTGTCGAACAATATAACTGAATATCTTGTGACGCCACCACTTTATTGATGGAATTATGAACCAATATATTTATTTAAATATTTTGAAGACAAATCTTGCAGCTAGTGCCGAAAAAAAGGGCATCAAAGATGATTTCATATTTACACAGGACAATGATCTCAAGCATACTGCAAAAAAAGTTAAGGCTTGGTTGTCGAACAATATAACTGAATATCTTGTGACGCCACCACAGTCTCCAGACATTAATCCTATTGAGAATTTGTGGGATTATTTGGACAGAAAAATTCGAGATTACAATATTTCAAGTAAGGAAACTCTAAAAAAAACTCTAGAAGAGGAATGGAATAAAATTACAGCAGAAACAACACGTCATCTGGTTTATTCAATGTCTAAAAGGTTGGAGGCTATAATAAGGTTCAAAGGCTACCCTACAAAGTACTAAATAGGGCTATACAATAATTTAAAGGCATTTTTTTTGATACAATTCTTTATTATTATTATTTTTTACTATTATATATTTATTATTTTGTTTATTATTGAATATTATTATTAACATAACTGTTGTTATGGTTTTTTTTTAACCCACCACTTATCTACTATTTTAGGGCCTAGGAGCGAAAGTTACAGTCATCTCAGTGGAAAACAAAATTTTCCCCTTGACCAAAAAAAGCTCGCCAAGTGAGATCGAATGTCAAGACAATGCTAATTGTTCTTTTTGATATTGAAGGTATTGTTCATTATGAATTTGTGCCCCATGGACAAACAGTAAATCAAGTATTCTATACAGATGTATTAATAAGTTTGCGAGAAAGAATTCGCAAAAAGCGCCCAGAAAAATGGCAAAGTAGAACCTGGTTTCTTCATCACAACAATACGCCAGCACATTCAACGTTGTCAATTCGTGAATTTTTGGCTGAAAAAAAATACCTGTGGTCCCACACCCTCCCTATTCACCTGATCTAGCCCCGTACGATTTTTTTTCTTATGTGGAGAATAAAATATGCGCTTAAAGGACAACGATTTCAAGACCTAGAGGAAATTAAAGCAAATACGGCAACAGAACTCAAAGCTATAATTTAGAACAACTTCAAAGGATTTTCGAAAAATGGCAAGATCGCTGGATCTACTGCATATTGTCTGAAGGAGAGTATTTTGAAGGCGATATCTTTAAATAATATGTAACTGTAATAATATGTAGGCGATTTTTGCGTATCATCATATTTACTTACTTTCAATTTCTTTGCTTTTGGTCGTCCTATTTTACTTTTTGCTGGACGTTAGCCACCATCTTTCTTCATCAGTGACACTCCTGTCAGGCAGACTAATCCTCAAGATGAACTCAGAGCTGATGGCGTCCAATTCACGGTCAATGATTTCATAAATAACACATGGATTCTGCGATGAACGCTATCATTAGGTGATAATCGTGTTTTAATGCTTCTAGAATGATTTCCAATATTAAGTACCTATCTGTACATAAGTAATATAATATAATCTATATGGCTACTTCTTACTTATTTCATATTATGCATAATTTTCTATACAGAATTAATATAAAACACTACGTTTGGTTATGTAAATTGTAGTTTTACTGCAGTTATACCTTATACATATAATATTGGCTATTTGCCCGGTTTTTCTCATTTGCTGGGAAAACTCTTGGAAAAATCGAAAAATATTCTCCACAAAGTATCTTCCCAGTGAGATTTTCTTTTGAAAAGAGTGCTATCATTTTAAACCAGAACAAAATTACTAGTAGAAAAGTTGTCCACGGAAAAAAAATCATAATATTTTACCAATATAATTCTTACATATTCTCGTTTTTTCTCATTTTTTTCTTTTTATTGGGAAAAATGCCGGGAAAATCAAAAAATTACCCCGAAAAAATTTCCTTTCAAAAAAGCGTCCACATCGCATACGCCGGAGTATGCATTCTGGTTGTAAAAGTATTTACACATCCCCCCTCCCAAAAAAAAAAATAAACATCTTTTTAAAATCAATACATTCTTCGCTATTCTCAGAATCTAAAACGTTGTTGAATTTATCATTTTGTACTTTATTAGTTACGTCTTCCGTAAACTGTATTTAAACTAATATTGATCATAATTTTCCGCGGGAAATTGCTCATTTTACCCATGACATCTCCACTACTTTATGCACTTTATATACGCTTGTAGTTCTCGGCATTTCGTTGGTTGTTGACAATATAATATTACGCGCATACTGCTTAGCAAAAAAACGTATTTATAATAATCATATAAATGTTATAAATAATAAATATCGCGAATTAATCGTAATTATTATCGATCGACTTTTCTTTTTTTTTTTTAACATTTGTAATGTACACACGAAAATAAGGGAGCGGTGTTTCAATCGAAAAGGCGTTAATCGATCCGTGTTATAGCCACTCTGTGTTTTAACCGAACTGTAACTGAACCGATTCCATAATCCTTTCCAATACATCGTTTGATTTGTTAAAAATAATAATAAACGTGAGTTCGGATCGAACACGAAGTGAAATCATATTTTGTCATATTTTGTTTAGCCGTGACGTGCACTCGCAATCAGGTTCAGTTCACGCCCTTCCTTTATTATACGACTCGCTACCTACCTATTATTATTGCGTTCCCCTCCGCGATGACGCCTCGATCGTCTTTCCCGCTCGTATAATTACTTTATATTATTTATTATACGACTTCCGTTTATCGAAAATGTGAAACGGTAAATTGCGAATGAAATAAAAATACAACGACAACAATACTAAATACATAAAAATATAGGTATAGTATGTACCTATTATATACTATATACATACATTAAAACGACTTGATGCGCGCGGCAGCATCAGCGCGGACCGGTTGCCGGCGGTCAGCGCGCGGTGTGCGTAAACGTTTGCACGTCGTCGGCGACCGCGGTCGTGTTGTGTGATGGTCGAAAGACCGTAAATCCGTGGCGCACCGATCGCGACTTCCATACAGCATCGTCGTCGTCAGCCGCGACTTCGCGGACCGACATCGAACGTCTCGTACGGGAACAAGATATTCCGCGACACACGTACGTCCGTCCCGGAGATGGCGACTCTGATTTTCCGCTGCCACCGTCACCGCGTTCCGGGTAAGTCGAGACGAGTTTTTTTTTTTTTTTTCTTGTACATTATATAGGTTTTTTACTTGTAGAATATACCGTATCGTACCGTTAAAGACCGTCTATTCGTCTGCACCGTGCATACATATTATATAAGTGCATTGTGCGTTTGTGCACGCATACGACTTTTACGTATACAGGTACTTAGTACGCGTGTACCGGATAATACATATTATTATTATTATTAACGAGTATTACCTCCGCGATTATTTTGCATATTTTAAGTGGCGTTTTTTTTTTTTTTTCATTGCACCAAACAAATGTGTTTTTAACAAATGTAACTATTGTATCTCCGAACACTTCGAGTGTTTTTCATTTTTTATTGTTTTTTGTTGTATAGGTCAATTTTGACGGATCAAAATTGTCAAAAGCAAATTAATAGCAATACTAAGTGGTACTTACGGAGACGTGTTCAATATTTTAATATAATCAAGATTAAAACAATGAATAGCATAATATATAGAGTTCGAATTATGTAACAATATTGGTTTAAACAATTTATTGGTGAGTTTATTGACATTTATAATTATTTTCGATTTTATTTTTTTGTTGAATTCGATTAAAAATAGGTTTGGAGGTCTGATATTATTTCAGAACACTTATATTATTATTATCTAAAAGTGATAAAAGTTTTACATTCTGGCATTTTTCAGTTATTTATTATTTACATTTGATATTTTCGAGGTTTTTAAATTGTTTATTATGTGGATGAAATTGTTTAGCACGAGGTTCGTTATTAATTTATAAATTATACTTAGTGATTAAAAATTTGTATACTTTTTTTGGCGTAATGTAGCATTTTTTTCTATAAGAGTTTTAAGATTAAATTTTGACAAAATTCATAAAAGTTATGGTATTTCGAAACATGTATAACTAAATTCCTAAACATATGTTTACTAACCTTAAATCTAAAAACCTATTGGCAAACATTTTAAATCTCTATGTAGGATTTTAACTTCCGAAACAACCAAAATCAATTTTGTTAATAACTAGTAACTATACGATATTTTATTTGAATATATTTCGTTAGTATTTAGAATTTCTACAACTTTTTGAACAATTTGTAACATCTGTGTTTTATATTTTTAATTTAAAGATAGGTACACGAAATTTTTGGAACACTTCTTTAATTTTAAGAAAAAATAGATCACTTTTGTGCAACAGACGTCCATATTAACTAAAAATAAAACCCTTTTTGGGAATATATCTAATTGATTTAATTAAAACTATTTACCTATTACATATGTACATACATATATATATTATAGTGGTTCACGATTATATGTAAAAAAAAAGTTGACTTATAATCCTAAGCACTGTCTTATTTTTTTAGACATATCTATAGTATCATTTTCCGAAAATGTTGACTTTCAATTTCGCTTGTAAGTCAGAAGGACCCTACCATACTTTTCTTTTGATTTAATTCGTTTTCAAATGGCGTAATTTTGTCATGTTTGTGGGGGGAGGGGGTGATTAAATGTTTGTACATGTATTTTATTTAAGTGGATCGAAAAAAAGATATATTTTTAGTGAATCAAAATTAACTCAATAGTTTTCGTTTCCAATTTTATACTTATTATATACCAAGTTATTTTATATTTTGTTCGATGGCCGATGACTTATCCTTTTTTTTATTGATTTTATGAATAATTAACCTTCATTTTTGTTCGATTTTTGATGCCGATCAAATTTGATTTATAATATAATCTAAAAGAATATACAATAAAAAAACAAAAACAAAATAAAAAACAATTGCTAATATACACCTATACTTATTTCTACATGGGCACCATCCATATTAATTTAGTTAACTACACGCGTTTATTTCTTCGTTTTCTTATTTTAAATTTCTGGAGGTTAAAGTATGAAAATTAAAGCAAATAAAATCATAATTTTAATGAAATAAAAATAAATTATATCCAACTATTGAAGTAACAAAGACCCATTTAACAGAAATATTATTGTCTAGACATCTTGTGTGCGATTTTCTAGGCCAATTTGATTTGTTTTGTTTTTTTTTCATTCGTTATATGAAATTGTTCTATCTTTATTTTAATGGGTACTGCTTTCAATTGTTTACCTTTATTCTCTTTTATACCCGAAATGAGTAATTTTTGATTTTTAAAACAACCCCCCTCTATTACAATAGAATGAAAAATAGCTTTCTTCATATTTTTATAAACATGATATAAATATTTAATTTATCGTTTGTAAGTTATAACTTGATAATTTAGAATATAACCAGAAGAGTAGAGAAACGTAATAAAACTAAAATTTGATCAAAACAATAATTATTTTAATCAGCCATATAGCATTCACCATGAAATTTTCGTTAAAAATACATAAACGCCTGCCAAAAATTGATCGATGAAAATTAAATATGATTACTGGTTATGAATGTAAACATATTTTCATTTTTTAAATCGAACTATTTCTTTAAATGGGTATCAGTTAGTATATTAGTGGAAAAGTCTCATAATTAAGATGGTCATTCAAATGCAAAAAAAAAATTCTACTTTTACAAAATTAAAGAACATTTTGAAAATCGACTCTAAAATAAGAAAAAGATAAAACTGAAAAAATCGAAGATAATAAAACTTTTATTGACGTAAATTTGTTCGTTTTGCCTACACATTTATTTCTAGAATTATTAAGAAAACTACTTGAAAAATCAAAAAATAACCTCCACTATGCACTAACTATATTTAAAATGCTTTGAAAAAGCTCTCCTGTAGTTTTTTGATTAGAGAAATATTTCTGATAGAAAATTTGATGATGGACGGAAAAAAAATAAATCAGCATTCAGAATAGTAAATAACTTATACATTCCTTTTTCCACTTACAGTGCAAAACATGTGATTCTATAATCATAATAATTAGGTAAAATTCATGATAACTGTGATAAAATGTCTGTGTTTTATATTAGTTGGTTGTATCATCATTAATCGTGAGAGTAGGTCTTTCAATTTAATTTTCATCAACCCCCTAAAAAGCTGTTGATGGTTGTTAATATTAATATAAATATGTTAATATGTTAATATGAACGGTTGGAATACAAATCTAAAAAAAAAGGACGGACATACTTCGCACGTAAGTGCAGCCACTTTTGTAGGTGAGAAATTGGAGTGGTAGGATACAGACGGGAATTTAATTTATATTTGTAAGCAACGATAAACCATTGCTAACGAAAAAAACGATTCTGAGCGGTGTTCAATTGATAACGTTGCTTTTTCAACAATATAGTATATGGTATACGTCATATTATGGTAAAATGATTACAACGATATGTGTTTCCATGACAACAATGATTGCTTGTAAAAGATTTTTAAAATAATAAACACTTAATAATAACCATAAATTAATAAAAGCGGTTGCCAATGACAACCTTTTTTTTTAATTTTTAATCTTCTGTAACCTAAAGAACCATGTTTTTCTCATCATCTCGAATATTAATGGGAATTTCAAAAAATCACCTCTTTAAAGTACCACCCAGAAAACATTTTTGTCAGAAAAAGTGCCATACGTGATAATCGGATTAAGCTGTCTGGTAGAAAAAGTGTTCACATAAAAAAAAAAAAAAAAAAAAAAAATAAACATTGTAATTTTAAAAAAATCATATTTTTCGTCTTTTTTTTGGTTTTCTCAATTATTATGAAAAATACTTAAGATATCAAAAAATTACTCTCTGTAAAGATGGCTATGTATAAAAAGAAACAAAATCGATATCTTCTAATTTTTCGATTGGAGTGATATTTCTGGTAGAAAACACAAATTGCAAAAATTTGAAACAATGAAAACGGTAACGCCGCGACGCGCCGTAATTATAACCGTAATACGAGAATATACGTAAACCGTTTATTTTTAACTGTTCGAGGAAGTGACTAATTATATAGGTACCTTTATAGTAATATTTTATGTTTCTATATTATTAGGTATGGCTTTTTAATAATACGCGAGGGAAAATCGGGTCTCCGTCTCTTTTATTTAGGTACCTAACCAATGTACTATGTATACTATAATTGCAGTATAAATGGTATTTATAGAAACAGGAAAAAAAAAACTGTATCAAAACTAACGTCTTCGTGCACACATAAATCATATAATTGTAAATAGTTAAAATATCACATTGTCCGTGGCCGCTGATGATCATATTTAATTATAATATTTAAATGTACTATATACTCGTAATCCGTTTAGTATAAGGTCCGCGTACGGAATGTCGTTAAAAAAAAACAAGCGCGACGATATAACATGAAGACCGAGAGGGAGTCGTATTATTTCCGCGAGTTAAAACATTAACTATAATATGGCGTAGACTGCAACGTTATTAAAATATGCGTATAATCGTATATTTAAAATTATTTTATTATAAACCCCAGTGACCCACATTGGAATCATTTGGACCATTAAAAAAAAAAAAGTTTACTATATATATATATATTCAACTGTAGTATAACTATATAAACGTGTATAGTTTATACCTATACCTAAAAATAATAATAATGTATACGACGACGACTCGTCCCGAAATCTAGTGGTTCTTATAATAACGAGGTTACCTAGAATACAACGTGTATAATGTTCCGTATGAGTGTATTTTTTCTTTTCTTTTTTTTTTCTTTAAAAACAACCTTCGGTTTAAACGGGCGCGCGTGCTCGGGCATTAATATAATATGTATTGTCATTGCTCTCGAGGTGTGGGTACCGTTAGATAGTCTTCTCGTCTTAGCTATGTTCAGCCTCAGTGTACATGTCACTATATTATTACACACATGGTAATCCGGTACATAATAATAATATGTGCGGTAGGTTAGGTAGGTATACACACACACAAGCACACAACGAAACGATTGATGGCAAACACACGTGTGTATGATTGTACGTGATACGTTTATTGTTATGATTTTTTTACTCGTCGATTTATACGGGCGAGTATTGTGCAGCCTGTAGGATATAACAGTTGTTTTAGTTTTCAACTGTAAGTTATAATCCTAGCTGTATATAGTTACACATTATTATAATGCAGCGGTACTCAGCCGGTGGTACGAGGAAAGTTTATTACGTACGCAAAAGAAATATAGGTTTTATAGAAAACATTCCAATTATTACTAGAATATTGATTTACTAGTTGTGCAGCAATTGCTTATTTTTCTAAATTATTGTGCAATTTTGAAGATCTTAATTTAGAACTAGTATTCATACCAACGTCCTACGTATAATAACGTATGCGTTTTCGATATGCAGAAAAAAAGCTATTAGATAATACGTGAAAATTTTCAAAATCAGGTGGTACTCGGATATTATACAAAAGTTAAACGAACCGCTGAGCTGTATCATTTAGGTACATGACCGAAAAAAGTTGTATCGAATTGATTGTATTAAAATATAGTCAATATAGGTATACATAGTCATATACAATGTATAACCAAATAATCGTGATACCTATTTTGGGATTTCGATATGAAAACCAAATTATCCGAAAATTATTTGGGTAAGTAGATGATTTTTTCTTATAGCTCTAAGTAAAAACTTAAAACACTGTAAACACGAACGGCAGAGCATCATGCATGCAACCACAATTTACGAAAATCGTCACTGTACCATGACTTTATTTTATTAATAATAAGTGAAGTCTCCGTGATGGCAGATGATCCCGGTCAAAGTCTGCAGAAGTTGATGAGGTTTAATCTCTTTTCGACCAATTCATCCGCATTTTATGGTGAATTACTTGACATAATTATATCGTGTTCACTGCATGCGTCGATTCACAGGCCTTTATACATTCATTCTGTTTATTTTCAATGTCACTCCGCGCAAACATTCGGATATTCAACAAGTAGTCATCGTATATATAGCTTATTAACCTATAAAAAAAAAATATACATACGGACACGGATAAGAAAATAAGGCTATAAATTATGCATTGGTAATTTGCGGTATGTTTTAGCTCTCGTTTGAGTTCTTTGTCTCATTTTTTTTATATTCAGAACGTAGTGAAAGGGTTTTATTGGCATTACTGTGTGTGTTTTATTTTTATTTTAGATTAGGAACATAGCAAGGGATCTGCTGGTTTAACTATGATATGTGTGTATGTGTTTTTTCCTTTCTGTAAACAATATTTTGTAAGAAATATTGATCTGATATATAGAGTAAAGTACTTTTTCTGAAAGGAAATTTTTTCTAGTTTATGCAATGGAGAGGTTATTTTTTGATTTTTTAAGAGTTTTATAATAATGGAAAAATCTCGAAAGAGAATTATAGATAAAACGGCAAATATTTACGGCACGCCACGATGTTACTGATATCTTTGTTTTTAATTTTTATGACTTATGTTTTCTATTAGAAATATTGCTCTAAAAGAAAAGCGAAAACAGACTTTTCTTGTTGCATTTTTAGTGTAGTTGGTGAGTAAGAAAGTTTTTGTTTGATTTTCTTTGTAGGTCTTTTTTAATAATTGAGCAAAACCAAAAAAGACGTAGAAAGAACGGGACAACTTCGAAAAATAATATTATTTTTAATATTTTAAATTTTTTATTTTTATAGTAATTCAGTTAAAAATATTCGTAGAAACTTGAAATTTGGACAAAACACTTATATTTTTATTTTAAGACGTGATAAAGTTTTCAAAACAATTGAACCATTTTTGATTAATTATGTAATTTACAGACATTTTAATTTTACTTGTCTTTTTACATAATTTTTATTAGTGTACCTAACACTATGGATAAAATTGTTAAACTAAACAGAAATGATTGAAAATTCGACAGAAGATTCATTGTAAGTCGTACTAAGTGGTAAAAAAAATTGAATGTAAAGAATTATTTTTTTTTAAAAAAGTTTTAAAATCAAATTTTTACGAAAATCGTAAATATTACGGCCTTTGAAAACATGTATACCTAACCGAACTTCACTCCTAATCGTTGTTCGTTAGCAATGGTTTATCGTTGTTTACAGGTATAATTTAGATAACTTTATGTAACCTACCTTCCCGACTTTTTACATACAACAGTGGACAGTGGCGTACCCGTCCCAACTACCTGCACCTTTTTTAATAATTCTCGTTGTTTTACGTTCGTGAACACGTTTATTAAACCATTTTGTATTTTCGATATTATTCTTCATAGTATGTAATTCGTTTTAAAATTTTAAAACAGTTGATATCATTCACGGGTAAGCCAATGTTATGTGTGGGTATAGTTGTGAAGGTAGGATATACATTATAAAGGGTAATTTAGTTTATAATGTATTCGAAAATAAATTATTTTAAACGAAAAAACGATTCTGAACGGAATATAGTATCAGTTGTAGTTTCGCCTCTTTTTCTGTGGTAACTCGGAAATCAACAAAGAAAAAGACTTAGAAGGTGAACAAGTGATTTAAATAAACTACCATGGATAGAAATTCTGCATCTGTTAAGGAAAAAAAGAGTATTTTTACTATCCGTGTTTACCGAGAAAAAAAAACCCATGTTAAAAATCAATAAGTTTCTTCATTATACCTATTTTGAGTTTAAAAAAATATAATTTAGCAATTTATTTGAGTAAATTTTAACAACACAATACTACGAAATTTGTTGATAAAATACCACATACCTATTGTTATATTATTTATATTTATAATGTATTCTCGTTTCTTCTGTTCTTCTATCGACATTTTTTTTTGTAATAGTTCGGGTTTAAATTTACTAACACATTTTTGAGCTCGTATACATAACATGTATTTATTATTTCTTAACTCGAATAGTGATATATTAAAGACCCTATAGCGAAGTGTCTACTTTCAATCGGGTCTTCCATCATTAGAATATTAGATCCTTATAGAGTTAAAGCTCAATTTACGATTAGACTAGAGCCGGGTATCCGGTTTTCGGTTTTTACAGAACTGGGAAGTAAAGCTATATAATAATATATTAATTGGTGATTGTATTTTACAACGTTATAAATGACGTATGCAAACCAGAAACACGTGCTCGTAAAGTATATTAATGTAGGTATACTTTTATTACATATGGTATTCTGAAGACTTAAATAATGTGTACGTCGTTTGATAAAACGAGGTTATGAGATATTTTATATTCAATCATTTTCTCACCAACTAACAACACAATCATTATAATAACAATAATTACGGAATGTTTAGTGTTTGTATTTCTTTCCATTCAATTATGACGTAGTTATAGTAGTGTTTTTTTGTTGTATAACTCGCGAAAGTTATAAATTACTGTAAAAGTATAATTATTACTGTATAAATACTGCAGTAATTTAACGATTTATGATTTGAGCTTTTATGTCGAATCGGACCAATAACAACAAGTTAATATACATGGGTAGAGTACTTCAGAGAAGAGTATTTATTTTTTGTTTTTTTGTTTTTTAGAATATGTTTTGGAAGTTTCGATTTATTTAAAACTACGTACAATACTTGTGCATGATGGGCCCCAGATGAGATCAAAACGGTCGATGTTAGGTCATTTTTTCTTTTATTTAAGTTTTTCCTCAACGAAATGGATCCAATGGACGTCAGATACCCGTCCACAGATTTCGTCCACATGATTAATTATACCCACTAGAATAAATGGTAAATAATTATAGATTTTGATATCGGGTCTTTCCTCCACATAATATTTTAGTGGACATTTTTTTTATGATGCAGTGATATATGTTCACCCTGGTCGACTTAACTATTTTTTTGTTTTTGTTTTTATCTCCCAGACATTATTATGAGCATTAAGCGGACAGCGGGGTGCGGCGTATTTTTTTTTTTTTAACAATTTTTCTTCGTAAATGCAAAACGGGAGACGACGAAATACGCAGTGAAGTGATAAAATAATAATAATAATATTAAACAATAATGCACCGCTATCTCACTATATACTCGTAATGTTATATAGTCGCATCGCCAGCCGCACGGTCCATTTACACGGGTACCCATCCATATATTACATTATTATTATAATATTATACAGATACGCATAAATGTCCTACACCATGTACTCATCACGGTAAATTAGTTCGATTTTCCCGCAGAGATCGCTGACGACGACGGTCAACAGTAATAATATTACGACGATAATAATAATACTAATATGTTTTTCGAACGTATATTATTATGTATAGGTATAAAAAAAAAAGACAAATTCATTTCACGAATGACCGTTCTTATATAAACGGCCGTATCATTCTACATTATATCGCGTTGGTTTTATGTATAAGTAGTAGGTATATTGTAGGTGCCTATATATTATTATAAGATGCTCTTCTCCAGCAAAAAAACGAACGAGAAGAAAAACATAAAAACGGAAGCCCCCCAAAAAAAAAAAAAAACAACTAACAACCGTTCGTTATGATTTTTTTTTTTTTACAACATATCTTATATATCTATTATACAAATATATACCTACATATAAATATGTATATCAATAACACGTAACTTTGTATCTATACACACACACACTCGCGCGTGCGAATATATTATTATGTTGAACGGACAGGGCCGTGAAAAATGTCCAATATACTTCTATCGGTATACAACGGAATTTTGTTTTTTTCGACACTCAATAAGACACACAGTGATGCGTTTACATTGTGAACTAAATAAATTGACTAATATTTATATGATGTTCACATATGTTGCGATGGTGACGTGATGTGGAAACGTCGAATTTATAATTTACTCGGATCTATAATAATGTGTAGTATGTACGTAGAGTATACATTTTGTAAACTTGATAACTTAATATATACCTTTAGCATTATATCGTTTTATAAATGACAGTAAAATTATACGTCAAGAAAAAGAGGTAGGTTTCTATGAGAAATACGGGTAAATAATAAATATATTATACAGTTGCAGGCTTTTGAAATATGATACCTATTGTATAGTTTTATGATTACTTATTAAATGACATCGTATACGATATTTTAATTTTCAAGTGCATTTTAAACTATTGATTTTTTGAGAAAAATGTTTGATTTCAAACGTATACTCGATGGTAACGTATTACGACGACCGCATTACATTAATACGTCTAAAAATTCAAAATTTCAATTGACACATTTCTATTGTTACGATACAAGCAATAATAATGGTATTAAAAATGTTATGGTTACTATATAACTCGCGGAATATACGTAAAAGTATTCAAATTTACTAAGATAATATTTAGATGACTTATTTAAATGTGTAGGTATAGGTATTATACTATAATATATATAAATAGGTATTTTAACCTTTTGAAAATGAACAAAAGTTTAGATGTATATTTAAAAAAAACCGTGGTTGAATTGTTATAATCAAGCATACAATTATATTTTATAAAATTCGAATCAAAATTTAAATTTTATTAACAAAACTCCGAGATAGGAAAATTCGTAATATTTGTATATATAAATAATGTATAGCAGTAAAAAAAAACCTATTATTTCCGGTAAATCTTTAAATATGTGTATTTATAACGGTTTTTTTTTTCAACAAAAATAATAACAATAATATAGTATATATATTATATTTATTATCATTTCGATCACGTCCAATCGTTTGCCAGCCACTGCTGAATACATCTCGTTTGTAGACGTGATACGCGGTACCTATGTCATTATTTCCAGATCCATATTGACGGTCACCTACTGTAAACTCGTAAAAAACGTTGAAGAATCTATTTATTTTTTTACCTTTATACTTGTCATTATTATAATAACACAAAATATTTAACGTTTTATATTTTAAATTCACTACTGGTTATTGTTTAACCACAAGGCTATGTTAGGTTAGGTTAGGATTTTCTACGATTTGCTTGAATCATTGAAATCAAAAAAATATCGATAATTATAGTTGGTTTTTATTTAGTTATAATTCGCTGCAAAAATATTTCATGTTTCGATTTCATATTAAAAACTAGTGGTGGGCACTTCCGAACAATTTATAATTTCATACTATCGATAGTTTTCGATCATTTGAACAAACTATTAAACGTCGAAATGTTTCATTGGAATATTTTTTTTTGCATGGCCGAATAAAAACTATCGAACTACTAATATAAAATTATTTGAATCATTTTCAATATTGATATTAATATTAACAACGTTTTAATTATAGAAATCGTGATTTTTTCGTATGAAATATAGTGTGTGTAAGTAAGTAAAACAAAGACGCGGATGTGGTCAACGTGATGTCCTCTAAATAGCTAAACATTTTATGAGAAAATTAATTCGAAAATATTATTTCATTTATTCTTCAAACCTGATCAGACTTTCTAAAAAAACTTATTCATTTTCATGTTAGCCCAATTATTAGTTTATTGCCAGAATTACAATAACAATTGTGATTATAGCTAGAATAATATGTATAATTTTTAATTATTTGACGCTGTAATACGACTGCAATGCGTAATGCAACTATTATGTATGCCTACAAATAATGTGTCCTAAAATAAAACTATGTTTCTTGATATATTTAGCAGTACCCTACAGACTGCAGTACTAAATTAAATGTTTTCGGATTAGTGACCGGACTAGGTAGTATATTATAATTACCTACTCTAAAATTAAGAATTTATTGGATGCAGTATAAGTAATAAACTGTCTGGCTAAAAAACGAAAAATGTTTAATACTCACGAAAGAATCAAAATAGTTACAATAATACCTATGTACCTAGTTCACTGTTCACTATTTGCGTATAAATTATATCTTCCATATATAGATAGTAATTTATCTTATACTTTATACACCTAAAATTCTTATTTATACATTTCATATTTTTATCACCATGTCATTATTTATTTATTTATTTATTTCTTAGGCACCTTCACACAAGATAACATTATTATATATGTCATGATTATATGATAGGTACGAAATTATAATAACTTACCATCAACAGGAATTAAATATGATAAGCTATCGTAAACATTTCGCAAAGCTCATAAACCAATAAAAATGTATTTTTCATATTTTATTTTATAGTCATGATGTTCATCACACAAATACGGTTTGCGGTTTTTTTATTATAAAAAAATGCTAGAATCAGCATCACTAACTAAATGCAATCTGCGTATGCATATTATTAGAATACCCCCATCATATAAACTTAATGATGTGCTCAACAATATTCGTTTAGAAAGGGATCCGAATGGTGTCAGAAGTACTTTTTTTAAAAACATTATGGAACACACATTTACTTATGATTGATATACTTAAATCATTTTTATATTTGTATCAATATTTTAAGACATTAACCATCAATGTAGCTATTCGAAATAATTATACAGTTCTTTGTCCCAATCAAAAGAAAAAATTTGTTTATTTCAACCGAATTTCCGAGTACAAATGAATTTCCGTGTACCTATACCTATAAGTCATAAGTTAGGTTACCATTTACACGGTTTAAGCAAAAATTTGATTTGATGTGGTGTGGTATAATCATATTAGTGGCGTGACAGATAGAGTAACAAATTAAAAAGTTTTAAGAAGAAAATTTGGTTAAATTCTAAAAAATATAAGGAATAATAATAATTATCATAATTATTGAAGTTGATTACTAAAGGATACATACATAGAAGGTAAAATTAGAAGAGGAAAAATAATGATCAAATATTTTCATAAGTTCTTTAGGAAACGAGAATGAAAAGTTTCTATGAGTTGAAAGAATTGAGTTTTGACTGAAAATATGGAGAGCTGTATCCAACCAATCGAATGATCGAAAGCTAGAAGAGAAACAAAGATAATAAACATTGGAGGTATCGACAAATAGTTTTTTTGTCCGCCCAAAGTTTGAAAAAAAAACAACATAAATGCAATAATAATATTATTCATTACCATTTTTACAACGACTGTTGGCTCAACTTAATACATATAAAATGTTACTCATTGTACCTATATAATATGGTAGATTTTTTTTTGAATCAAAGTATGCTTTATACCTAAACAAAAACAACTGGGTCTAAAACAAATATTTATTTTAACATTAATATAGGTACGATTAGTATGTTACCTATTCAATTTTATGCGGTTTATTAATTAAAAACAAAAAAAAAACCCCATTGACTTCTATTACGATTTTAAATTAGTTTCGTGCGAAACCGGCATTGCTTTATAAATTACTTGGATTGTATGGGTACATGATTAATTCGTTCGTAGTCATAGAACCACAAATAATCGATTTCTTGTCCAAATAAAACTTGGCTTTAAAATATTGTTTAAAGGATTTTTTATGAACCGTGAATAAATTAACCTGAGTCATCGTTCATTATTATATCTATCAGCATATTACAAGTGCAAATTATAAGTCGAGTATTTTTAAAGAAATTAATATTGTTTTTTCCGATTTAGCACTACCACACCTATAGATAGCTTATTTTATTTAAATTATATTTATTGATTAATATACTAATATTGTTTGTGCCAAACTCACGAGTTTGAGTATCGGATATTATTTTTCTATATTCATATGACGTCGAACGAAACAAACGTACGAGTCGATTATTTTTATTGGGAAAATGTACTGTAGGGCAATTTATATAATATATTATACACAATTGCAGACTGTAATTAAGGTCAACAATATAATCTCGTATTTTACGTATTATACATCGTGACCGTAACATTTAAAACGTTTATTATGCTTTAGGTTATAAACTAGACATCCGAATAAGACTGTATACGAATTTACATTTTCAAGTCCTCCAATAATAATTATTATTATTACTACACGTTCCTCTTATATAGGTACGGGTTAGATATTATACAGTAGGTATGTACACTGTATATTATTTATAATATCATATTTTGATGGTTTATTTATTTATTAATTTGTTGACTTATTTTTATATCACAACTGGAGTACCTATTTTAAATGTATCGCTTTCGATAAACAATCACAGCTCTATAATATATATTCCATATTATATTGATTAGTGCTGTACCTATACAATTTTTTGAGCATTTTTTCACCTTCAATAAGTGTTTTATGCAAAATAGCACAATCATCGTATATAACGAATACAGTTTCTTCACGTCGATCAAAACCCCACGAAATTGATTAAAGTCGAAACCTTTAAAGATTTTTTATTATTTACGTAACTAGGCATTCTTATTTTATTTTGTTCTTTCAGTAGATAATGGGCTCCTCTGAGCAAACTCGTGTGAGAAGTCATGAAATCTTATCTATTTTAATCACATACTAATAAATAAAATATATATACAAATATAATAAATACATAAAGTACATTTAAATAGAACAGATTAGAATATATTTGACATAACACGTCATAGATACTACAATAATAATATGGGAGCAATTCAAGATGTTATAGATTCATACTTTAAAGTTCAAAACAATGTAATACAATAATACTGAAAAATAGCAAATTAATATTATAGATACGTGTTATATTTAGATAGACTATTTGGTCGGTCCCGAATTAAATTGAATTATCGCCTCACCTATGAAATTCCCGGTACTGATTTATCTAAACAGCATATACAATTTAAAAGGTTTTACTCTGCAAATCGAAATAAAATTATTATCATGTCATATCCGAAAAGAAACATAGAATTTTCTACAATATTATATGTGTGAGGTGATCAATCTATCGTATGACACTCTTTATCTCAGACAACATTAACATTTTCGAAATTTGTTTTAAAGATTATTTGAGAACAAGCTATTCTAAAAAGTTTTAACAACTACATTTTTTGGCACCCTAATTTTTGAGGGTGAAACTACTACCTACTTTTGATTTTCAAATGGCGACTTATGTTTAAAATTCCAAAAATAGATGGAGTAGTGTTAAAATTTGTCAACCCGTTGACGAGATATTCAACTTTTAATTTTGGGTCTTTATGTGGCGGCACAGTGCGTGGAGTTTTAAGAATATACCGAACCAAAATTAAAAGTGTAATATAACGTCAAGAGTTTTACGGAAATTAAAAATTTAAACACCGAAAATTATTTTAACTACTACTGAATCTATTTATGGAATTTTTAATATAGGTTGTCATTTTAAAATCAAAAGTGGATAATACTTTCACCCCCAAAAATTAGGGTGACAAAAAATAACATAAATGTACAATTATAGAGCTGCATGTTTCTAAAATTGTTTAAAAAACAAATGTCGAAAAAAGTTAATACTTTTCGGATAAGGAGCGTCTTATGATAGATTGATCACTCTATATACAATTATTTCTAAGATTGATTGTTAGGTTCCAATTGCAGCGAGGAATATATTGATTTTACAATAATGTTTTTTTTTGTGAACAACTTTTCTACCAGAAATTTTGATTCGATTTTCAGGTGTAGAACTTTTTCTGTTAGAAAATTTCATTGGGTGGTAATTTAGGAGGTGATTTTTTTAATTTGTCAAGAAATTTTCATAATAAATGTGAAAACCGGGAAAAAACGTTAACATGAAAATTTACAAAATATATTATTTTTAATTCGTACATATTGCGGCCTTTAAAAATATGTATAACCGAACTCCGCTCAGAATCGTTTTCCGTTTTCGTGTTTATATGACGGTCTTGCTTAAAACTTGGAAACATTAAAGTATAAAATACACAACATATGTTGTATATACATTATACATAAAAATTAGTGTTACGATAAAATATATTATATATTACGTTATTTTAATATTTTAATTTATACATTAGCAGTAAATGTAATATAATATGTATATGTATATATATGTATATAATATGTACGTAATAATAATATTATTATAGTAGGAAATAACCGAAACAGATTCATCGTTATTAGGCAATTTTTATAAGTGTATGTTAAAATGGGGACTAACGGAGTAAAAAAAAGTAACTGTATACGATACATACACTATTAAATGTTATAAAACAAAGATATTTTCTAGAAAAAAAAAACAATGTTTGTATAAAAAAATGTATTGTTTTATGTTTTTTTAATAAAACAATATATTGCGAATTTAAAAATAAGCATGTTAATTTGTATTCTATACAAATTGTTTGGGTAATAAAATAGTTGAATAGTATTATACCGTAATGAACGTTATTTTTATACGGATTACAATAAATTACTCTACAGGCTAAAATGTACGTATATTTATAAAATATACTTGTTTCTATGAATAAAAAAAATAATTTCAAGTATTTAATGCATAAAATGCAACAAAATTATACTTCTAAAAGCGCAATTATATTTTTGAAGAGTCACATTCTAGAAATATTTCGCCATCAAAATGCTAAGTGCATATTTACATATTTGTTACATACAATAAGAAATCTGACATATAGGTATTATTAAAAAATTGAAAATAAAGCGAATGTAATTTTTTTGTTATTTATTTATTGTTTATTTAACATTAAGAATGTTGCAAATATTTGAAACAATGTAAAATAAAAACTAGTTATACCTAAATATAATTATAATAATAAAAAATTGTTTAACAGGATAAATGACAAATCTTATTCAAAAATAGAAATTACGATTCTAAAATATCGTATTATATTTTTGTTTTTTTTCCTATTCGTCTGCGAACCATTTAAAATTGGTCTGTTGGTTGCCATTTGGTGAGCTCTGGTATAATATTTAAAAAAGGAAAAAATACCACCCTATTATTTTTTAATTTAATTTAAAATAATAAACATTGAATAACATTATGCGAGTGAGAGTTTAATACGCTATATATTATCTAAAAATTATAATGAGATAAAATAAATTAATAATATTCCGTTAGTAAAAAATATTAACTTATATCATATTAATTAAAATTAATAAAATAAAAACGAATTGTTTCCTATTAACAGTTATGGTAAAGAACGCGTACACTTAACCGCGTTAATATTATGTGAACTGAATATGAACGAATTCAATTTTCAAGAAATAAATTTGAACGTGAACTAAGTTTTTATTTATTATGAACTTGAACGTTTTTGGTTCGTTCATTGACGAATTAACTTTAATAGTCCATAGTCATATTTATAACGTTGAATTTATGTATTCACATTAGAGAAAAAACTCAAGAAAATTTAAATTTCTTGCAAATACTTTTTATTAGGTATCAAAAAAAAACAACTTTCTGTAAAAATAAAATTATAAAATACCGTGTTCCATGGTTGAAATTTATGATAGTTAACCGTTTTACAAATTGATATCAAACAAATACCATTTTATAACATGATGTCACTTAACACTGTATATAATTTAATGGACTTGAATCAGTTCATATTTAATATCTGGAACTTAAATTTGAACTAGTTAATTTTGAAAAGTAACTTTCCCATCACTGCCTATTGATTAATAAGCACTATTTCCTCTCATGTTTACAGTTCAACAGGTATAATATGTTATACACCTACTAAAAAATCATAATATGTAATACTTATTAAAATTTGATTCTGCTAGGTGTAACACTGTCAGTGGCGTAGCCAGAGAGAGTTTTGGGTGTTGTAACTCCCTACACCATTACTTTTTGTTGAGCTTTGGTAATTAAGGTTAACAAGGTTGTAGACCAATTGTTTTAACCCAAAAAAACCATTATATTATTATTTTTTTCATGGGAAAAACCGATTCTTCAAAAAATAATCTTAAAACTTCGATTTTACAATAAAAAAAATAAAACATACGCGAATGTTTAGTGACTTTTAAACAAAATATAAAAATAATTCGGTTGACTAGTAAGTACTATATATTTCACACGACGATATAGTCATTCTACCGATATATACTGTTTTATTATTAGTTGTAAACGATTCAGTTTGAATCACATATTAAGACGGTAAAAAGCATGCAATTTAGATTTCATTATTTATACATACTTATAAAAAATTTGTCTCTCTATAAACAATCGGAGTTCACATGGGAATCAATGACGCGTGAGGCGTACTAAAATAAAAACGATACATTTTTTAATGCGTATTATACCTGTACCGTAAAATCTATAAGATTGGTTAAGTTCATCGGCATTATTTCAATTGTTCCTATCGAGGACAGGATATTATAAAAATATGCTGCATTGTTTACGTATTTGATTATACTGAAAATACTGATTAAATATAAATTTACATAATGTTGAAATTATAACCATTCTCTCTTATATTGAAAATAATTCTGTCTTAATTAGATTTAACATTGAATAATATTATATACAATTTGCATACATTCATATAACATAATTTTTAGATAAAATTACAAAAAAACGACGATGGGGTGGATCGAAACCCCATATCTGTGTATTTATGCACCATTGATGGTAGCTACGTACCTAGATATTACCGAATAACGCACGTCCACTTAAATACCCAAGTTAGCAGTATTCGCTAAATAATTTAAATGATTTTTTCGGGGTTTTTTTTTTTTTCAGAAAGAACATCTCAAAAATATTGAGCCTAAGAGATTCGAAGAAGTATTTTCGCAGTCGATAGACGATGAATAACATGGTGATGCGTACGTGCGGGGATTACGGAGGCGGTTTTATAGACTGTTACGCGCAGAATGGCGGCGGAGGTGGTCATTTTTATGAGAGCGTCAAAAACGGGCTGGAAAGTTTTCGGTTGCGTGATGACTATTCCGCGGGAACGGCAGCGGCGAACGTGACAGCGGCAGACCTATTGCTCAACGACGACACCAGTTCGATAGCGTCAAAAAAACGAATAGACAGCCTGTTCAAGACGACCGCGTCCGTAGCTGGTGACGAAAGTGTAAAACGAACTTCCGGACGCGATGTCGCCACTGCAAACCGACTGACCAAATCGTTGACCGCAGACGATGAACATTACCACGGTGGCGGTGCAGACTATTTCGATTACGGTTACGCCGCCGACAACAATAACAACAAGAACACGGTTCAAGAAAAGATCGAAAAAATGTTCGCCGAAATTAGTTCCTCGGAACTTGACACCGACGTTTCCATGGAATCGGCGGCGACGGTCGGTTGCAACAAGTACCACGTCCAATACATCGGATGCGCCAGTCTTTCAGGAAAAATATCGTCGCTAGAGGGACTTCAGCAGCCGGTTCGAGATATGTATTTCGATTACCGGGAAAACCAACACCTGCAGCATTACCGAGTTGAAAGCCATCACGGCGGGGTGGGCGAAGGTCCAGTAAATAAGGGGCACAACTTCTCAGGACTGCTAGAGATATCGGCGGTCGGTTTAACCATCCGGTACAGGGACGAGGCAGGAGACATGGTGCATCGGATAGATCCGTTTCCTTCGATCGCTGTATGGGCGGCCCTGAAGTACGTGTGCCGCCGACGATCTCCACCGCCGTCGCCGCAGCATCGGAGGTCCAATGCCGCCTGCACTTCCTCTGTAGGTTACGAGTATGCTTTTCTACCGTTGATCGCCGATCCCGACGGTTCGGACAAAGCTCCTTTGTTCCGAGACGTGGACGCCGGCGACCGGGCCAGACTGGACGCAGCTGGTGACCACGCACCCGTATTCGCGGTGGTTACGCGCAAGGCGGGGAAACGGTTGGAGTGTCACGGGTTTGCATGCGAAACAGAAAACGATGCACTAATGATGGCGGCCAACCTGTACGGCGCCCTGGTGGCGGCCATGTCGTCGGCAGCGGCAGGTGCGGTGCAAACGGGAGTGAATAATAATAAGGACGATGCGGACGAACGACGAGCTACATCACCGGTTATGGCCCGACGAGTCATCCGACAGCGCAACGGATTCACGAGTATGAGTAGTACGGCCGGGTCGAGCGTGGGCGGCGGTGACGTGGCACCCGCACTGCCACCACCCCGTCCACCGCGTAGAAACAAAAAGGCCGCGTCGTCTACAACTTCGTCGGTGGGCCGTGGTGGCGGGGACGGTGACGGGACGTCGGTGATCGGAGCCGACGACGGTGATGGCGTCTGCAGTGACGCTAAAACGTTCCGGATGACCATCGGAGAGCCTCCGTCTCTTCAGCGTGGAGTGTGCAACAGCAGCAGCTCGTCGGCGGCAGTGGCGGCGGACGTTCAGCAATCGTCAGCCCGCTGTAGAGATGAGAAGAAAATCAAAAAACATTCGAACAACGGCGGTGGTGACATTCTCACCAAAGTAGCCATACCCAGAAGTAAAAGTTTTCTAAACTCAAACGGGTTGGCGTCTACCAAGTATTCGAGACGTGCCGCTGGTTGTGGTATCGAAACAGCCGCAGTGGATCGACGTCGTCGCCGGAGCAATGGCAGTAGCGTCATGGGCTTCTCAGACATGTTCAACGAATTACGCCTGCAAGAAGGCTTGAACAATATGGACGAAATACTGAACGCTATAATCAACGTGGAGGGTATGTCGTACAACGACCTCAAGCCTATCTACAGGGAGTTTCTGATCAAGTTGGCCATGACGCTCACTAAAGACGAACTGTACCAGCGGACCAAAGTTATAATGACGGAACAAAAACGCAAACGGAACAATAAGCGTCGTAAGACTCCCGCAGTACCGTTGAAATCGGCGGGTCGGGGTCGTCGACTGAACGAAAAGTTGCGGGACGCTTTAAACTTGCGGGCGGCCAAGTCACGAATCGGTGCAGTATTATTGCCGGGATTTTGTAAGCGCAACAAGCGCAACAGCACTGCACCATCATCCCATCAGAAACAACGGCGATGTTCGTGTTCTGTGATCGGATCCGATATTATTTCGACCGCACGAAAGTCTGCAGAATGCAGGAAGAACCAACGGCGGAACGGAAAACGGCCAGTAGGCGCGGCTCTCAAAAGCCGCCGGCAACAACGTAGCGCATCATCGCCTGTCTGCAGCACTTCGGACGACAGTGATTTTTTCGCGGTCGCGGCGTTACGGCAAAGACAGCACCTGGTTCAGCAGCAGCAACAGAAGCAGCTGCAACAGCAACAGAAGCAGCTGCAACAGCAACAACAACAAAAACAAATGTATAGAAAGTCCAAAGCACGCGTCAGCAAACGCACTGGCAGCAGTGGTTGTGGTCGAGGGACGACTACTGCAACCACGTCCGAAGGAGGTTGTTTACATCAGGCGTCCAGTGGTTACTTTAGCTGTTCCGAATGCAGTGCCGGGACGGCGGACGACAAATGTTATTGTGGCGCCGGCGGAATAGGGGACGCGGAGCCCGCGTCTCTAGTGTCGTGCAGTTGCGACTCGGACAGCTGCGCGGATAGCGACAAGTGTTATTGTGGTCGTCTACGGCGTGCACGGAACATATTCGACGAGCTCAAGAGTCGCGGATTCGCGGCATCCGAATCGAGTGTGTCCCGGGCCGACTCGCCGGGTACCGCGTGGAAAAAAAACGAACAGCTGCTGCTCCAACAACGCGGCCACGACCCGAGCTGCAGCGGCGGCCCGGGCGGAGGTTCGTCTTCGGCGGCCACCGGCATTGGTGGCGGTGGCGGTAGCGGTATCGAACCGTCCAAGAGCATTGAGTATTTAAAAGTGACGCGACGGCCACTGCCAGTCGACCAGCACTATTCGAGTGTCACTAAACCCGCCGTTGACTGTAGTCGGATGAAAGTGTACGGCGGTGGCGGCACGGCTGACTCGGCGTCTACGGCGGCTGGTTCGTCGTCGTCTCCGTCGTCATCCCTATCCGCGGCCACCGTGTACTCGTCATCGTCCGCTGTTGAGGGCGGCCATCACCAGCACCGAAGACCGCAGGGCCGCCGCCGGTCCGGCTCTAGCGGTTCGGACAACTTTCGCGCCATCGACTACGCGCTGTTCGCCAACAACAGCGGTGTGGCCGCCATTACCGCCGCAAAGAAGTACTATCGTGCCGCTGGGTGTTTGCCGCCAGATGGCCGACGGCGTGCCGCGGCGGTCGATGCCAATGCCGCAGCCTTCTCTATGAACAGATCGTACAGCTCCGAAGCGGTACACAACATGACCAGCTACAGGGTGTATCATCACAATCCGCACGGGCAACCCGGCAAGATTAACGCAGCCAGACGACACTCCGTCCACGACGGCGGTGACGACGTCTTAGCGTCATTTTTCTGTTCGGACATTGAGCACTCGTTGGGTTACTATCCGTGACATCGCCGTGAGACCGTTAAGCAGACCGCGCATTAGAAAATCGAAATTTGTTCACGCGAACGTCTTAATGACGAGTTAAAATTTCAAAATCTTATGACAGTAGTCTCTGAAAAATGTAAAAAATAATATTTTGAAAATAATTTATAAATATGTTCAAAAAACCGTATAACTATAACGTACCTATAATACTTACAGAAAAACGACGTATTTTTACAAACCGAAATAGCGAATTTTTCTATTTTAATAGAGCGAAATTAGTCGTGATTACGAGTACAAATACGCTTTCTTTTATTATGATTTTTATCAGTTTCGATTTGTCTTCAGTCGCTGATTAAGCGATTTTAGTTTTGCTTTTCTAGTGCGCGGCGGGCTTTCTTCGATTTACGCGCAATCGTTTCGATTTGATTATTATTTATTATTAGGTATTATGATATAAGATATTATACTTTACGTTATTCTATATTCAATGCACCCACAAAATTTATTATTATTTATTATGTATATCTATTTTATTATAATATTAAATTTTTTTTTTTAAATTATAGGTACATATATTTAAATAATTACCTAATGATAATATACCACTGTATATTATACCTATAGTAGTCGTACTAGTTGACATTGTGTACAGTTTTTGATCAGAAATATTTTGAGTACCTACAATATTTATATTTTACATTTTTAATGCAATGTTGTGTTTTATATAGGTATTATAAAATATTTTCATTTTCTATTTCTAGAGCCGAATTTCAATTCTTCTACTTACATATATGAGTGAATAAACATTTATCAACAAATTATATTGTTAATATTTAGATTACATTATTACGATTAATAAGATTATTGTGAAAATTGAAATCTTCACAATTATAAACTCGTCCTTTTCCTCTTCTAGACAAAAGTCTAATACTATACCAAATCTTTGCTTTGCAATTTGGCATACAACATTTAGCAGATATAATAATTAGTTTATTTTTTTAAGTAGTTAAGTATTACTATTTATTATTCTGGATATTTAATTATTCAAAGCTAAATAAATAACGCCAAACCGATAATTGATAATTTTTATATTAAACATTTTTTTTTTTTATTTTTCCTGTAAATAAAAGTGTACAATGAACAAAAAAAAAAAAAAAACAAAAAAAGCCATACATTGTAGATTTAATATTCGGATATTACTTAAATTACTGGTGAGTATACACTACATTTTATTAGCACTATATTATGGCGATAATTTACTGTTACAAGCTTCTAAAATTGAATTTTGTTTTTATGAATATTCGTATGCATTGGTTCTAATTTGGAATATTTTTTAGCAATTATGTTAAATGATTAATTAAAAATGCGTTTTCTCATTGATACATTTAATGAGGTGACGAAATAAAATTTGCTTTGATGCAGAAATTGTGTACATCCGTCTCTAACAGGATGATTCACTATGGGTTTTCAATCATAATGAGGATTCATAAGGTGGTATGCATAGTTATTTAATTTATACCTGTAATCAACGATAAACCATTGCTAACAAAAAATTATTCGCAGCAAAGTTCAGTTATGCATATTTTGAAAGGCCGTATATTTACGATTTTCGTCAAAATTTGATCATAAAACGCTTATAAAACAAAATAAACTCGATACATTACTACAAAACACTCAATTTTTTTTTACCAATAAGTACGATTTATAATGTACCATCTGTCAAATTTTCAAGCATTCCTATTCAATCTAACAATTGTATACACAGACCTACCAAATAAAAATTACGTAAAAACTAGCAAAATTAAAATGTCTATAAATAGTTCAAAAGTTTTGAAATTTTAATTACGTCTATGAAAAACCAAATACCTATAAGTACTAAAATACCAAATCTCTATGAATATTTTTTACATTTTTCCTATCTTTCTACGTATTTTTCGATTTTACTCAACTATTAAGAAAACTACTTTTTTATTTAACCAACCGGATTAATAATGCAAAATAAATTATCTCATTGTTTTTCTATAGAAATATAATTTTTGATAGAAAACGAAAAATGTAAAAATTTTAAATAATCAAATCATTGTTATAATATGATAAAAACATTTAATTTTTCGTGTTTTTTGGTTTTTCCCAATTTTGAATATTTTAGATATTAAAAAACAACCTTCTTTGATAGTGGCTGTATAAAAAAAAAAAAACAAAATCAATTATTTTTCATTTTTTAATTTGAGCGAGATTTATGAATTTCTAATAGAAAACATTGTTAGTAAAAATTAAAATAATTAAACCGGGACGCCACGTTACTGTTTTACATACAATTTTCTTTAGTTTTTTCCAATCATTTTGAAAACCCCTTAAAAATAAAAAAATGACCCAATGAACTAACTAGATATAATCATTTTTCAGTAAAAGTGCTACACTATTAGCCGTATTTACGGATTTTGCGCCCCTCTTCAACACAATTTGATTTTTAATATCATAGTTGTGTTAGCTAATTTTGTTGACTGGAGGTCATAAAATAAATTCATTTTTTATATTTACCTTTCTCATTGATAATTTAATTCGTAATTAAGTTATAGCAATTTTAACTTGGTATTCATTCTCTATATATTTTTTATAGTAGGTATACCAAACAAAAAAAACATAAGTAACTAATTTATAATTTAGTTACTATCTACCTAGAATCTACTATAATACACATAATAATGAATGATATACAATTAATAATATGTAATATAATAATATTTACTGTTTATTTTATGTTTTTCTTGATTGAAAATCAGCAAATTATGAATAGTGTCTTTATATTTAATTTGTTTTGTTAAGTTGGCTTCAATATTTAATTTTACAAATGCGTTTAATCTCTCTTTAGATATTGTTAACCTTAAATATGTTTTTACACAGTGTAGAGTTGAAAATAACCATTCAGCGATATAGTTTGAACAAGAAGTACATAATAATGTGTACAGCAATACTCACATACGGGTAAATGTCTTCTAATTCTTCAGTTTTTATCATAGTACTCATAGCAATTATAGTTGATGGAGAGTTTTGTAACTTTGAAAATGAACACATTCATTAATAAATTTTACATCTAAATCTTTTTATACATTGAGCACAATGTATTCTCAGCTGAAACACGGACTTCTGATGGTTGTATCTTTGTGAGTCTTAAAAAAAAAACAATACTTTGTTATGACATTATCATAAGCTAACTTTTGACTTGTTAATTCTTCTATTATAGAATCATAAATCAAAATATATGTGTTAACTTTAAATTTCAAACTATCTGTTAAATTGATTTCATATTATTAGTTGTTTCATTATGATGTTTTGTCCTTTTTTTATGTTTGTAAATCATTTCGTAACAATTTTCAGAACATTTTTTCATAGTTAGTTCTTTAAAATGTTGAAACAAAGTTTATAGAGTTTAACAAGTTTTACATAGGTAATATTATGGAATGAAATGACACAAATGTATTTTAGTAGATTTACACTACTACAATGTGCAACAGAGTCTTATACATTAAATATTATAATTTATAATAAACTAAATCAACTTACCTTCCAATAAATTACAATTAAAATTCAAAGTATCAAACATATACTTACACAATGATAACAGAAGGATATGCTTCAAAATAAGTAGCCGATTATTTTACTTTTCAAATTTTTTAATTTTACTGCTTAGTAAAACCTTCACATCACACAGTGACCATTCACAGTAGCCATCCTCACATAACACATTACATAACATATTTATGTTATGAATAATATTACAACTAAAATAAAATATCAATATCTTTATTTAGCAGTCAACAACACATAAATATTATTATCATCTACATTTTACATATTTTGTAGAAACCTGAACAATTGTCATCGGCTGTTGTTAAAAATGGTTTTATTTTGGTGATTCCTACAATGGACAATCCCGATTAGGTTGTCTAATGCATGGTTCTGCACAGGCAGGGCCATGCAGTTATCCTTTTAAATTTTACTGATAAAAATAAACCCACTAATATTTAATAATTAAGTACCTACCTAATTAGTTAATAACATTAATTTTTCTTTATCTAAAATGACAAACTATAAGTAGAAAAAAAATGTATATATATGTAAATTAAAAAAAATAATAATAATAAAATATATAATCATTTTTAAGAAGATAAACATTCTTCTTTACAAAGAAAAAATTCATTTTTCATTTATTTTATCTGAGATAATTTTGTCACTCTCAAAGTGTGCTATTCCCAGGCAATTGCCCACTGATTCCAGTGACATAATTAAGAATGTGTCCTGGGGGGGGGGGATAAATTTAAGAATTATAAAAAAGAGGGTTACATATTAACACCACTATTTTTGTTTTGTTACTTGGATTTGGAATAGGTATATTAAAATAATAAAAATAAAATAGAATATAAATATCTAATACCATTAATTCATTAGATCAATTATTAAAATTCTTGATTACATTATTTAAAATACATTTAAATTTTATTTAATAAATTAATCTAATATTCTAATGTATTAAAATTAATAATTTATATATATATATATATTTTTTTTTAATAAAACAAATTCTAATTTTCTTGGCTTTCTAGCTAGATAATGATTTCTTCTGGATCCAATTTAATATTTTTATAAATCGCCAACATTGTTAATCCATTCAAATGGTCCCATAAATAAAAACTATTTCATATTAATCAAATATTTAAATTATTACTAAATATGATACAATTTTATTAATAATAATAATAGTGTGTTTTTCAATAATACCTCAGCCATAGTATTTCTTAAGTATGTTTTCAAATCTTTTTAATAATGAAAACATATGTTCAGGTGTAGTAGTGAAGACAAATAACGTATTAGGTACTACAATATTATATCAGTTAATTCTTTAAAAAATAAGTATTGAAACTGTTTTACTGTGTAAATTTTATTAATTATTGGGTATAAGGTATTAAAATTATTTTAAGTAGTATTTAAAGTATTTTTACAAGATATTTATTTTCATCAGACATAGGATTTTGATTTGTAAAATGACCTATATCATTTTAATGATATTGATGTATCGATGTTCTTGAAATTTCAATTTTAAAAATTTTAAAATTATTTATTAGGTATTAAAGATAAATAAAGTATACAATTATAAGTACAATATTAAAATAAAAATTTATATAAATAGTAATTCAATGAACAAAGTACAATAATCTACTCATAATTCCTATGAATTATTTTAAATTATTAAAGAGTGTTTATTAATCATTCATAAGTAAGTACTAACAAATTCTGAATGTTGACATGCCTGTATATCACTTACACTAAACTTTTTAGTTCAAAATTTACTAGTAAATGATCTGTTTTATTCTTTATTAAAAATTAAAAAATTAAAATTAGTTTACAAAATAAATATTTCAATAATTTTAAATTTTCAACTATACCTCAGATTCATTTGAGACAGGTTTTTCTTCATTTACTATTTCGATTTTTTTATTGAAAAAAAAATTAAGAATGTTATTTTTCCAATTCTCCTTTTTCAGACCAGTTTTCACTTTAGAATTTTCCACGATTATAAAAAATAATAATAATTACGTACGAATCATGATCGCGACAGTCGAAAATTAACGGGCGAACGCAGATTAATAAATCACCAACGCAAATGTCAAATGCATTACGCAATAGTATTAATAAAACAATCACAGATATGTTCATATTATTCACGAGTCGCGAATGGCTCAGTCGAATACCAGTGTATGATAGAAATAGATCATTTTGATAAAATGATTTGATATTTTTGTATCGCCGTGTCGTCATGCGGGCAGCAAGATAATAATATATTAATACCCATGTTATAATAATATATATCTAATTTTCCTGTTATACTCTTATATCCCTAGTAAACTTTGGTGGATTACACCAATACACGAGGTTTATGATAAGGTAAAAAGTAACGTTTATTTACAACATAAAAACATAATACAAGTGATCGCCAGCTGACGGAAGAACAGGCGAGCACGCAATAATTAAAACAACATTAGTGGTAAAAATCAATTATACATAAAAATAATTCGGAGTCGGAGAATAATGATTCGCGTATGGTGTCAGTGCGGAGAGAGCGAGCGGAGCTGTGTGTGAAAACCGTTAAACGCCGACGGCGAGGGGCGTGGCCGACGTCCGCCACGAGCGACGCGCAGCGGGAAGAAAGGAATGTGGGTCCTCTCGGAGAATAATAACGTTGTGGTTCGCCACAAAACTAACAAAACTTATCATTGTGGATATTTTATATCATTATAATAATGTGGTACCACCACGTGCAGGAACACAATACATAAAATAGGTAATAATTTTATTTATAGTACGAAATAGTGTATTAATAAATGTAAAATCCACAAGCAGAAAAAAAAATAGTGTATAAAATTATAAATATTTAAAAATTGAATTATTGAATTATTAAATTTTCTTTGCTAACGGACGAGAAAAAAATCTCTGGAGAGGGGGGTTATCCCTATTATTCCTCCCATAATTACGTCACTGACCGGTGCCTCACTCAAAACCAGCCCAGACCTTTGGAGTAAGATTTCCGGTAAAAAAGTTGCTCACAGACACCAGAAAAAAACACAAATCGTAATGATACCAATGGATCCCTCATTATCCTCCGAATCTTAAAATTAATAAATTCCCTATGATTTACATGTAAACCGAAGTACTGATCTGAAGCACATTCTAGCGATTTGCGATATTTTCAGATCATTTTTTTTTCGCTCCGGCCGTTTGTGTTCAAAGTCCTTTTTTATAATTCTATTACTAAAATCATACTATCTTTTAATTTTTTTTATAGACAGTGCCGTATTTTATCGTATTTATATGATCGTGTGAGCTCGTTCCGTGAGTTTGCGTTTTCCATGTTTGCATCAAAATATACAAATATATTATGCAATACCATAGATATCAAAATTCTTATCAATTAAAAAAATATTGTACTTGATAACATTTGACATTTTAAGATATTAAAAAGGACGGACATATTTCACACGTGGGTGAAGTCACTTTTGTAGGTGGGAAGTTGGGAAGGTAGGATACAGACGGGAATTTAAAATACATCTGTAAGCAACGATAAACCATTGCTAATGAAAACACATTTCTGAGCGGTTCAGTTGATAGTGTTGCTTCGTTAACAATATATAATATATTATGTCATATTATGTTGAAATGATTAAAACAATGTGCGTTTCCGTGACAGCAATAATTGTTTAAAAGATTTAAAATAATACAAATTTAATAATATCTATAAATTAATAAAAGCGGTTGCCAATAACAACCTTATTTTTAATCTTTCAATCTTTTTTACCTAAAGAACCACGTTTACTTATTACCTCGAATATTAATGAGAATTTAAAAAAATTAACTCTACATTACCACCCAGAAAACATTTCTTTTCAGAAAAGGCGATATACTTGATAATCGGAGTATGCTTCCTGGTAGAAAGTGTTCACATAAAAAAATAAATAACATCAATATAAAACCAATTCTTGCTGTATTGAGAATCTAAAATTTAAAATCGTTACATCCGTTTGATCGTATAATTGTAGTTTCAATTGAGAATGATGTAATAAAGTAGCTAAATTGTATGTATTTATAAATATCATTCAATTTAAATGTAGACAAAATTCGTATAAAAGTTTATTACTTTGACAAACGACGTTGCTGTACTATTTGATTGGCCACCAATAATTGTTTAATAAATATTAATTGACAACCCGGTCGTTTAAAAATTAAAATATTTATACTATCTACGAAATAACAAAATAAACGTACACGGTGCAAAATTGAATACATTCAACCCTGCAGTAACATTTGGTTATTGTGGTATCGTGTGATAAATGACCATGATATACCTTAATGTAACCGCGTGTTTCAGCCAATACGGCGCGATCTAGATAGTTTGAACCCTATAGCATTATATCTATGATAGAAACCATTTCATGGTCGAAAGAAAAACTACGTGATTGGTCCATAATATTAGCTGTATTGTTTTCAGTACGTCCTTCTTAGTTTATTCCTTGGTTTATTATCCAATATTAAAATATGTTCCAAAGACCATAAAAAATAGACAGACAAAAACAGTTTATAATTTCACCATGCGTTAATGTTTTATATACCATTAATCACTATTTTAATATTATGCTTTTTTGCGTCATCACTCATATCTTCAGAAGAATTGGTATTGATGTTGATTTTTTGCTGTTGTGAATAATTTACATTTTAAATTTACTAACAAAATATTTACTTTTTTGTGTTGACAACACGTAGGTAATAGTTTTTTACTATTTCTGTACCTATCGATGCGTCTAGAATCCAAACGTCAAGATCGGTTTCGTTAGTCGTTTGAACGATGACTGACGAAAAGACATTTGTTCCCGTTTACCATAATGGTAATATGAGTAAGTATACCCATATACGTATAATAGAATACCTAACAATATGGAAAAATGTGTTCTCGCTAAAACTGAACGTTTAAGTAAATGTTTTTTTTTCGTTCTCGTTCAATCGGCTTAATTCATAGGCATCGGTACCTACATTAAAAAAAAACTTAATAGTACCTAAATAATATTATATAATTAAGTTTAATCTATTATTATTTTGACAAACGACGTTGCTATACTATTATGACTGGTCACTAATAATTGTTTAATAAATAATAATTGGTCTACTCTTTAAACTAAAAATGTTCTTACCTGCTCCATACTATTTGATAATTTGTTCATATTTAGAAATCCGTATTTACTTAATCTGGTATATGAACTCAGTATCGCCATTTTGCCCAATTAAAACAGGAGTCCCCCAAGGTACCTTTCTCCCGATTTATACAATGTTTACACTGCTGATATCCCCAAAAACCCAAATACTATTATGGTCATTTATGCTGACGACACTGCGATTCTCTCTCCTGGTATTGACCGTGTAGAAACTGTTAATTTTTTACAAACACATTTAGACCTAATAGACAAATGGTCATCCGTTTAGAAAATCAAGATTAACCCTGACAAATCAAATTCTGAAATCAAAACTACCCTTGCATACAAAAGTAATCACCTACAAATCCTTATTAAGGCCTATTTGGGCATATGCAATCCAAATCTGGGGATACACCAAACCTTCTCAATTACGTACCTTCCAATCCATCACTCTCCGGATTTTCTCTTCTGCACCTTGGTACGTATCAAATTCCACACTTCAAAATAGAAACAGTAAGTGAATTAGCTACAAAACATTATAAAAAATTTTACTCTAAATTACAGTCTCACTGTAACCCTTTAATCGCTGAACTTGCTTCCAACTCGCTTTCTAACAATCCCCCATGTCATCTAAAGAGAAAATAGTGTCGTGAACTATTAAACGATTGATGGCTATCAAACCATTTAATTTAATTTAAGTTAACAATAAACAAAAAAAAAAGTTAACGCTGGGTTCTATTACTGGACGGCCTCCCTCCTCATGTGCTCAGGTTGTATGTTCATATTTGTCTATTATGCCTTGTAGCATAGATTGTAAATATTCTATAAATAACCATAGTATACTTGATGTAACCGGGAATATTGAATATTTATTATATATATATATATATATCAAAAAAAAAAAAATTAATGGTACCTACATAATATATTATAGGCAATAAAACTACTAGGTAATTATGTGACATTAAACAAATTAAATTTAGTTTTACTTACAGTAGTGGATTTAGGGGTTGTCCAAACATGCGGTACAAATTTTCGTTTTTGTTGGTACCTATAGGAAAATTACCTTTTTTGTTAAATGTTTATTAATTATCTACACAATTTGTTCAAAAATAGTTTTAATTAATGATTATTAATTCAGTTCAATTTCGACTCAATAAACTGATAGAAAATACTTACAAGTATGTTCAAATTTAAACATATACTTGTAAAGTGAATACTCAGACATTTATAATTATAGGTGCCCGCAGGAAATTTGCTAGGGAGAGGAATAATACAATCAAATACCAAAAAGTACGTAATATAAAATTATATTTGAAATTTCAAAGTTTCAGTGGCGAGTAGATTTCTAGTCTTGCTTTGTAATTTTTCTTCAAACTCCTACTTCCTAAAGAAATTAAAATAAAAAGTTAACCTGCATAGGATAGAAAAACTACTTTCAGATGATGCACTATTACAGTCAAAGTATAAAGCAGATATCTTACAATTGAGTAAACACCCCTAAAAAAACCTAATCTCACTGTTTCTGTTGTCATTTGTGTTTTAAATTTATATTTAGACCAGTAAATATTAAAAATAGTTACAGTTCCTCTATTCAAACATCTACGTGAGAATCTGCAATATTCTTCATAGCTTTATTCATTATCAGGATTGAATTAATTTTCTTTGTCGTCCAACAATTCTAGGAACTTTAGTTTCAATGTCTAGTTTGTTCAACAAACTTACACTTTCTGTATACACAGTGTTAATAATTACAATTTATTACAATGCTCTAATAAATTAAATATTTTAATAATATACATTGACATATTATATAAACTCGACCCAAGGGGATCTTCCCTTCACCCCCTCTTCAAATTTGCCACTATTTTATAATATCTATTATAGCTTATAAATACCTTCTTAATATACATTATTAAATGTTGTACCTATCTAATTTTTTATGTTTTTAATAGTTATTTATATTTCATTGTTTCCAGTGACGTATTGTAGGTAGCTGATTTTCACCCTCTCCCCTACTTCTGAGAAATCTTATATAATATACATCCTCTATAACTCAAAAAACATGCTTTAAATATGCTAATAATTGCTTCTATATGTTTAATATGTAACAATTAATGAATAATGTTTTTAATTAAATTATTAAAAGTCTATGAATTACCTAAATATTTCAGTAAGTATTCAATTATATTTGGAAAAAAATCTATTTACTGTATATTTTAACTAGTTATTCTATAGAATCTAATATAGTTGTTACTTATGATATCAATTTGAGTTCCTTTGAAAGTATTGGTTTTAATACAAACTGAAAAATTATTTTTAATATTGTATTTACCATAAAAATTGTTCATAATTTATTTTTTATGAGTTATTGTAAAATTTACAATTTCATAATGGTGGATTTTTAATACAAATATAAGTAACTACATTTTTATTTAAATATTATAATGTTACCTATATCAATTAAATGCACTCTTAAAAACACTAATTTTAATAATAAAGCAAAGAATTATGATTAGTTATCTAATAAACTCTGTTTAAAAATCATCATTTATATTAGTGAAAATGACCTTTAAAATTTTTATGTGAATAACAGGTACTTATTGTAATATTATTCGATTGTAAATTATTTAAATACTAAATACTTAGTCTCCTAGTTTTTTAAATTATTATTTCAGTAAGTAAGTAATACAATTATTTTCCTATATTTAGGAAATAAAAAATACAAAACGAGGGATATAGGTGGTTATGATGATCATCCACATTACAGTACACAATTTCCATACAAAACTAACAACTTCAGAGGTAAATGGAATAATAATAATAAAAATCCTCTGGTTCGTAATCAATTATATAGTGACTCTTCATGTAGAAATGGATCATCTAATATTTCTAATCAACGGTATGTATTTTGTTATTATTATTAATCCTTTTTTAATATTGAAAAAATAATTAAATAAAACACACCAAAGGAAATATAAATATAAATAGATTTTATCAAAATAGTGCTAGGAGTTATGGCAGTCCTGCTCCTGATAAATTAAAAAATACATCACAAACATCTAAAAAAACAGATGAATCTTGCATATCTGTTCGGCGGTAATTTATAATTAATATTAATACTATAATGTATATTTAATATTTAAAAAATAATTAAATAAAACATCAATCAAAATGTATATTTTAATAGATTTAAACCCAAAAGAAATCGGAATTATAGCGTTCCTGATTCTAATAACTTGAATGATGTACCACAAACTTTACAAAAAAGAGCTTATCAAACTAACATTTCTAATCGACGGTATTTTGTTATTATTATTAATTTTTATTTATTAATATTTTATTAATAAATAAAACATACTTTATGAAATAGAAATTGGGATTATGGAGGTCCTGCTCCTGATAACTTGAAAAATACATCACAAACTTTATCAAAAAGTTTTACAGGATGGTATAATGTACATGTTAGTTTTTGTCTTCAGTGTATTATAATATAGGAACAAGTCTAGTTTACAGCTTTTGATTTATTTTTTAAGTGCGATTTTTAATACCTAGTAAAGAATGTATTGATTTTACAGTGGTGTTAATTTTTTTTTCGGTGAACAACTTTTACCAGAAATTTCGCTCCAATTTTCTAGTGTACCACTTTTTCTGAAAGAAAATTTGATTGGGACGGTATTTTAGTGAGGTCATTTTTTTCACTTTCCCAGTAGTTTTCATAATAAATGGTATAAAATGAGAAAATGTTTAAAATCTTAAATATTACAGTCTTTCAAAACATATATAATCGAATCGAACTCTGCTCAGTATTGTTTTTCGTTGATTAATCTTTACGTACAGAAATACAACAAATTTCCCTTCTACCTTCCTAACTTCTTACCTAAAACAGTGGCCACTCATTATATAAAGTAAGTCTGATATTTTTTGTTTTTTTTTTTTTTAATTTTTAATCTGACAGTTTAACCAAAACTTATATTGCATACTTTTTGAGTATGTAACAATAAATCATTAAAAACCACAATTTTGTTCACATTATTTGTGTGCCTTGTAGTTCTTGGAGGTTTTTAATTTGAATACAATGGTCTATTTTTAATTCTGAAATCCCTATTTTACCAAACAATCAAAATTATGTTGTTTGAAAAATGGTACAAAAGAAGTATTTTAGTAAAACAAAATAACTGTAATGTGAGGTGGGATAATTTCATTTCATTATTTTAGTGTTAATTTAAAAGATAATACAAGTTGTCATGTTTAAAAACCCAAAGCTTTGAAAAAAAATATAAGCTAATTACTTAAGCTGTAAATTAGAATTATATTGTAATATTATAACTGTATTAATTAAGAATTTATTTTGAATAAAACTTTTTTATCATTATTTTTTAAGGTATTTAATGTTGAAGATTGTGCTATAATCTTAAGAAGAATTCAAACCTTTATTGCACCTGTTATATTTCTTCCGTACAATGTAAGTTTCTATACTATTATCAACAGGTTGAAAACTAATGAAAATCTGACTACAGATTATTTATAATGAAGGATAAACAAACATACATTTTTCGATATTTTAAAATTGTTCACAATAGCCATAAAGGGGTGAAAACAATTTCCACCAAATTTAGAAAACCTACAAATCTAATTATATATTATTGTATTGGCATCGTATGTATGATTACATACAAAATTTTAAGTTGATCAGACCACGAGAAGTGAGTCAATAATTTGATCATAAATTTAAAAAAAAAATGTCTTTGTTAATAAGTTAAATATTAATAAAACTGAATTGAAGTACCTATGGTTTTTTATAATAAATATTTGACTGTATGCTTGCTTAACCTATAAATAGGCACATAGCATAATTTGCTAACAATTTTTATATTGAACAGTGTTTTACAAATTTGAGTAACTTGGCAACTTAGTCTTTTAAAAGTCCCATTCTTTTTTTTTTTTTTTACAAATTATTACCATTCAGCTCTTTAATAATTTTGAACAAATAATATAATTGGTTTTAATTTTTATATTAAGTAGTTTATGACCTATGTACCTGACTATTATAAATTTACACTTGGGTAGTTAAGGGATAACACTTCCAGTTATACTTATAAAATTTCATATCTAATAAATTGTATACTATTATTTATAATACTTATTAAAAAAAGAACATAAAAATAATCAATAACCAGTATAATTTTACATTTTATTCCGATTTTACAGGAACTGTATTCAAACTATAAGTATCAATTTCTCGTTGATGATTTTACTATTGCTAAAACATTGTATGAAGCTAATCTTAAAATAAAACTTACAGATATGAGCAATCAAGAAGTAAGTTATAATTATTTAGTATATATGAACATTAATATATATTTCAGACTTTTATATGAATGATTAGATAAATATTAAGGTGACTCCATATAATCCGTCAATGAAGGTTATATCATGGACACCTGTGTCCAATGAAATAAAAGAAAAAATGAAGGAAGTAATGGTAACCCGTTACAATACTAATGTCAAGAGTCTAGACTTGTCAAAATTGTATGCATGCCCATGTATGTGAAAATAAATGTATTCAATTGACAAATTAAAAAAAAAAAAAATGTTTATACTTTTTAGTGTTTATTCAGAATCAATTATTTGTTCCACTGAATCAACCAGCAGTTCTTTTGGTAGCACTCAACATTGCTGCTAAAATTACTAAACATGACTTGTATAGTCTAAATCTTGAGAATAATCACATTTATTTGGGCGAAGGACTAGTCTGGATACGTAGACTGTTTCCTAAATTGAAAACACTAGAATTAGCTGACAATAGAGTAATGTTAAATTGATTTAATTGTCTACATTAAAATATTTACATTGTTTTTATTTCAGTTTTCTAATTTAAGAGAACTCGAGAGTCTCTCAGGTTTCACCATAGAAGTGCTTGACTTGTCCAGAAATCCAGCGAATATAGCTATGGACAAAGCGCAATACACAAAGTATCCCTTATGAAACACCTTGTATAACACTAATTAACATAATTAATAATTATATTATTTTGCTAATCATTGTTTTAGGAATCTACAAAAAATATTTCCTTCACTTAAGATATTGGTAAGTTTTTACTGTTTTCTCTATCACATTTGTAAATTGGAAAATAAATCAAATTTTGTTGTATTCTTAGCTAATATTAGTTATATTTTAGGTAAAATGTTTAAGATAAAATACATTTGATGTATAATTTAAATCATAATCTAATCATGTGTCTACAGAACTAAAAATTAAAAACATGTACAGCTCCTGTGTTAATTTGTATTTTAAACTTAATTTTATATTTTTATAATATTTTATTTTACTTTTATATTTTCGTTTTAACAGCAACAACATTATTCATTTTGTTTAGGATAATTTAGAATTACCATTTCGCTATGACTCAATTTGCAATACTCGGTTGAAAATGCCAATTTATTTAGGCAATAGTTACCCAATACCTAAAAACCATAAACTTGGACAGTCTAATCACATAGAAATTTTAGTTAAGTCTTTTGTAACAAATTTCTTCAAGCAGTACGATAACGATATATCTAAACATACAGTTGCAGATATTTACCATGAAAATGCCACTATTTCGTTATCCAGTTCTTATCTATCTGATCATCAGTATGTACATCAATACTCATTACTTACACCAAATCCTTAGAAGTATATTTATTTTTCATTGTATTTTAGTGGTAAAGATAGTTTAGATCATTACTTACCATATAGCCGAAATTATTTGCAATCTGACCAAAACATTTATGGGCTTAGTGGTTTATTACATACAGGTAAAGATAATATTTTAAACTTTTTAGAAAAATTACCCAAAACTAAGCATGATCTGGGCTCATTCATAATTGATGTACCATTGGCAAATGTGAGTAGAGTTTTTTTTTTTTTTTTTGTTGGTATTTTATTTTTTTTATTTTTTTAAAAAGGCTTCAATGATTCAAATTATAGTCAATGGTGTATTCATGGAATTATCAAAAGACACAGTTAATGATAATTCATATTTCCGATTGTTTAACAGGTCATTTATTATTGTGCCTAATGAACATAAATTCTATATAATGAACGATATGTTGTTTATATCAGTAATCACAGATGAGTTACACAAAGTAAGTATAAGATAATATATATTTATAAACCTTTAATAGTAATAATGTTATAACTAGAGACCAAATTTATATTCTCTTATAAACCACAAAACAGTGCTTAATAATGTCAAAAATCACTTAAAAAAACATTTTAAAAAAGTCAAAATGATGAAGAGTTTTAAAAGTATCCCATTTAACAGATTTAACTTATTAAATACAATTTTATGTATTATAAAAAAAAATTACTTTTTATTATTCATTTTTGTGGTGTTAGAAAATTGTATTTATAAGTTAAATCTGTTAGATGGGATACTTTTAAACCTCTATAATTTTTGTTTTTTAAATATTAAGTTTTTCTTTGTGAATTTTAAAAACATATTAATCCGGTCTCCAATTATAACAAATTATTTGTGTTTGCAGGAATCATCAAAACGTTTTGCATTCAAACCAGATAATGATTTATCATTCATAAATAATGATTTTTATGATATTGACAAGAATAATAGCCATGAGTCAATACTTAAGAGAGATGAACATGATGATAAAATGCCAGATTCAGAACCACTGTTGTCAAACAAACAATCAGAAAATACATCTAACCTTTCATTGACTTCCATGATTCTACCGCAGTCAAATTCCACATCATATCAAGTTGCTTTTCAGGAACAACAAACAGCAGCTGCTCAGACACATGATTATGTAAACAAATTAAACATGGTCAAGAATTTTTCCAATAAATCTGGAATGAACCACAAATGGTCTCAAAAGTAAGATAAAATATATATTATTAAATCCATCTAAAGATATGTAAGAGGTTGTTTACATCTTGAATTTTCATTTCTATAATTGCATTTTTTAAATTTAAATTTAAATTATTTTTATACATAGAATTGACATTTTCATTACAGATGTTTGGAAGAAAATGACTGGGATTACAATAAAGCCATTTTAAGTTATTCAACCCTAAAATCAAGTATTCCATCAGTAGCTTTTATAAAGTAATCAATTTTCGAAATTGGCAATATCTGCATTTTAAACAAATATATAACATATTACATTATTCTTTAATACAAAAAAAAAAAAAAAAAATGTATCAATCTGATACTTAACTGAACTATTGAATTGTATTATTTATGATAAAATAATCTGGCTTAATAATGATTATAGTTATATATTTTCAAAAAATATTATAATTTTATTGTACTGTGGTATTGGAACTTGTATATTATATTCAAATATCAGTTTAAATAAGCTTCATCCATTTTTTCAAATTTATTAATTAAATCTTCAGGTACATTTAAATCATGGAAGTTTTCTGTTCCTATTTCATCTTCCGTTCTGCAAAACAACAAGTATAATTTAGAATACAATTTTTTTTTAACTATTATTATTTACATACAAATTATACAACAATGAAATATATAGAAGCTTACAATTTGTTGTTACATGTTTTAATAAGTTATTGAATTATTTTGTTTAAAACTTTGAATGAACCTAATAAGGTTCATTTTTATCAGACTACAAACATAGTATTGAGTTTTGAGTATATGTGTTTCTTTGTCTCACTATAACATCTAAATCCCCAAGTAGCCAAACATATATATTATATCATATCAGTACCAATACACTCAAATAATACCCTAATATATTGTAAATATGCTGGCATGGTAGCATTCACAAGATGTACAAACTGATTGGTATCTGGTTTGAATATTGAATACATTTAATTAGTTAATTGTATTGTTTAACAAAACATTATTATTAACACATATTTGTGAGTTCTAGTTATTAATTACAAATCACAGAATATCTGGATGAGTGGTGTATTTTTATTCTAAAAATGGTATAGTGCATACCTCTGGCAAAAATATTAATTTTTTAATGTAATTTGTATCTATTATTTACTTTTATGCAGTCAGTTTTTTTTATTTTAACTATTATTATGATAATTAATATAGTTTTAACTTAGTATTTAAATACTTTTATCAATCATAAAATTAATTTATACTTTAAAAAAAATATTTAGATATTTATATTATTTTTAAATATAAGTACATATTATTACAAAAGATAGCATACCATATTTTCTTTTTATTCTACTTAGACAAAATGCACAGTACTCAAATTGAAAAAATAAAACTCAAAAACTTGAAGAAAAATTAGCGTTCCTTGCAATTAATGAATTCAACTTTGGAAGCTTAACTCCCACACCAATTTTCAAACGTAATTCAGTGATTATAAATTAGAAAACCAACATTAACTTTTGGCTTACATAACAAATAATATTTAAGATACTACTATAATAATTATTACTACAATTCTACATGTGTTTTTATTATTTTCTCTGTAGTATTTTTAACGGCGAGGAAAACGTTTAACTGTAACATTTCTATTGATTCAATTCAATTTATTAATTTAATGAAAAATAATCATAGATGTTGGCAATTTTTCAGTTATTTATAACCAATTAGAATTTTAATTGTAAGTAGAAATCAAGTAGAATTTTATTAAGTTTAATAATATATGGTAAATTATTTTTTTATTAGACATTTTTTTCTTAAAAATACTTAAAAGTTCTAATTTTAATGAGAATTAATTTTGATAAAAATATGTACCAACTGATCAGTGGTAGCAGAACCAGGAGTTACTTAAAGGAGGCCAAAGGGCGATCACCTTGTCACGCCCCTTGTATAAACCACTGTGTCTCATGTGTTCCACATCAAACAAATAGTAGAGGTACACTTAAAATTATGAAAAATTATTTCCACTTTCAACTCAAGCAGTAAAATGTTGTATAACGATGGTGCCCAACCAGCCCACAAAGGTATTCTATGTGACCCGATACAAACATTTAAAAATAAAACCAAATCTAAAAAAAAAAAGTAAAATGATAACAGAATATTGCCTTTTTTTTTGTCAGATATTTTCAAATGGTAATTTTACAATTTAATACTGATATTACTTACGTATTTAAACTAGTATACTAATCAAACTAATATACCTACTCTGTATCAATCCATAATTTTTTCAATAAAAAATAAGAAAACACTCCAATATGTACCTACACATATATCTAGTATACATAACAAAATTATATAGATACATTGTGTCAGTTATTAAATAAAATTGGGACGATATATCTAATTGAGATTATTCGTACTTTTTTATTTGGTAGCTCAATCAAAGATAATTGATAACTAAAATGGTTCGTCAAAGAAAAAAGGTTGGATATCACTGTTGTAGAAGTTGAATTTTGAGATTTTCAACATACAAGAATATAGTTTAATTCAATTGACAATTTGAATTTTTTTTTATAATAATTCAAATTGTGTGCATTATTGAAAATTGAGTATAATTTAAAGTTGCTCTTAATAAATGGATTAAATTTAATAATCTTAAAATTAATTATTATTATTTATATGGATTAAAAATAATTAAATGTAAATTGATTAAACTACTCCATGCTACAAGAGAACGCATACGGCGGCAGATCAAAATTCATATAATTTCACACATGCCCACGACAAAACATGATGACCCGACCACGGAGGGAGTAATGTTATAGTTTGGATGTGCAAGTCGTATGGGTTCCCTCGTGGCATGGAGTATAGGTACCATTTAAAAATAATGGGGACTGGTGCAGCCACTGGTGTAGATGGGAAATTTGAAAGGTAGGATACAGACGGGAATTTAATGTATATCTGTAAGCAACAATAAACTATTACTTATGAAAAACCAATTCTAAGCAGTGTTCAAGTAAGGCTCTATACATTTTTTTTTAATAATATTTATTTAATGTTTTACCGATTTCCTCAGTTCTCCTATGTTTTTTTCCAGATTTTCACATTTGCTGAAAAAACTCCAGGAAATGGAAAAATGACCTCTCTAAAGTACCTCACTAGTGAAATTTCCTTTCAAAAACATTGCTACTGTTAAAAGTTGAGGCAAAATTGCTGGTAGAAAATTTGCCTACAGGAAAAGGAAGCTAATGCCTACATTTCTTACATTTCCTGGGTTTTTTTTTTTTGGTTTTTCACATTTGTTAAGAAAATCAAAAAACAACCTCCCCAAAAGACCTTCCCACACTAATTTCCTTTCAGAAAATATACTACACGTAGAAATCCGAGCAAGTCTTCTGGTAGACAAGTTGTGCACAGATAAAAAAAAAATAAACATATATAAAACAAACTATAAGCTTCTTCGCTCCACTCAGAATCTAAAATAAATGTTATAATGAATTTTATTAGAAATATTATACTTGGATATTTACTTACTTAATCAAAATATCGACAAGATTTTCACATGCTAATTTTACTTCCATATTAGGTTCCCATTTATGTAATTCTCTTAGAATAAGATAAGTTCCTTGGTCTCTGATTATTTCTCGACAACATCTTTTAGCACTTAACTTTTAAATAACACATATGAGATTAACCATAAAAAAGAAAAAGAAATCTGATCAAAATTACTTGAGTCAAAGCTTGTAACAATGCCAACCGCAAATTTGGATCTGACTCGCGTTCTTTATCATCAGATAGATATTGTAAATCTAAGGGCAGTTTTTCATTGTCTTCTTCGTCAAACTGTTCAGGACCAGCTAGAGGTAAAAGAAGACGAGGCAATAAATCTAGATCTTCATTCAATAACCATTCATGTTTTTCTGGAAAAATACAAAATAAATTACTTTTGAATGTTGTACAATCTTAAATAATTATTATAGATTAATATTACCTAATTCGAAACAACAGTTTTTAATAAGCATGATGACACCAGCTTTTCGAAGTGAGTTTTCATGGTTTATAAATGAAAGTAATTTTTCAAAATTACCACTATCCATCAACCACCTAAAAACATATAAAATAAGATAATAATCGAAATTGATTATGTATATATTAGATATTTACATTCTGAATTCATGTAACTGACACAAATTGGACAGTAAATATGAAATGTAATTATAATTTGCTTCATATTTTACATCTGGTGTGATGAACAACTTCATTAATGACTCCAATATTAAAGTGTTATGCAAAAATGCTTCGTACAATTTATTTGCATGGTTTTTTTCACGAGTCAGATTACATAATAGCATCAGCACTGCATTTGCGATCTCTGGTGTTTCTTTATCGATATACTGTAACTGTATAATTTTTTATGTGTTTTTCTATAGAAAAATTGAAACAAAAATGTATGCTTTTTAGATAATGTATACCAAACAATTTGAACTGTTATCACTGTTTATATACGACATTATTTTATTCAAGCCATTTTCTTTAGTTGAAACATTAACCAAACATAAACAAGCTGTTTTGCAATTGCTGCTGTCGTTTTTTAAAATGTTGAATAGTCCTTTTAAAAATTCATCAATGTTTTCGTTAATGACTTCATTTTCTTCATAATTGCCACCTGTTATTTCTGTAATGTTAAAATATAAATTACATATGCTGTGCAAGTTTAAAAATATTTTAAAATAAATTCCAAAACACATACTTAGTAAATGTTGTAAAACTTCTTCTTTTAACTCGTGTAAATTGTCCAATGCTAACGCACGGATCATTACAAGTAATAATTGATTTGATATTTCCGAATCCATGTTCAATATTGCTTTCGTATTCTACCGGTAAACCGTGTGAAACTCAGTAAAAAAAGGGGAATCATGAATCATGAATGATACCGGGCTTTTATCAAAACGAATAGTACAACTATAATATATACATAGTGTATTTCGTTATCGGTACATTTTTCAATTTTATTCCATGATATCAGTAACGTGATAAAACATTTTTTCCATATTTTTTTTATCAGACTCAACGATAACTGCTATCGATCCGATCGTTTGGTTTCGCGTTTAATGTTAGGTACTCAAAGTTCAAATTATCGAACGCTGTGACTCGTAACTCAGAACTCTAGTCTTTCACTCTCGTCTAACTAGTAAGCCACAATTTTTATCTTAAAATGGAAAATATGTTTAGTACGTCCGGAGAAAAAGAGACTGATGAAGTGAGTTAAAACATTTTACGTTACTACATATTTATTTATTGTATTATATTAAGATAATAATATTATGTCCAGCAATTATAGATTATTTCGTTCGAATAATTATTATTACAATATAAACGTATAAGAAAACGTTCTTTCTGAGATGCGTTTTCGGTGGAATCGAATTAGAGTATAGGAATTGTGTTAGGTCTCTTCAATTTTAATTCTTGTATTTTAGCGACTATACGGTATACGTATTAAATATTAACTAAAGGTATTAGGTACGTTTTATTTTTGTCGTTCTACACAAATGTTTTAGATCGGTACGTTGAACTGTTTGTTTCTACATCAAGTTCCTCGCACGAAAACTAACAAACACATTCTTTTCAAAAGCATGTTGGTACGTAGAACAAAAATAAAAAAATTATTACGAAAATTTGAATAATCAATTAGACCATTCGAACGGAATTGACGGGGCTTTTATTAGCTCTATTAGACATAGACAACGATTTCGTTCGCAGCATAGAAAATGCGAACTATTGTAATTCTAACGTAGGTGCCTCTTATAGTATACGCCGTTTCCGCTGTTCAGATATTGTGTTCATTTAGATTTATCGTCGCTTGTAATGCGCGCGTTCAAAAATATCTCGCATCTACTTTTATTAGACTTCGGTGTCTGAAGTTTTGAAACTTTTTTTGAAACTACTACGGCGAACAGCTTTGGATTACCTATTATTTTATGCCGAATGTCGACAATATTACGATAATATTTTGACGAAATTTTGGAAAAGATTTGAATAAAAATTAACTGGGAATTTAATGGGTATAAAAACGCGGTTGTCCGGTCGATCGTTTACCACGGACGATATTTGGCATTGGAAATTGTTATATAACGATGCGAGAATCGCATAAATTCCGTATGATACGGAATAATACGCTATCCGATTGAATATTATTTGAAAAAAAATCAATACACAGGTAACGTATGCGTATAGGGAGGGAGGACGTACGGACGTAGGTAGGTACTTTTTTTTTTTATGTATTTTTCGTCCGAATCTCGTTTACGGAATATGGTTTAATTAACCGGTCGCGTTGAAATTCATTCGGACAAACGCAAACAATACGCAACATGGGCACATTAACGGGTATCGATCGAATTATGTAATAGGTAGTTGGCCTAACCCCTATAACCTAACCGGAACCTTAACTTGACCGTGAGTGGATACTTACCGTAGATAACAGTGGTGATCGATTTACTCTATCGATGATTAATTATTTATGTAGACAGGGGTACCTACTGTCTGCGTGCTATCTGTTACATTGGGTAGAGATTATCCACCGAAAAGGTTTTCGTTTTTTTTTTTTTTTTTTTACACTTTAATGTTATTCTTTGTTTACATAGATATTTAAACGATTAGCGATGATAATATTTCCGTCGGGTCGGACAATATTTTTAGAACACAGCTACCGCAGTGCGCCCATAATATATGCCTGCCGTGTAAACCTGTACGGTTGACATTGATTTTACAGAATGCATTTTTTTTTAATAGCACGATTCTCGCGTACAATACATAATTGCCTATACTATTATTATAGTGCATCTTACCCAACACGACCTTGGACCACTGCGATATATGAAATAATAATGTTATTTTATTACCGCTTACTATTATTGCGATTTACGCATTAGTAGGCAGTAGTTTCACGGTCAATCGGCCGATTTTGTGTTAAACGAATGTGTCGGATCACCGAAAACCCAACTGTGAATCCGTTTTATTTGGTACCTAGCACCTAATGATCGTATCTTTCTGCGGGAGAGGTCGGTAAGACCGAGAAAAAAAATACACGTCGCACACCGAGAATACTGCGTTTTTATGATTTTAATATATGCTATTTAAATCGGTTTTTCTCGTTTTACACGGCACCCGGATCGTCCGATTAGTCGGCGATCGTTTGTGTGATTATGAAAACGCTGTTGGTTAGAAAAAAATATTAATAAAAATTGAATTCAGGTCCCATATTGAAACAGAACGTTTTAACATTCACAACAACTCGTTTGGTCCATACGTGCATCATTTCTTGGTTATTTTTTCGTTTCCTTATTAATCGCGACATGTCGGAATCGTAGAAAAGTAAAATAATACCGGTGACGGAAATATTGTGTCCAAGGTTATTCTGAGTCATGAATCTCGGCTAAGTAGTGGTTATGGAGTTGTTCGTAATCAGCTATACTTACTATAATTTTCATAAATATACCCAGATATTTGTATAACATCGTCACAGGTGTACGTGGAATTTATTTAAATATAAAAATAATATCATTTTCGTAATTTATAATATTTCACATTCGATCGTTCACGCTTGGCTCGTTTTTTCGTTCAAATAACGTTTTCAACTTACAATACAATACAAAAACTTAGCGTAGATGTTTAAAAGTGAAAATACTAGACTGTTATTAAATTAGATTCTGTGCGCAGCAAGGAATTTATCGGTTTTACTATATGATTTTGTAATTTTGTGTACGCGTATACAAATTTTCTAGGCATTAGAACAAAAAATTGACAAGCTAGCTTTTTCATAGCATTTCGGATCTAGTATACCTGCAACTGGGGAGGTCATTCTGTAATTTCTCTGGGTAGTTTTTTTCGTAGTAACAGCGGGAAAGAACGTGTAAGATACGAATTAGGAAAGCCCACTTTACGAGCGAGCCAAGTTCCCGGTTCGTAAACGTATTTTACAAAATTAAATATTGTAGTACGAAATTATGTTTAATTTACTAATTATATTAATATATTATATCTAACTATGTACTGCAGGTAAAAATTTCATTAATTTTGATTTTGCTTTTTTTTTTTATTATAAACCATGCTCCATAAAATTCAAGTGTATCGTATCTTTCAAAAGAGAATTTTATCTAGTTCGTGAATCGGTGTGTTGGAATTTCCCGTGTAGTTTTCTAAATAATTCTGAAAAATCGGGGAAAAAACGTAGAGAAGCCGGCAAATTTCATTATTTTCAATTTGTATTCTTTTGCTAATCGTAGACATTTCTTCAAAATAGTTATACTGTTTCTTTCTAGACACACTTTTAAACAAAATGTGGCCATGTAGAAGATATTTAAATTAGACATTTATATGTTTACGAGTTTTTTAGTTTTTATTTGGCTTTACGCGGATAAAATAGTTTTTCCCCGATCATGAATGCTTGAACATTTTGCACGAAGTTCATTATAATGTGTACTTGGTGGTAATAATGACGATTCAGAGTAAAGTTTGGTAAAATATTTATTGACAAATTTAAAACTAAAAGAGAAATTGTTTATTTAAACGAACTGTATTATAAATTTCAACTTAAAATGGTTATAAAAAAAACTACTTTTTAGGCCACTTATTTTTATAATCACAAACGAAATTACAAAGTACAACCTATAACGAACCATTTATGAAATATTCAATCATTTTTAAGTAACCAAAACATTTTATTTACATGTAAAACTAAAAATACCAAAAAATTTCAAAATAACTTAAACTGCACCAGAATATTTTTAAAATTGTACTATGTCTAAAGATCACTAATATAAATCTTCAGATGGAATTTCAGGTCACTAATACATTTTTAGTAATAAGTAATAATACTTTTGACTGAATGACAACAAAAAAACAAAATCAATTTTAACAGTAACGTTTTTAGTAAATGTTCCTTTTTTTCAACCCTTTTTTATTGGTTTCCTTTAAAATTAAATGTAAAAAGAAAATTTTAAAAGGATTGATCTAATGCATAAACTAGACAAAATTTTTTACCAAAAATCATTCTTGGTGTTGATTATTGAAGCAAGATTTCTGTTTGAAATGTTGTTAAAAATTACATTATTATTAATTTATCTTACTAAAATAAAAAATCTCTGGTGCTGTGGACAATTGATCATATCTTCTACCCCTCAATTGTGCAACTGTATTCTCATAAAAGTCCTAAATTGGGTTTAAATGCAATGGATCATTAAATTGGTGTCAAAAGAATAAAATATTTCATATAAATGAGAAACAATAAATCATAATCTAAACTAAAACTAAAACTTCATTCGCAAAAATATGAACCATGTAGGCATACCATTAATTACAATTTGATACTTGTTAGCAAGTAGGTATATGCTAAATTCATTATATTATTGCAATAAATAAAAATTGTTTGTTTAATATAATTAACATCAAATGATTAATAATCATTGCTGATAAATATTTTTATATATTAAAATTCAATTTTATCCCAACATGTCTATGGCATTTTAAAAACAAATGGGGTCTTTAATTATATAGATTATTACTGATGACCTTAAAAATATATTACATAATAATATAATAATTATTATATAATATCACAGACATAATTAGTAATATATTTGTATTCATTTTAAACAGGTAATTCTATTAAATAAATATTATTAAATACATTTGCAGTACAATTATTGGTTTAGGTACAGATTATGTTTAAACCTAACAATTTTTTTTAAAGTGAAAAAGAGTGCACATATTATAATGTTGATTTATTTAAATTTCATTATTTATGAAATTCCAATAGGCCCTTCTATAATTATATTATCAATGAGCATAATCACTTCTACGGTTCCTATGTATTCATATGATCATTGATCGTTGATTGACACAATTTCAGATCTTCACTAAATCATTGTATTCTTTTATTTATCTACTTAGCCATAGATAATGTACTATTTTAGTTTTATACTGTAAAATTTAACGTGCATTAAATTATAAAATTATTACAGGATACTGGATATATAATATATTAGTGTTAAATTATTGTATTGTTTTTTTTTTTCAAAATCACTTAAATGTGTATAGATTTATTTAAATTATGAGCCAAGAGTCAGAACCTTAAAAGCATAGTTATAATATTGCAATATATTTATTTTGAACTAAATACCTTATTACAATATGACATATATAAATTACACTCTAAAGAAAACAGAATTAATACTTGATAAAATATTAATTTTATAAACAAAACATTGTATAATAATCGGTTGGTTCTAATTCGTTTACTATTTTTTCAGAAATTATTGCAGCCTTTCACGTATATTATGCAAGTGCCTGGGAAACAAATTAGAGCTAAACTCGCACATGCATTCAATTATTGGTTAAAGATACCAGCAGACAAATTGGCTGTTATTGGAGACATAGTGCAGATGTTGCATAATTCTAGTCTTTTGTAAGTATGTGATATAATAACGTAGTAGTTGGATTGAATTTAAAATATTTTTCTTTTAGATTCAATGATTCAATTATGTTATCTTTTATAATTGAAAGTAGATGCCTATTATTAATGGTGGATATAATAAATTGCCTATTATTAATGGTGGATATAATAAATATTATACAAAAATATTAATAAATAGTTCAAATATTAATAATGTTTAATGTAATTGAATATCAAATTATTTTTTGATTAATCATCAATTAATAAATCAGTTTAAGAATATCTGTTGTTTTTTCAGTCAGTTATCTTATGTTATTTTTTATAATTGAAAGTAGATACCTATTATTAATGGTGGATATAATAAATATTATAAAAAAATATTAATAAATAGTTCAAATATTAATAATGTTTAATGTTATTGAATATCAGATTAAATGTTTAATGTTATTGAATATCAGATTATTTTTATTAATAAATAGTTCAAATATTAATAATGTTTAATGTTATTGAATATCAGATTATTTTTTGATTGATTATTTTTTGATTAATCATAAATTATTTTTTGATTAATCATAAATTAATAAATCAGTTTAAGAATATCTATTGTTTTTTTTATATTATAATTTACAATTATGAATTAATTAGGCTGATTTCAGTATGTAATTATGAGTTATATAATATTCAATTATCAAAATGCATAATTATGAATTACTGTAATAGTGTTTATGAATTTAATTAGTATTTATAAGATATCTCTAGTTATAAAAATATAAAATATTTATCTATGTCTATATTTTATAGTGTATGTTACATAAGTGTTTATGTTATTATTTATTACCTAAACTCGCCCATAAGAGAATTTAGTTTTTACTAAAAACAAATAAAACAATATTTATTAAAGGTAATAAATGTTTAGGTAACCTTTTATGAATAATAGCTTTTATCCATTACTCATTTTTTTCATGTACAATTATATAATGACTTATATACAGGGTTTATGAAAGATAAATAGATTATTAGATATTGGTGGTGAATATAGTAATAATTAGAAATAGTTACATGTAATCTAACCAATTATCAGCTAATGATAGGATTTTCGATCAAAATTACAATTTGTCAACACTGTTCTTTTTTAATACAGGGTATTCAGTTTTACAAAGATATACATAACCAAAACTGTCGTCTTTACACTTTTGTAACTCTGCCGTTCTGATAAATCGTATCAAAAATTATTTGTTCACATTATCTTTGACACCCATTTTCTACCACAAAGGAATTAATTTTCTAAAATAAATCATAATTGATAAAACGCAAATAATTGCGTTAAACTTAATTTTGGATTATAAAATACATTTTTAATTAGTTTCCATACAAACATTGTCCCCTTAAAGAATTAAATTTAAAAAACTTTTTAAAGTTTTTTACATTATATAAAAAATTTCTTTGGAAAATTACAAGTTTTATGACTCAGTAGTTTAGGCTGTGTGTTGATATGTTAGTTTTTATTTTCTAATTTACGTAGATAGGTGTATTTTATTTTCTGAATACTTATGATAAATTTTATCTACTTGAATTATCAGTAGTTCCCAAAGTGTATATTCTTTGATTTTATAAAAGAAACCTTTTTATATCTTACATATACTTTAATTACATTTTAAATTGTTTAATCAATTTTCTGACAAAATTTTTTAATAAAAGGTAATAATTTATTTTAACAATTAAATTTATTTTGTTTGGTAATACTAATTTTCAGGGCTCAGAATTTATAGTACTTTAAATCCACAAAACAAAATGGTTAAAATACAATAAAATATACTTAAAAAAATATTTAAAAACCTTAAAATAGTTTTGAAATTTAATAATTTCTCTTTTAAAAGCATTAACTTACTAAATACCTACTATTTTCTAACACTAAAAAATAATTGTGTTTTTAACACAAAGTAATTTTTTTTTTTTAAATACATACAATTTTATTTAAACAAGATTACTTTGTATTGTGTTTTATTGTTACCTTTTTTAGTGTTCAAAAATGTTATTTAATTTGTTATATTTATAGGAGGAAGAAAATTTAAATCCCTTTTCCATTATCGCTTTTTTTTTTTTAAGTGCTTCAGGGCTTTTTAGAATTTTAAGCGCTTTTTTGTGGATTTTAAGTGCTGTAAGTCCCGAACCTTGTTAATGATTAATGACATCACATTTTGTGTTCTTCCCTATTAATTTCATGATATGAACTTCAAGTTGAAGTTAAACTTAAAAATCTGTTGTACATAAATACCTAATTAATATCCAGAATATGCAAACTTGTTTTAGAACTGATGATATCCAAGACAATTCAGTGTTAAGACGTGGAATACCTGTGGCACATTCAATCTATGGTGTTGCTAGTACAATTAATGCTGCAAATTATATGTCATTTGTGGCACTAGAACGAACACTAAGTCTTGGACATCCAATGGTATATGCTTACCTAATTATTTCAATCTAAAATTATGATAATGAAATGAATAACATAATATGAAACCAATATATTTTTAGGCTACTACTGTATACACTGAACAGGTGTTAGAACTCCATCGTGGTCAAGGAATGGAAATTTATTGGCGAGATAATTACACGTGTCCAACCGAGGAAGAATACAAAACTATGACAATCAGAAGTAGACATAATTATTTATACATTCTACATTTTTAAGTTTATTCTATATTTAAATTTATTTTCAAGACAAAAATTAATTATTTTATTTTAACTAAAAAAAAAAAATTATTGTAGATAATAATTACATATGTATTTAAATCCCATTTTTGTTGCTTTTCTTTAAGTACCTAAATTAAAAATTAAAAATCTGATTCTCCATTGATAGCCTAGTGTTTTGGGTAAGCCACATTTTGCGAGCTTTTTTTTAAAGGACAGCTATGACAGAAATGTTAAGGATTAATTATTTTTTTCCCTTTTTTATTTTCTAAGAATTTCTGAATTCTATTGAACTTTACTGTTATATTTTTCTATCTATTTGGCACCATATTTATATCTAAAGTTATTAAACACTCAGTTTATAATTGAGTGTGTTTACTACTGAATATGTTTTGGGACTAAAAAAAAATAATAATTAATCTCAATAAAATTTACCTTGCACTATTCAGAATAAAATTTCTAAGTATATTTTATAAACAGTTAATTCAAAAATCATCATTTCAAAAAAAATGTATATTTTATGTACATCAAAATAATTTTATCCATTTTTATAATTATTCAAATAATGAGTGAAAACAATTTTAATTTCCATTCATTACATTATAATTGTTGAACATAGGTAACATATGTTAAAATATTGTATTATATTAAAAATGTTTTCCTTAAATATTTATATGCATACTTGTGTATATTTTGTTTTTAAGAAACTGGAGGATTATTTATGCTTGCCATTCGTCTCATGCAACTATTCAGTGATAGCTCCAATGACTTCACAAAACTTACTGGAATATTAGGCTTATATTTTCAGATTCGGGATGATTATTGTAACTTGTGTTTGCAGGAGGTAAGAAAATGGTTGAACAAATTTGTATTTGAACTAATAGCTTAACTATGCCAAATATATCTTTAGTCTCATGAAAGAAGGGCTTGAGTCAAGTTGTATAGTTTTCAATACAAGTAAATTAAATTTTGATAATTGCTAAGTGACTTAATTTCATTATTGCTAAATTATTAAACTACTAAATAGAATAACCTAAATAATTTACTGAATGGCTTAAGTCATATTATAATAGAACACTTGCCCTTTTTGCCAAACAAAAAGTACATCATAGTGACTTAAGATATTTTCATTTTCAATATAACATGTATAGTGTATGTATACATGTATTACATGTATACATACACTTAGATTATTTAGACCAAACAAATTAAATAAGAATAATTATAAAAATATTGAAAATTGACTTTTGTCCACCTTTTATGATACCAGAGATAAATTTATAGGTATATATTACCTTTTTTTTTTTTAACCGACAGTATTTGGGTGATTTTTGGTATAAAATACATATGAATAAAGTATCTATTATCATTATTTATTTTATATTATTATAAATAAAGTTTGACTTTTTGATACAAATAGAATATTAAAAAGTTATAAGTTCGACATTCAAAATTCTCATAAATAAATACAATATAATAAATGTATTTTAAAGTGTTTAAATAAAAAGTGGCATCGTGGCTTAGTTTTGGAATATTACAAGTGGTGTAGATTTTCTTAATAATTCACCTCATAACTATTAATTATTATTAACTCACCCATTGCTTATAAAATTTATATAATAATCAAAATATTATTTTATTACAGTATTCAGAAAACAAGAGTTACTGTGAAGATTTGACCGAAGGAAAATTCAGTTTTCCTATTATACATGCCATACACACTCGCCCTGATGATAATCAAGTGATTCGTATCCTTTTTTTAAATATATTTATACTAATTTATGTTAATTATTATGTCACATAAAACTATTATTGTAATCTTATACTTAATTCCTAGAACTATCAGATATTCTACGACAACGAACAAGAAATGTTGATGTGAAAAAGTATTGCGTGAAACTGTTGGATAGTTTTGGTTCATTTGAACATACTAGAAAGGTCTTAACACAGTTGGATGCCGACGCTCGTCAGGAAGTTGAAAATCTTGGTGGTAATCCATTAATGATTAAAATATTAGATGGACTTAGAAATTGGTCGTATAATTTTGATGAAAAAACAAACAACTAAATGTATTTTCACTTATATGTATACATTTAACTGCTGCCCTGACTAACTATTATCCAGTCTATTTATTATAATATTTATAGTTGTTTGTTTATTATCTTCTCATACTATAGATTACTATATTATTAACTATAATGGGGACCCTTATCTTTTAAGTAATAAATTTAAATATTAGCTTATACTTAATTATAGTTATTATTGACTATTGTGAAGATATACTATAACAAATACTATTAAGCAATTTTAAGTCCTATGGCCAAATCATTAATCTCATAATTTTTATATTATTTTTGTAAAACAATTGTAATATTTTTATTATGCGGAGCGTGGCAATCAACTACTGTAAAAATACAATATTCAAAATAGGCTAAACAAAATGGATTTTGGCCATTTAATATTAAAGTACTTAAATATGAAACATTGATAATATTTTGATATTAAAATATTTTAGTAAAGTGTAATATAATAATAGTCTTCCAATTTATTATAAACTAAAAGATGTATACATTTAAATTTTGTACTTTATCGTTATTTTGTTTTTATTATTATTATTATTATTATTATTTTTTTTTTTTTGTCACTTGTTTAAACAGATATTCAATTTTTATTTGTTTTGTAATATTATAAGACCAATTGTGTTTATAGCTTTATTACAACATTATAGTTGTTCTTAATTAATTTTGAATGTTCATTGTTTGTTTAGTTGATTTTTTTTTGGTAAAAGATGATAGTTATTTATTGAAACAGGTCTCCCAGGATAGCAGTAAGATTCTATGTATTTTTCCCAGGATATTCTAAACACTCAGGGACGTATATATGGGAGGGGGTTCGGAATTTGACCTCACCCTATTAATTTTTTTTTTTACATTTTTTTAGTTATCATACAAATCAAATATATCATCCAATGTTAAATTTAGCAAAAACAAATATTTTTTGAATAGAACAGCCTTCACAGCTGCATAATACACCGTTTAATATAATTGTGGTTATGTATAAAAAAAAAAATGCATATTTTATATTATAATATTACCTATTGCAAAGAAAATAAGAATTATCAAAATATCTAAACGGTGTGCAAAATAATTATGAGAATTTGTTTTGGGGATGAGGGGTTACCACTCCATCACGTCCCTCTTGGTGACATCTCTTTGATCCACCCATTTCAAAAATCACGTATTATTATTATTATACGTGATGTATTTCAACTTTTATTTTCTCGAATAATAAACAGCCAATGCGGACGTCCTTAAAAACAAAACAAAATGGTGTGTACAACGTTTGCTCGAAGATAGACTCCGTGTAAGCAAAAGCCTACTGGTTTTCGCGTAAAAATAGAAAACTGGTACGAACTCTGAGTGTGCGTATATTTTTAACCCTTTGCCAGTACCTTATATAACTACCGCCCAATGTCCAATGCCAATGATATATATATACACACACAACATAATACAAACACGTGTGATTTTGTCCAATCTATACTCGTGCATAATAAATTGTTATTATTATTATACTACGTCTTGGGTAATTTACGTGGCGCGAAAAATGAATGCGCGTGACACACGCGTCCGCTTTTAGCGCGTTCGAAATACCTAACGGCACAAAAAACAAATTTAATTTTTCATATTACGCGGTTGTCAGACTGGGGTATACACTCTCATATATTTTTTACTTTGGTAGCTTAATTACCCAATTTTTCCAGGATACTTCTTACTTTTTATCGGAAGATACACTGCAACCTGTGTAAGTACGGGTAATTATAATGGCATATGTAATGTTGTACAGTCGTTATGAAAACGGCAAAGCGGAATTGAATGTTTAAAGTTTAAATGTTTAAAATGTTTACATACTGCAGTGACGAAACTAAAATTTAGCAACAATTTTATTTTATTTTTTTTTTTTGTACCTGAAAAGAACTTTTCTAACAGAAATCTAGTTCCGAGTTTAGTACCTTTTCTGAAAGTAAATTTCGTTTATTTGGTGCATTAGAGCGATCATTTTTTGATTTTCTGGGGGACTTTTCATAATAATTGGGAAAAACCGGAAAGAAAATTATAGGTAAAACAACGAATATTAAGGCGCGTCGCATTGTTTCCGCACAATTTCAAGAATAGCATATTTTCCGAAAGAAAGTCTAGTCTGTGAGTTAGAGAGTCGTTTGATTTTCCGTAGGTATAGTTTTCTTAATAATTACGAAATAGCGAGAAAAACGTAGGAAACACAGCAAAGTGTAAAGCATTTGGGTTTTTGTTGTCATTCGGTTAAAAATTATTTAGACCTGTAGTTTTCACAAAATACTTATATTAGTTTTTGTAGACGTGATAAAATTTTCAAAACATTCCAGCGTGTTTTTATATACCTTTTTATTTGTGCGTCCAATCCAGTATAAATATGACAATGAACGAATAAGACGAGTATATTTCAAATAGGTACCAAGGTACAGTTGTTAAATTTATGTGACCTGAGAAAAATTCTTGGAAATTTAACACAAGGTACCCACTATTTATATTTAAGTTATACTAATTAGTATAAAAAAAACAAATTTGAGTTTAGTGAATCGACTTTTCTTTTTTTTTTTTTCATAAGCGGTTTTAAGATTAAATTTTGACGAAAATCGCAAAAATTACTGCATTTCAAAATATCTCGTCGCTCCGAATCGTTTTTATAAGTAGTGCTAGTACCTAGAGTACTGTAAGCTGTTTTCACGGAAAGTGGCCCTCGACGGTAGCGCGGCTGGTGGACGCAGGGACTCTAAAACATGTGTCAAACAAATGGCTACAAATTTAAATTAATTACCTATTTATATAATTAATTTCATACCTGCCGGCTCTCTTCCGACCGATATTATGAACCATTGTATCTCAGAAATCGCATCACCATCCGCGCTACCGTCGAGGGCCACTCTTTGTGAAAACAACTGTAGCAGCCTTAATAGTAGCCAGGCCCGGGCTTAAGGCGTAGGCGTTATAGGCTCACGCCTAGAGCGGCATTTTTTAGGAGTAGAATTTAAAATTTTTAACGCGATATTTACATGTTCGGTATAAGGGACAGCAAAACTTAAGATTGTCCAATTGCGCTTAAACACTCGAGTCGGCGGGCCTGGTAGTAACGTTGTAGACTAGTAGAAATGTCGGTATTAAAATGTTTAATTTTTATCGACCCGTTAACGAGATATTCCATTTATAACGTTGCGGCTTTGCCGGTAGTGAGAGAGTGAAGTGGAGTTGTTGCGGGCGTATATTCAAACCCGACTTCAGGTTTACTCATGATCCAAGTCGGAGATGTTGACGTATTGTGAACAGTGATAATATTTAATCACGTTCGTTTTTAAAAATATCAAAACACTTTTAATTCGATTTCACAAGATACATTGGCGTGTAGGTACTTGCAGTTGATAGACTCGTCCGAAAAGGCGTTCTCGGCGGCCGGTGTGTGTACTCTGAATCCGTTTGTCACGCGGTTTTTCGACAATAACATGTTGCTGCGTAACTGGGCGATAACCCGGGCACTGACCCGGTGTCCGGTCCCTAAAAAAATGTGCGCATATGTTTTTTATTATAACATGAGCTAATTGATCGTAATGATTTGTCTACTCGGTTAAAACAATCCGTTGACGGTCGTTCGCATTATGCCGGGGCCTTAGATAGTTGTTCGGGCCGTACGGTGTCCCCGATATCGGCCGCGGCCGAGGCGAATGCGTCTTATAATATTATATATTAAAAGGAATGAGCCGACGCATATAACAGAGCACCATATTCAATCCCGCACGCCGTACAACTATACACAAATTATATTCTACCACTCGCTTCCCGCTCAAACTGAAAAAGTGCAATATATCGCCAACGGGCTTACAAAATGTCAACATCTAAGTGATTTCGTTTAATATCGTCGTTTCGTTTAATTACATTCTTTGATTCAACGATGTGCACCATCAAATATCTCAGCACGACGACCTTAGATTGAAATTCGTTTATCTGTGATAGCTCCCCTACAGTTACGGTAACCTCTGCACCGAAATACTCGTCTTGGGATAAATTGCAAATTGATTAAATCCTCGACACATTTATCGATACACATACAGGTTCATCGTTAGCTGTATTTAATTGTAGACAGAAAAAAAAAAAACGTCCTAGAATAATGGAGACCGGCGCAGTCACTGTTATCGATAATTTTATGTATATCTGTAAGTAACAATAAACCATTGCTAACGAAAAAACAGTTCTGAGCGTAGTTTAGTTGTTAGTAATGCTTTGTCTAAATAAAATAATTAAATAGGCATTAAATATTTTCTTTAATAATATTTGTTTAATATTGTACCGGTTTTCACATATTCTTTTTTAGATTTTTTCCATCTATTGAGAAAATTCCTGAAAAAATCGAAAAATGACCTTAGAGTACCTTCCCAGTCAGATTTCCTTTCAGAAAAAGTGCTATCATTTTAAATCGGAGTGAAATTGATGGTAGAAATATTATACACAGAAAAAAAGGCCATAATATTTTTTATTAATACCTACATTTCGTATATTTTCCGTTTTTCCGACATTTTATCCCGGTTTTTCCCCAGATATTATGAAAAATCAATAAATTACTTTAAATTATCACGGAGATAAAATTTGCTTTCAGAAAATAAGCTACACTTGATACATCGGAGCAAATATTTCTGGTAGAAATGTTTACACAACAAATCGAGGGGTATTTTGCGAATAAAATAGTCTGAGGAAGGTCGATGGCTAGAGTCTCCAAGTACATCCAAAATGCATTTGTTATTTCTTTGTTTAGGTAAAAGGGGAAAAAAATTCAAACAATTTTTGCATAGTGGATTGAACTCGGAACCGCTTGAATCATAATAGGTGTAAATGATCATTAGATTACGATAAATATTCTTTAAACAGGACAATATAGAGTTATTTAACATAACATGTAATATCCGAATTTCAAAAAGCTATAATTTTAAAACTTAATCAGTCCGCTTAATTCTGACTTGACCATCATTCTTAAATAGGCAATATACATATGTTCAAAAAAAAAAAAAAAAAAAATTAAAAAATTAGATTTGTTCCACGTAATTTTTTCGTCAAAATTTGATATTAAAATTCCCTCACGAAAAAAAATACTACATTGAACTCGATTTTTTTTTTACATATATGTACAAGCACTTACGAGGTCGTGTCTGAGGGAAAATATTTGGGGGTTCACCCCCTTCCCCCCCCCCGAAATTACTTTTCAGTTATGGGTGCTCGCGTCCCGTCTGGCCAAATTAATCGCATAATAATACGCATGTCCGCTACAACGTATTGTACTCCGATAATTCCGCAGCGGCCGAGGACGGTTCGCGGTTCAAGTGGAACCTGCGAGTGGCGACAGCGTTTGCCGTCCGAATGTCCGATCGGGAACCGGAAAGACGACCGCGTCGTACGTGATGTATAACCCCGTGCGCCACTGCCGTATACGGTGCTAGGGAAATACGCACGCGGATTTAATAGTTTTTCGTTCGGGCGGCGGACCATAAATATCCATTTAAAAACTTACACGCGCTTAACTGCCGCGTCGGCCCCGGGTGCGCGCGGACGTATCGAGGCGCGCGCGCGCTCGTATTCAATTTCGTTTTTACGCCGCCGCGGTCCCCTTCGCCGGGGCCAAAGTCCGCAGGGACCGTGTAGCCGCGCGGCCGATACGCCACGCATTTGTCGGCGTGTATATCATATGCAGCGTGCTATGTATACCTATACACGTATACCCTCTGGTAATATATGGGCGACAATGTACTGTACACGGGTGATTTTTACCGTCGCCGGTGTTAAAAACAATGTACAAGGGAGAAAAATTATTATTATTGTTTTTTTTTTTTTTTTTTTTTTTTTTGTAATTCGTTATTTTTTACAACACCGGCGACAAAGTGTTTATCGGCCCGAACTCCATACGCGCGACGCAGCGCTACGTAGATCCTCGACGATTACCATCAGACCGGCCGAATCAGCATTAATGCTGTAGAACCGTTTAGATCTCTGTATAGATCCTTCGGCGGTCATCGTAACCGCACACTTTCGGAAAAAAAGTCTCCGTTCAATTTCGCACGATATTTTGTTATTAGTTTCTGAGCGGAGCGAGGAATGTATATTGGTTTTACAGTGATGTTTATTTATTTATTTTTTTTGTTTTTTTGTCTGCGAACAATAACATTTCTACCAGCAATTTTGCTCTGATTTACTAATGGTATCACTTTTTCTGGAAGGAAATCCGACTGGGACGGTACTTTAGGGAGATTATTTTTTAATTTCCCCATCTGTTTTTATAATAAATGGGAACAACTGGAAAAGAAAAACGTAAGAAAAGCGAGAAAGATATACATCAAATTCCCCCTCTATCTTCCCAACTTCTCATAATCAAACCCACAAAAATGGCCCACCCAAGTGCGAATTACGTCTGTTTTTTTTTTTCATTAATACCGCACGTTTCAAGTCGTTTAATACCGCCCATCGTCCATTGCGAACCGGTCACTGGTTCGACACCGATGTGTTTATCGTATTTGGTTGCGCGGGATAAATAAATATATGCACTCTAAAACTCACAATGTTCTTGTTATAATGTCAGTGATTGATTGTCCTTGTATAATTTTACTGAATATTTTAATATTTAGGGTATTATTGATGTTTACATCAATTAAAATTTCGATGTTTACAAAAAAGCGGCGTAGTTATCGTAGGGAAAAATGGAGCAGTGACAATTCTGAAATTACTTCCCTAAAATAATTGCACACTTTGATGTATTTATAAGCGAACGTTTCAAATGGTGCGTGACAATTTCAGCCATAATCGATATTATAATAGAATAATAATAATTATAAGTACACACAATGAACGGTGTTCACCATCACGTACCCAGTAACCGTGCCGTGACCACCGTGGTCCGCGGTTAAAGACAACCGAAATAACTACTACCGCGTACCGTTATAAATTGTAAAATATTCTAGTCTATTGACAATATTGTTGTACTGTTGAGAGAAATCCTATTAAAAAAAAAAAAAAAAAATGCACACTTTGCACGATGGATGGGCCACTGTTGTACGTGAAAAGTGAGAATGACAGGACATAGAGGGGAATTTAACGCGTATCTGTACGCAACGATCAATCGTTGCCAACGGAAAACCATTTCCGGAGCGGAGTCCGGTTGTACAGGTTTTAAAAGGCCGTGATATTTACGATTTTCGTCAAAATTCGATATTAAAATGATTACATAAAAAAAAAAAGGCTACATTAAACTCGTACTTTTCTTGCCGACCACCGTGCACAATTAACTCGTAACGAACTCCCTGTCAATTCGTCAAGTATTTCTGTTCGGTCAAACAGTTTTGTCTACGGCTGAACGATGGATGCGCTCTGCCGTAGTCTTATCACTTCCGGATCAAATATTACATTTCCGCAATATCGCTGTTCGCGCGTAGCCCTCTGTCGGTCCGGGGGATCTTGAGGGGACGCTACGCGTGCGTTTACTGTTTCTGTCACACGGACCGCGCGGCGTACCGTTTAAGCGGGCGTACTCATCGTCCCGGAAAGTATTGGACTTTTCCGGGGTCCGTGTTCCGAAACGAGCGAACTATCGCCACGCGCACGGGTGGCCGCGGCGCGCGGGTCTTTCGCCGGCGCAAAGTCGCGCGTACGCGACCGCCACCGCGGCGGTACCGCGCAACGAGAATTCACAACGGGATCAACGACGGAGAACGCGTCGATTTCCATTCGTCGTCGTAAAGTTGCGCGCCCGCCGGGGACCGTAGGAAAAACAGTTTTCCGCGACGGCCGCGCGGTACGCCCGGAGACGTCTCTTAACCGCGAGAACGTCTCGTTTTGTTATCGTCGTTTTCGTCTGTTTGTTTGTGTTTTTTTTTTTGTTTTGTTTTTCACGGAAAACTGTTTTCGCCGCGCGCGTCGCGCGCACGGTTTTTTCCGCTGCGCGGCCGCGGCCTTACGCGCGCGTCGCCGTTCCGTTTACCGCGGGCCGCGTCGCTTTTCTCGCACCACGCGCGCCGGGTTCGCTTTCACGGCGGGACATTTGGTGTGCGCGCGACTTGACGCGCGTATTTACGAAAACGGGTCATTCCGAGTGGGACGGCACGACTATACCGATATCATATGTGTAAAAGGGCTGGTGCGTAAACGACCGTGGGCGCATTATTTTTAGACGTGTGTCATACTCTATAAACGTACTGTATTGTATTAATATTGCACCGCCGCATCATTTCGGTACTATTTCCGAGAATATTCCAGTTGCCGCCGTGCTCGCGTATATAAAGGGACAGACGCCCGGAGCGGTTTTCCATTGTCTAGCCACGACGTCCCCGCGACAGGCGAACAGTTTTGTTTTAGTTTCGGTCCGCGCGTTTACGGGTGTTTACCGAGTCCGTCTTGTTTACAACGTGTGCATCCTGGTAATACTCATGTCTCTGGAACGTGCCGTCCGCAACAAAGTAAGCCGTTTTTTACCGACGTTTTCAACCGTCTATTTCGTCGCCGGACACGTCCGGTGTCCGACGGTGAAATGTATTCGGCTCGACCGCGCATTTGTATTGAAATCGGACTTTCGCCGAACGCGAATATCCGAGATGGCCGTCACGTTTAAACGGTTGTAAAATTGTTTACGAAAACCTGTTGTAGAAAAAAACAGTTTTCGCTCTTTACAGGTGTCCGATCGGATTTCCGTACAACGAAATTCCGTTTCTTAAAATATTACGTAAAGCCACTACAACACTAATGCGCAATTTAAGATTTTCCTATACTACGCGTGGAACGTTTTAGGATTACAAGATTTCCTCGCTTCTTCGGGACCGGTTTAAAAATATTGTTATTGTTGTTACTGTGGGTTCTGTGTGTTACGAAAAGTAAATAAAACGAGAACATATTTTCTTATTTTTCATTTTCGAAAAGTAATGTTCAAAACAACAATTAACAGTATAAGCGTTTTGAGAGCGCGAAAATATAAACTGTATAATCGAAATGCCCCCGTAACTTAGCCAATCGGGTTAATATAGTGACGACGGGCGCTTGCGCTGTACAAGACAGTAAAAATCACTTTGCATTTAGATTTTACCGTGTAAAAATAACAAATTATTATTTTATTATTTTCCGATTATGACTGTATAACAATGTAAATGTTATGTATTTCCGTGCGTAGCTCGCTTCCAAGCGAGACCCCGCCCAAGAGAAGGAAGCCATGGAATGGATCGAAGCCGTGTTGGGCAAGAAATTCCCTAAGAACGCATCGTTCGAGGAGTACATCAAGGACGGTCAAATCCTATGCCAGCTCATCAACAAGATCAGCCCCGGAAGCATACCCAAATACAACACCAGCGGCGGACAGTTCAAAATGATGGAAAACATTAACTTGTAAGTGTACTCGGTTTTTTAAATTTTCAAATGAAAACGGGAAAAGCCATCAAGCTTTTGCGTCAAAGTGGCACGATAGATATAAGGACCTATTTACGATGAAACGATTTAATGACATTATCGACCCGATTGAAATTGATGGTTTTGAAAAATACTTTTTTCGATCGTCGACTCATTTATAAATAACGGCACTTACGTTACTTACCCGAATCGCCAACAATTTTAAAATCGGTCGCCGTATACTCGTACATTACAGTAACACAGAAACTTTTGTTGCGACAAAGACGACGACGATCATCAATAACGATTACACTTTGACTATATGGGCGACGGGGTGCTGTAATTCCGCGGTTGTCATGTGCGGAGAGGAGGTTTAGATTTATTCCGTGATTTTATTTTCTCTATTCATCGAGATACATACCGATTACGTTATTTATAGTTTGAAAAACAATAAGGTTGACGAAAGAAAGAAACGAAAGAAGATTTTTTTTTTTTTTAAATATATTTACTCGTTTTTATTTAAAACATCTCGATTCTGTTCTCTTCCAACAACAATATTTTTCGCCTATAGAAAATATATAGTGGGTCGTGATGGTATATGTCCCCTTTCTAGATTTAAAAAACGTATTAAAATAAATTTGAACTTAAAATACTTAAAAACAACTTTTACATTCAGTTCAGCGTTTTTGCCATCGTGTACAATTCATGATTAACCACGTGTTAGATTTTCAAGCGTTTCAACACAATTTTATCCAAATGAAAACAAAAAAAAAAAATCTAATAAATTTAAATACCTACGAACAGCTCAAAAATCGTCAGAATATTTTGAACATTTTTACCGCCGTTAGAAAAGGCAAATATAAGTATATTGCGATCACTTCATGCATTTACGTTTATTGTTAATCGAATCACAAAAACAAAAAAACCGAAATCGAAAATAACGAAACCGTTTGTACCGTGAACTCTCCCCGTTTCCCATACGTTTTCCTCTGGATTTTCCACAGTCAATAAAACGCTACAGGGAAAACCGAGAAACGATTTCCCCGGTTTCACCGACCAGCTAAAATCGCGTTTCGGAGAATACGCTACAATATTGAAAACCGGAGTGTGATATCTGGTAGAAAAACCGCGTATCCAAACCGACAGACGGGACAATAGAAAAACGGCACGTCACCGGCAATGCTGTATCGCATCGCTCGCCGCGCTCGGGATCCGTAAAACCCCCCCAATCGCGCCGCGGCGGCCGCGTACGCTTGTACCCCGAAGTAAGACCGCGTCGTTATTACGCGGTTCGGCGTATCGCAGCCTAGGATTTCGGGTTTTCGGCGAACGATGTTATAATATTTTACCGGCGTCGTCGCACGCGCGCGATTGCATGACGCGGGCGCGATTTTCGCGGTCGAAATAATAACTTTCGGGACAGCCACGGCGTATAACTGTATACAAGCATATTATTATTATTATTGTATGCGCTCAGTATACAATATTATGTACAGTATATAACAGTTCGGGAGGCGATGTACGCGCGTCGTGTCTCGCTAAGTAAATTTTAACGTTTCGTGTTCTTGGCGGGCGGCGGCGGCGGAAACTTTTACATCGCCATTGTCGAAAGTTGCAGAAACTTTTGGGCGGGTCGATGGGAAATTATGTGTATATACGTATATATAGGTAAGTATGCACGAAAGTTTTTCGGCTCATAAATCATATATGAGGGCGTATATGAGAACATAAGGCGAGTAAAAAGTACGCGTGTGTATATATATATATATATATATATTTATATATACGTACGGAAGTTTCACGCGATATAGGTGCTGCAGACGCAAAGTTTGATGCGTAAAAATTAGAACTACGTATATATATATATATATATATATTGTCAAGCGCGGTGACGTCAAGACGGGATTGAGTAATAACAACAACAACAATAATACATTATGATATAAAAGTTATTGACATTATAATCCGCGGAACGGCGTACTCTCCGATATCACACAAAACATTGCGTTCGGTACAAGTATCTTAGACACGATTGTATCCTAGTATCCTAGTATGTAGTAACACTCGTTTCGAAGTGTCTCGCCCATTCCGGCTTATGTCCAACGGTTTTAACAAGAACAATATGTTGTACGGGTGTCGTATATTAGGTATTTAGGCGTTAAATGTATAGTGTCGGGTTTGGGATTTGGGCAATTTTTATGTTAGACACGATAGACGGGAGACGTGCGTATATTGCGGAATAATTGTTTTTTTTTTACGATAAATTGTCGCAGTTTGTATTACGCGCTATTTCACTGCGGAAGTTGACACGTCGATTTTGAGAAAAAAAGTCGATTTTGCTACTGTTCGCCCTTTATTTTTGTTTGGCATTTATATGTATACGCCACTCGTTATCCGCCCCGGCAATAATATTACCGGGCGTTGTACGCGTGCAAACATTTTATTTACGCGTAATATTATAATGTTACGTTTTTGTGCATTACTTTTTACAGGTTCCAAAAGGCCATCAAAGCGTACGGAGTGGCCGACATAGACGTTTTCCAGACTATCGACCTGTGGGAATGCAAAGATTTCGCTCAGGTGGTGACGACCTTGTTCTCTTTGGGCCGTGAAGTGAGGATAATTTCTATAATCTAATCTAACTCGCTTTTGTGCGCGATATATCATTGGTCCCAAGGGAGGAATGTCTGTCTCGAGTCAAACGTTAAGCATTTTTTTTTTTTTTTTTCATAATTTATGTAAATTCGTTCCAAATTATTTTTATTTTTTTGATCCGAATGACATAATAGAGTGTGTATATGTCCTAACGCACGGTGTATACTAAAAAATTAAATAATCCCGAATCGCCGGGATACACTTTTAGTTTGGCAAACAACGCATAAGTCATAATCGTCACGTAGCGATTTCGCTATTCAGCGTGTCACGCCATTACGCCGCCATTTAGCGATCCTCGACGTTCGATTCGCCCGCGCCGAAAACTATACGGGATCGACGCTTTTCCCCGGGGCCAAATGATATTCCGGGCAATATGTTATTAAACTGTCGATGTCCGATTAACGTTTTATAATGCGCGCAGACGTACAAGCACCCGGAATGGACCGGGCCGTACTTGGGGCCCAAACCGTCGGACGAGGCCAAGCGAAACTTCTCCGAAGAAACCCTGAAGGCCGGACAGACCATTATCGGGCTGCAGGCGGGACAGAACAAGGGCGCCACGCAAGCGGGCCAAAACATTGGCGCCGGCCGGAAGATCATCATCGGCAAATAACCGCGCAACCGTTTATACATACCGCGTGTCGCACTTACAGCGTGCACAAAGCGTGCGGCGCGTACGGGACGGGGGAGAAGCTATCCCACGCCGTCGTAATAAATATTGTGTCGTAATAATAATTATAATATTATCGTCCTCAGCGGTATGATCACTATGTTATTGTAATCTGTAATCGCATTTACGGTAACCGCGTGTGATTTAAAACCCGTGAGATTTTAATCGCGTCTATATTGTAACGTTACGGTGTCCGCGACCGTTTACATTGTTATTGTGTTTTGTGTTTAAATCGATAACCATTTTTTTTTTTTTTTTTTGTATTATTATTATTTATTTATTTATCGTAATATATATTTAAATACGTTATATTGTATTATTTACACGGATTTGAAAACGAAAACCCGACGCCAAGGAACAGAACGCGATAAAATGCATTCGATTAGTGACGATAGTCCTCCTTTCGACGCGCGAAAGCCATTAGGTAGTAGCGTTCCCGCGGCGGGAACGCGCCCAGAAGACCGGTTCGCACGACTGTCGTCGTGAGTCCGTTCTTATTTTTAGCGGTGACGGCGTTCGCGTTTAAATTTAGAACACGCGATGAAGAGCCGACGACAGTCCCGGACTGTTGTCGCCGCGTGTCAACAGCGATTTGGCATTCGAATCGCGGACGCGTCAAATTTCGGAAACGATTTACTGGCAAACGTCGCCGTTCACGTAGCGATATTATCACGGTGTCCGCGTACCGTGATACGGCGACACGGCGACCGTGTCGATCATCGATCGCAATTTAAATTTGTAACGATAATTGTCGCGTCGGCGTATTTTTATTCGTGGTTTCGACGGTTTTTTGTGCACATTATGCATTACTATACGCATAGCGATATGGATTAATTATCGAGGGGGCGGGGGAAGAGCGTTCTGACCATCGATTATTGGTAGGTATCTTTTAAAAAAATAACGACCGTTGAAGTACCGCAGAAAGAATCGGAAAGAAAGAAACGCGAGAGGGTTGACACTTTTCCGGTACCCACGCCCGTGTATAATAGAAATGATTTTTTATAGACTCGCTAACTTTAGCATACATATATATATATATATGTATACGTATATATAACACGATCCGAAATTTAATTCGTGTCCGTACCTCTTTTGAAATAGCTTTGGGATCGCTATACCGAGAGCGCGTTACGCGCGAATACTAATACAATATGTAATATACTCGGTATATGTTCTGCGATAGTAGACAATTTTCGGATTTTGTTATTATTATTATTTTTTTTTTTTTTAATTTTACCAATTACCAAGGGAAGCAGCGGTGCGCTTTCACATACTGCAGATGAGATATAATAAATCATTGTTACGCGTGTAAAATTAACGAAGGCTCAGGAATAAAAAAAAAAAAAAAAAAAAAAAAAAAAAATCATACCCGAACGCGATGCATGGTGCAGTTAATCGCGCGATATTTTCCCGCGGTTCTCTCCTGTTCGCGGATAAAATATTATGTTAATTGTACACGTACAACGCACACTACGTCCATCGCGGTCCGGCGTAGGGGAAAATAAGGGGCGCGATAGTCGGCAACGGGGGCGGCCTAAGTACGGGCAAATTAAAAATTTTGATTTATAAAACGGAGTGTACAATACGCGGATACCTATACTACCTCAACCGCTTGCTCGTCCTTCGGTATATACGGACCCGCATCGTTCTCCGAGGGATCGTTTCCGTCGGCATCATATACGACTTCGCACAGGAAGGTTTTTTTTTTTTCGACAATACAATTTATGTTGTTCGTTTTTTTCTCGTTTTCTGGTCGTTCCTACTTCCGCAAATGAACATAATATATTATACGTACGTGTAGGTTCACAACATAGGTGTCCTCAGGCACGTGTACAAGGGCAGTTTTAGAGGTTCACCTCCTTCCCCGTCCACCAAAATTTTCATAAAAATTATGATGTACGTAGATTTATAATAGTGTCTCAAAAGTGGTCTACGTCAATGAGAAAAATAAATACGATTTTGGTTTTGTTTTTATTCTATTACTAGATAGTAGATACGTATACGCATTGTTGTTATTGTCATTTATAATTTGTTGTCGTTTTCCTGCTTTTAGAAAATTATAACCGACACTGCAGCGCAGTTCGCCAACCATCACAATAATACGAATTGCGCTATCATCATTTAGGCTGTATTCACTAAAAAAAAAATTTAATTTAAAATTTCGTAATAGGCGCCTAAAACGCTACAAATGAACGTAATAAAATATCGGCATTTTTAATGAAAAATAAATAATTCTACAGTCGAAAGCATGTGAACCACTCTGTTATAAGAGTATGAAAGTGTACGGCCTTAAATCTCCCCACTCCCCCCCCCCTAAATATTTTTTTATTTTTTTTTTTACACGCCCCTCGGGTGTCCCGCAGGCTGCAATAACTGTATCATTGTAGACAATATAGTCAATATCGAATGTTATGTTACACAAATGAAAACCTAAAAACCGTAATGTGTGCGTATACCGCGGCAACGATGTTTTTTTGCGAGAGTCGGATTACTTACCGCGCAATGCGTTTGTATATTTATTTATACAGATTTTACGATCTCTTGCGGGTCGTTTGCCAACACATCCACACGCGCGTCGTTTATCCGAATATTCGAAACGATGGATATTCGTCGGTATTGTCGGTGTACAGACACTGCGCGTGCCGGCAGCCTGCAGTTTCCCAAAATGAATACACGAACTAAAGAGCTAAAGATAGACGAAAACTTCGAGGCGGGATTATAATCGCACTGAAAATCGATGGGCGTTCCCGAAAGTTAACTTAACACAACCGGACTTTCGGAAAACCCGTCACGGAGACAGACAAGACTTTCGAAATATTTTCCTACCACGCACATTCGATTATTAAAAAAAATCGATTTTTAATAAAAACGCGATTCGAGTTTTTGACATCCCGTTGAAAAATGACGATTACTAAAGCACATTTGTCTCTGGACTTCGAAGACTTAAACTAAAGGGATGACTTTACGTTCATACCATAAATTAGAATCGAAACTCCGTCCTCCACTTTGACCATTGATAAAATTTCGCCTTTTTTCACGCGTATTCTGCTTTTTATTCGTTTTTTTTTTTTTTTGTTTTGCGCGTAAACATACCGGTTCTATTCATAAGTATTATATTAAAGTCGCGGAATGGACGTGTAGACAAAAATAAAAACAACAGTTTAGACGAAATTAAAATAAACTACGGTTTTCCGTGCTTAAAAAATAATACGTAAAACTGAGATAAATATTTAAAACACGGTATCACGCATTTACGCGGTGTTTTTGCACCGATATGTGGAATCGTTTATTTATTTATTTTTTTACATCTTATAAACAAAAACGGATTTTTACGCGTAAACACCGCGAACGTTTGTTTTGTGTTACGCGTGATGCCATCTGTTGCAGTGACATCGACAACGCCATTCCTGGGAAATGTTTGTATAGGTAACTATATTATATTAGTGATGTATCCAGCCAACCAGGATTTTCCTAAAGAGAGTAGAGTAATACCTAGTCATATAATGTATTGTAATCACGCTATTGTGGTCGCTATAGTAAAAAAAGTACAGATACTGAAAAACAATTTCTAGCGTCATCGTTTTTTGGCCGTGGAGCTTTAATTGGAAAATATAAAAGAAGAAAAGGGACTATAAAACTTAAAAACAAATTAGCGTTTAGTGCAATTATTGAACGTAATCTAACCCTGGGGGGGGGGGGGCTTCGTCCCCCATACCACCCTTGCATTAATTTTTAAACATAATTCAATAAAAAATAATTCACGAGCACAAAAATAATACTGATAAAATAAAAACTCTTTTGCAGACTATGTTTCTGTTTAAATATGTATATTAGTTAGTTTTACTATGATATGTGTGTTTTGCAGTCTATATACAATTTTTCTATCTTGCTCCAATCAAAAAATAAAAAGCGACATTTTTTGTTGGATTTCAGGTATAGTTAGAGCATAAAAGAGGTCATTTTTTGATTTTCTAAATAGTTTTTGTTATAATTTGGAAACAAAATTGTAAGAAAAACGAACAAATATTTAGGGTCCACGGTGACGGTGAAATTTCATTATTTTAGATTGTCGACTATTATTTTCGTTATTTTCGATTTTGATTATTGGTTATAAATCGGTTAGAAGTTATCGCAGAGAGCTTAAATATTCGCAGAATACTTATATTGGCCTTTTATAAACGTGGTAACGTTTTCAAACATTTTTTTTTTTGTACAAAATCATAAAAATTGCGGTCTTTAAAAAAATGTGTAACTTCGATCAGAATCTTTTTTCGTTAGCAATGGTTTATCGCTGCTTATAGATATAAATTAAATAAGTTTGTGTTTGTATATCTTACTTCTCCAACTTCTTACCTACAACAGTGGCTCTTTTTTTTGATTTTCATTGTAGTTTTTATAATAATTGAGAAAAACCGTCGGGAAAAACTGAAATTATTCTTGATTTCTATTTTTATTTTACGTTTTGTACTCGAAGTCCCAAAAATAGGTTTATTATTGTGTAATTATATAATACACTTTATACACTGTCCGGTACATTAAACTCACTTTCTCGCGTCATATATTATATTGTATACTCGTATGTCTGTATTCATACAGTATGACTGTCAAGCAGGTTGACAAATGTGAAAAATAAGTATACCACTTATAACCACGCGTTGTGCACATCAGTAGCATGCATGAAGTGATATTTGAATTATATGATTCAGAAAAAAATTGGTGGGCGGGTCGTGTTAGGGCATTGAAATAAAACAAAAAGTATTACGGTTTTATAAAATAAATTATCCCATGCCGAATGTTTGGTATTCACACAATTAACAAATAAAATGCATAGGTTTTAAGTAGGTACGTTGATTGGACAGACCCGCGTTTACGCTCGTACATATATAATGTGAGAAAAAAAAAATCATTAAAAGTGTTTTTGACAAGTTTCAATAAGGACCCGCGTGGAAATTAGTTGATGACTCCTGGTTTATCATGTGTATCTATTATCGTTTTTGTTTTTGTTGGTTACCTTAGCTGTAGGGGAAACAATACAACTAATAATTCTCTGTAACCACACCAATTTATCGGGCTCCGCTTAGAGTCATTTTTTCATCGATTGTAATAATAATTTATCCTTGTTTTTAGTATATTTAAATGTATTGGTATATAAACTAAATTATTTTGTACCTATATACCCACCAGTATTTCTCGACCTTTGTAAAATTGTTACCCCCTTTGAAGAACAAAAGAATTTCGAATGTTCCTGTGCAAAAATCTCGTAGTAAATTAAGGATATGTGAAACAGAACGCGGGCTGCTGAATATTGTATAATTGAAAAAAAATTGAAACGGCCAATAAAAAAAATAAAAACAGTACACTTTAACAGTGTTTTTTGTTGAAAAACTAAACAGATAAAAAAAATGAATCAAAAACAAAAAATAACTTAATTTTGTTGCGAATACACGCTCGCTCAGCACCTTTTTATTGGCCAGAAAATTTTCATTCCCCGCCTCCCTCCCAGGGGACGCCATCGCCCACGTCGAAAACCACTTTCCAACTTACCGGTTACAATGGCAGCCAACTCATAAGACAAGAATATATGTCCGGCTTTTTTGGTTTTGTAACCGTCAAAAATAGAAGACGGGCATGGAAATATGCGTGTATAGATTGTTTTTCTTCGCGTGAACCGTGTCAAGGATTTGGCAGCTTCCACGCGAATTCAAACTGCAGGGCTGTAAACTTTTATCGTTAAAAATATATTTTCATAAAATCTGTATAAACATTATATAGTAATTTTTTTATGTGGGATACGAGAAGAAACGTCTATGTTATAAATCATCGGGTCTGTTGTCGCGCACGTCGTGTTCGTGCATAAACAACAATTAATTAAATAATGAAAAAAAAAAAAAAAAATTAAACGTATATCATCTAATAAATAAACCAGAAGGAAGGGAATCGATTGTTGTACAGACGGGATATAGTGGCCGATAAAATGACAGGTAAACGACGAAAATATAGCATAATAATACACTCTTTTGACAATACATTTTTTTTTTTAAATTATTATTTTCGTATATTTTACGTTATTCGGTTCACAAATTTATCATCAATACAATAAACATTCATATATATATATATATATTATAATATTATATTTACAATAATCTAATAAAAAGAAAAAAAAAAACACAAAAGAAATTATTAAATTAAAACGTAAATGCACAATATATTATTATCTATAAATACACGTATTAATATTTGTTTAAATTATTCGTTGTGCACTCGTCAATCGAATGCAAATTTACAATTTAATTAAGTACTATGTAATTACGGGAAAAATGGTTTTCGGCGGTGAAAAATTAAATAAATAAATAATTCAGACGATTAATAAAAAAAAAAAAAAAAAAAAAAGGCTATACGGTTAGGTCATCGTATCGAGTAGATGTGGACAATAATTATAGACGATTTAACGTAAAAAAACGACATTCCGTTTTCCGCGCACCCGCAATAAAACGTTCAACATTCTCGCGCGTTATCACTATGCGCGTGACGACGTGCAGTGCGTCGGGTTATTTTTAGATTTTCATCACGCACGAAATTATGGAAACATAATCGCGCGGCCCTGCGTTTTCTCGCAATAAAACACGTCTCGCGGACAAGACGATTGAAAAAAAATAAATAAAATAAAATGACGAATACAAATTGAAAAATACCGTCGACCTAGTGCCAAAAACATCAACGCCGGTGTATTATCGGAACCATAAACTGTAACGCGCTGTTGCGCGGTCGGTTCATTTCGTATCCGTTACACACGGTAAAATCGGTTTTCGACTCGTTTCGAACCGATCGCCACTTCTCCCGTTTATAAATAAACGTGCGTGCGGACGAAACGGGACACGCGACGCGTACGGTGGCGACAATAATAATAATAACTCGACCGAGGGGTGAAGGGACACGCGCGTGTGCGACGCATACAATGGGAAAAAATACATGTTAACGATATTAATCCAGCAGAGGCCATAGGTGCAGCATAATGCGATAATTGCGCATAATTTACGCGCGGTATTTTCGTCCGACCCCTCCCCTCCCCGCACACACACGCGCGCGCGCGCGCCCGCCGGATTTTCTTCGAGTATACGGACGCCCGCGCACGGTCTGTTAGGCACGAACGCACGGTCGTGCGCGCAACCGTTTACGCACGGCGGTCAGGTGCGCGCGCGCTTAAATACAATTCCGATTGTAACGAGGCACGGACAAGGCGCCCGCGAAACGTCGCGAGTCGCGGTTTCCGCGGCGCGAACCGAAAAGACCGACCCGGCCGCGAAATTCCGCGGGCGCGTTGTCGGGCGAAATCGCGTTCCGGCGACCCGCGCGCGCGCAATAACGCGCGGCACGGGCGGCAGTGCGTCGCCGTGCTCGTGTATCGTGGTTTTCGGACGCGGGGGTTTCGCGATCCGGCGGTCCGTTTCCGGCGTTCACGCGGGCGCCGCGACGCACCGTCTAAATACGCGACGTAAATAACACGTAATGACGCGCGTTCGCGTTTACGACACGACAATCGTACGGCCGGCGCGTTCGGTCGGGCGACAATCGCGCCGCACGCGTAACGCCGACACGCGCGCGCACACGACGGCCGTACAGCGGCGCGGCGCGTTCGTTCGCGAATGCGGGGGCGAACAATGTGCGACGCACTCGACCCCGCGAAAAGAGCCCGGCCGAGTTTACGGGGGGCGGTGTGTGTGCGTGTGGTTTCGTCTCCGAGGCGCCAGACGAATACCGTAACATCTCATAACCTATCTTATGTTATTCGTATTTAATGTTCGTAAAATGTGTAAAATAAAGTGTGGGGAAAAAAAAAAAACCAAACAAAAACGTCACGTACCTATATAAATGTCCTCGAAACACGTAAAATTCATTCCTAATATATAAATAATAATAATAATAATAATAATAATAATATATTATGATATAATTTTTTTTTTTTTTTTTTTTTTTTTTTTTTCATATAATACTACGTAATGTTCACCGTCCGCGCATTATTAAACAGCACAAAACGGGAATGTGCGCGATTACACTTCATACGGACGACAATAGTAAGTATGATACCATATACTTTGGAATTCGAAGTTTTCGCGCGTATTTTACACAACCGTCGCGGTGCGGACCGTGCGTACGCACGTTGTCGTAGCATTACGGGCGGCGATTGTTGGCCGCCGTGCGCTCAAAACAGCACGTGATTGGAGCCGGTCGGCCCGGTGCCCACGCCGCCGCCGGTTACCTTGAGCGTGTCGGAACCGAGCAGGTAGCCGGCCGGACCGGCGGCACCCAGCAGGCTGAACGGATGGTGAGAGAACTGCTGGTGATGCGACGGCGAATGGTGGTGATGATGGTGATTGTGATTGTGCGCGCCGCCGCCGTTCATCTTGTGCGCCGGCGAATTATTTCCCGACCCGTTGCCTCCACCGTTCGCACCGCCGCCGCCACCACCGCCGCCACCGCCGCCGCCGCACTGTTGCTGCAACTGGTGATGCAGTTGCGTGTAGTTCTGACCCTGGCCTAATAGCCATTTGTTGTTGTTCACTCCTTCGGACTGTTCCGACATTTTGATCCCTGAAAACACAAAAAAAAAACGCGAAACGTGTTCGAAATATCAAAATTATTTTTTGCCATTGATGTTCGTGATTCTAAATAGGTTAGGGCGGTTTAGTAAATTTTCGTGCTATCGGTATACATGAATGCGATGGTGTACATGTTAGGATTTTATCAAGGAGAGAGATGTTGAATTTTAAAATTCTCCCATATTTATAATATTTCCTTATTTTTTAAATTAGTCCACATAAAATTAAAAAAAAATAACTACACTTGTAATAGAATAAATCAACTAATGTACCTACTAATCTAATTTAATTTATAAGTGTGGTTCCCGGGAGCGTAGGTAATGGGGGTTACCCCCCTCTCCCCTGCCGTTCAAAATAACTACAGGAGGAGTTCAATCTTTTTTCAACTCCCAATTCAATCGTATTACAAATAATTAGGTCAAACACCCACTCCCACTATGAATAATAATCTATACCTACTCATCTGGTGGTTCTGATGAGTCATTTTAAACGAAGAAATGTATTGTACGAGTATACTTTCAGATTTTGCGGGTATATTAATATTAATTGTGTGTGAAAAATTTTTGATTTTTCTGCCTAGAAAGTTAAACATTTAAATTGAAGAAAAAAATGGATATACTTCGCATGATGGATGGGCCACTGCTGTAGGTAAAAAGTTGGAAAGGTAGGGGGATATACAGGGGAGTTTAATGTAAACCTGTACGCAACAATTAATTCCAGATTTCAAGCATTTCTGTTTTGTTTAACAATTGTATTCACTCAATACCTACCGAATAAAAATTAATAATTACCGAATAAGCTCAAAAATGTCTCAAGTGTTTTGAAAATTTGACCACGTCAAAAAAAGCAAATATAATTTTTCTGTTAAAATTTCAAGTCTCTGCGAATTATTATAGTTGAATTGTGTGAAAAAAAAACAAAGTCGAAAATCATAAAAGCATTATTTTCGTAAATTTTCCTGTTATTCCTACGTATTTTCCCGGTTTCTCCCGACTATTATGAAAACTGTTTGGAAAATCAAATGACCCTCTCAATGTACCGACTAAATAAAATTTCCTTTCAGAAAAGATGATACCCTCAGTACATCGGAGCTGAGAGAACAAAAGATTTTTAGTGGAAATTTTGTACACAGAATAAAAAAAAAAACAAAACATCATTACAGTAAAACAAATACATTCCTCATCGCTTCACTCAGAAGTCGTATATTATATACATAGTTGATTTTGGAATGAAAAAAGAGAGATATATCTTAATATTTATTAATTAATATAAGATATATATTAATTTCCTTTCATCTCATCACTGACGTGTGGCGTGGTAATATTTTTAATTTTTGACGTGTGGCAGAACGCGTACTGAACGCTGCAATGCTTTAATGCACGCATGAAAGGCATCTTACACATAATTTAACGGCTAGTGCAAAATAATTATGATATGCAGGAAATCGGAATAATGTCCAAGTTCTTTGTAAATTACCCTAGTGACACTATTTAATCGCATGATTTTTTTTATGTAGCATGCGTACTTAAGTTGTGTCTTCATAAACATAATATTTCATTACGTTTGTTGTAAATTATTGGATATTTTTTTTTGTACTAACGGGAAAAAATTGCATCAGCAATTCAGCATGTTAAATATACCTACTCCACTATAATTACACACACACACACACACACACACATTGATACGTCCGACATTAAATTTACGTAGGTAATTGTTTTTTATGTTAGTCAATTAAATATATTTATAACGCGTATATTTTTTTATTATTATTAAAGGCATCATAAAATGCTTAAACCTAGTCCGTTTCATTTTAAAATGCCACGATGCGCTGCATGTGTAATGTGACGACTTAATACTAAGTATTATAAAGCTAATAATATACAGGATGTTTTTAGAGTATACATAGGTAAATGGCGTGTAGTTTTTTTTTTTTCTTTTAAATTATACCTATAGTTAACAACATATTTTTTAAAGATAAATGATGTTGAATAAAATTCGAAAATTATTTGTAGACACATAATGTCTTGTTGAAATATTGGTTATGTTGAATAATAAATACTGAACATAAATGATAGGCACTTTGGAATACTTTTGTAATAAAAATAATACAAATAATTTTAAATGCTTGGATCCTTGAATGTACATTAATTGTAAATCAAATTTTGGTACGGGAAAATTGTATTTGTATTCCATTAGAAAATTAAAATTAAGGGTTGTCGTTGAATAGTATAACATTTCAGAATAAGAAACAAATAGTCGGACAACTTCACCCGTGGGCGGGCCATTATTGTAGGTGAGAAGTTGGGAAGGTAGTAGAGGGGAAATTTAATGTATATCAGTAAGCAACGACAAACCATTGCTAACGAAAAAACGGTTCAGTTTATTATTTATTTATCGGTCATATTATTACGGTAAAATAATTACATAACCATTATATATTTTTTTTTAATAATATTTGTTTAATATTGTACCTATTTTCCCGTTTCTCCTACATTTTTTTCCCGGTTTCCACATTTATTGGGAAAACTCGTGAGAAAATCAAAAAATGACTTCCTTAAAGTACCTCCTCAGTTCGATTTCCTTCCAGAAAGAGTGCTACACTTGTAAATCGGAGCAAGATTTCCGATTGAAAAACTGTCCACAGTAAAAAAAAAAAAAACATCTTTGTAAAACTATAAGCTTCTTTGCTTCACTCAAAATCTAAAAAAAAATAATTTTAATATTTTTCAATGTCAAGAATTTCAAACCAATAAGAAGTAGGTAAAAGACAAAATTATATTGCGACTAAAACATCATAAAATGATTTCCTTAAAAAAAAAAAAAAAACATAAATACAAACCACTCTGTATATAAATGTAACGGATGCGTGTAAAATATTCATCAATAAAGCTGTAGTGTACCTACACTATACGTATACAGTTGCACACCTACCTACGTAAAAAAAAAAAACCGTACACATCATGGGCATCATAATTTGCAATTTATAACGTCTGAAATGACAAGGTCTTGTTCGGTACTAAGCCAATCAAAATTATTTTTTTATAAATGCTATAATAATATTTTGGCATTAACCGAACATCGTGGTATTATACCGGATTACAATAAATTACTACCATTATTATTACACTAATTATTTTTCTAGAAATAAACCCCTTAACTGTTTAAAATATAATTTTGCAGTTGTTTTAACATTATGAAAAAAAAAAAAAATTAATAATAATAAAGCAATCACGTAAGCATTTACTATTTTTAAATGATGATCTCATACCGCTCTATTATATACTATAATCATACCTTCGCCCTCAAAAACGAATCGTTAATAATTTATTATTCTATAAGTAAAAACTTGGCCAAAAGTGATAAATTATTTTCATAATATTATAATAATATTAATCGATAGTACATTTGTATTGTATATAGTCGATATAAATCATCCGAGAAAAAATTCTAAACTCAAATACGTCATAATATTGTATAATATCTAAATACCGTTAAAACCGTACCTATAAATCTCGCGTAATTATACGGATAGGTAATTCTGAAAACGATCATTCTTATTTTACGCTATTTTAGAACAATTATTGTGCCGAAGGATTATCGAGATGCGTAATAATAATTCTAATTGGATTGTATAAATCGATTTTATCAAAACACAGGGTATCAAAACGCATGAACAAATCTCAGAAGGAGGGAGGGTGGGAATCACAACAAATATCTATTACATTTTATACATATGCTGTAGCTCAATGTATTATTTAAAATGTAAATAGAAATTTAAGGAGAGTTTATATTTCGGAGGGGGTTTAAACTTCATCTGTCCTGCGTTCGCCATTGACAAAAAACGTATACAGTTAAAGAGAGTTTTTCTTTTAAAACATTAACACATATAACTTTTGCCGGTTAATGACCTCTCGCCCCTTCCCCTCAAAAGCAGCAAACAATGAAATCATAAACATAAATTGCAACTTATACATTTTTTAATGTATTCCGCGTATATTATCACAATCATTGGTCTTCGACTGAAATCATCTTAACCCTTTAACCTTTAAGTACACCGTCGGGTAGTAAATTTTAATACCGTGCCTATCGCATTTGCTTTAAAAAACAAAAAAAAAAAAAATGTATACATGACAAAATGGTCACATTTAGGGAAACTCGAAGTTTCTAAAGCTCGAAATCGAAAATAAAATTACTATTTAATTTTTTAATTTCGTTTACGGTTTTATTTTATTAGATTCTGAGCAGAATCTACAATTTATTGGTTTCATTATGCTTTTTGTTGTTAAAATTTCTATCAGAAATCTTGTTCTAATTGAAAACCGATTAAAGAGCTATTTTAGATCTATTTGGTGCAGTGACGAAGTGATTTTTGATTTTTCCAGCAGTTTTCATAATAGTTGGGAAATACTTTAAGTTAGAAAAACCGAGCAAATTTACTGCAATACAAATTTAATTTTTTTTTTTATTTTTAAATTTTTTATGCTACCAAAAACTTTACTCAAAATTTCGAGAGTTGCAACTTTTCTTCTCATAGAATACTAATATTGACCTTTTTTAGACGTGGTAAAATTTTCAAAACATTCTGCTGATATTTTAGCTATTTATAGACATTTAAACTTTTTGAGGTTTTTAAGTTTTTTTTTTTTTTTTTGGTTCAATTTAAACGGACAAAATTGTTTAGCCAAATATAAATGCTTGAACATTTGATACGAGGTTTATTATAAGTATAACTTAGAGGTAAAAACAAAAATGTTGAGCATAATGTAGTAGTTTGTATTTTATAAACGTTATAAGATCAAATGTTGACGAAAAACGTAAAAATTACGGAATTTCAAAATATGTATAACCGAATTTCGCTGAGAATCAAATTTTGTTAGCAATGGTATAACATTGCGCACGGATGTAAATTAAATAAATGTATACTGTTTTCTTAATTGGCCACCAACATCAGTGACAGCTCGTAAATATTTGCCGGTATACCTACAATTTTCTCTCCGGTGTTTTCCAATTATTTCGATAAATGACTTATCTAATACATCAAAATATCCTTTCAGGAAAGATACTGCACTCTTTATACCGGAGAAATGTGTCCGGTAGAAAAGTTGTTTACAAAAAAAAAGTAATAAAAAATATTAATAAATAATATCTTAGTAAACGCTTTGAGTCTAAAATGATTAAAATAACGAATTTATAAATTATCGTTAATAACTAGGTCAATTTGGTAATATTATACATTAATTGTGCATTTAATGATTATTGTAATAATAATAGGTGAGAAAAAAAAAATTATGTACGCGATTTCTCAAGAATTCTCTGATTATTAAATCGCGGAAGCTATTATTTGATTACGTTGATGATGATCTGGTATATTTTTGGACTTGGATTGGTTTCGGATTTAAATTTTTTCGCGCAGCGCCATTTCTACTTGAGCGTAATTTCCGATGGCAAATTTCATCTAATAGTTTGTATACCAGTATGCTTAGTAATAATTACTGAAAATAATTTATTGGTTTTTTTTTTTTGAAATAATTAAATTACATGTCTTTGTATGGACAAACAAATAGGTCAACGTGAATAATTAAACTAATACAATTAATTGGGCATATTATATAGTAATATTAAATGATTGAATAATTGAACCCAGCAACATTACAGTATAAAATCGAATCAGAACTACATCGAATGGTTTATTAAAATGGTTAGGTAAAACGCGCACTTGCGTATGACCAATCCGAAACAACGGTCCAAATATGCGAATTTTATTATGTCCGCTGCAACTTTTAGATTCGGAGTGTAACGGGGATCCGTTGGTTTTACTATTATGATGTGTTTTTTTTTCGGTCCGTAAACCACTTTTCGAAAAGAAAACTCGCTCCGATAAATCGAGAGCAGCTTCTTATCTGAAATGCGAATTTCTCTAGTTGATGCATTGGGGATGTCAATTTTTAATTTTCCCAGGGGTTTTCGAAATAATTGCCAAAAACCCGAAAGAAAATTATAGGTAAACCGACAAATATTTACGGCACGACCTTACCGATTTCAATGCTTTCTAACCAACTGACAAATTACAAAAGACCTTTTTTGTTACATTTTTAATCTTGTTGGTAAATGATAATTCGTTTTTTAATTTCTTGGTAGTTTTTTTTATTAATTAGAAAAAACCGAAAACAAACGTAAAAAGAACGGGAAAATGTACGAAAATTATTATTTTGTTATTTTTAATTTTGTTTTTTTTGTTGTTGAAAACATTCGTAGAGACTTGAAATTATTTCAAAAAACTTATATTTGCTTTTTCTATACGTGGTAAAATCATCAAAATAATTTTTGTAGTTTTTCGAAGCTTTTTATTGACGTTTTATTTGGCGAGTTTAACTTGATTTTTATTTGGTAGGTAGTCTGTGGATAAAATTGACTAAACAGAAATATTTAAAAATTTGACAGGAGTCAAAAGGACTCATAAATCGTACTTAGTGGTCAAAATAATAAAAAACATTCGGCACAATATAGATATTTTTTTAATAGAGGTTTAAAATCAATAGTTTAACGAAAACTGTAAATATTACAGCCTTTAAAAACATGTAAAACCAAACTTTGCTCAGCGTCATTTTTCGTCAGCAATGGTTTATCGTCGGTTTCAATGAACCTTATATATCCAACTTTCCCAACTACCTACCTATCACAATGGCTGCACCCATCCCCAGCTCTTCAGCTCTTTTTCTAAAATTATTCATGTTAATGTGTTATTTAATAAATAAATTTAACATAAAAAAGAGCTGATGCTGGGACGGCTGCGGTCACTGTTGTAGGTGGAATGTTCTGAAGATAGGGTTTAAAAATTTATTTAATTTATATCTATAAACAACGATAAACCATTCTTAACGAAATACGATTCTGAGTGAAGTATAGTTATATTTTATACATGTTTTGAAACGACGTAATATTTACGATTTTCGGCCAAATTGGATCTTATTGAAATTAATAACTGTTACATTAAGTTCAAGTTTTTTTTTTTACCACTTAGTTCTACTTACTAATGTTAAATTTTAAGCATTTCTCTTTTGTCAAACAATTTTATCCAAATAGTATACTTACCAACGGAACATTACGAAATAGCTTAAAAATATTTTGTCAACTTGACCACGTCTAGGTGAATATAGGCTTTCTATACATACATTTAAGTATTTATCATTATTTTTAATTGAATTACAAAAAAAAAAAAAAAAAAAAAAAAAAACAAAATTGTAAATTTTCCGTTTTTTCTACGTTTTTTTTTCCCGGTTTTGTTCAATTATTAACAAAACTATATAAATCAAGAATCGACTTTCACTCACAGACTAGATCAAAAATACAATAAAAAAAGGTCTCTTGTCGTTTATCGATTGGAGCTATATTTCTGATAGAGCACAAAGCGTACAAATTTAAAATAATGAAATGATATGTTGTACATTTTTCGACTTTTTCAGCGGTTTTTATTATAATTGGGAAAAAACCGGAAAATAAAAATCGAAAAAATGGCATATTTCTCCACAACTGAATTCGAAATGCAACAAAAAAGGTCTCTCTCGTCATGTTTTGATTGCAGCAAGGCAAAAGCGAACTCAAGGTGAGTGGTTCGGGTGATACATCACCACCCCCCCCCAAACAAGTGTAGAACCAAGAACCATTTTTCTCTTTTTGTTGTAACTTGTTACAGTATTGATTAAAATATCGATAAAGTGAAGTCTCTAAACACTGGACGCTCTTGGTCATTCAAAATTGTATCCTCTATTCAAATGGAGAAAGTGTCCGTTATCTAATGTCCCGTATTTAGAGACTTTCTAATTGATAGGTAAGTTAGTACCTACTGAAAATATTCCCGTTTTCAAAAAAAAACGTCCGCTAATGTAACTGCATCAATATTTGTTCGGTTAATTAATATAGTTTTAATATACAATTTCGTGATTCATTGAATTTACGATTTTGATATTCATATCGTCCCCCGAAAAAAAATTCTTAGCTACGCCGCTGGAACGAGGCTCCGGTGTAGTAACGTCGCTCGCAGACATAGACAATAACGAATAAACAAACACGCACCACGACGAAACCAATGGATACCCGGCTGCGGTACGCTCGGAATCTAATATTATTATAATATGACGACGTCATAAATATTGACGTACATTTTTTTTTGTTTTTTCGATATAAACATTAGAGCCGCGTGTGTAGACGGACGACGGTGAAGCGTGCGTCCGCGAGGCAGTTTACCGCGGGGGCGCCCCCTGTCCGACGAAAGCGCACGAGAGCCAAACGCCACATTAATATATTATTATACGCATATGGCCCACCCAACCCCCGCCCAGCCGCCGGCGTTCCGTTAACAACAGCGCGAACGTTGTGCGTCGTTCGTCGAACGACTTCTCGGAAAACCCGGCATCGCTCCTCGCCATGACGTATCGCGCGCGCGTACTGCACGCGGTGGCGCTGTGATTTATCAACGCGCATTTCGGGCCGCCGCCCGCCTTTTTCGGCCGGCGACGATAAATAAAACCGTGGCGGGGGCCCTCGTGATTTAAAACGTTCCGCGCGCGGGACGGGGCGGCTAGAGGATTAATCTCCGGGGCGCGCGCACACGGGCCGGCGCGGTGCGCTTTCGGGTAGTAGGGGAAATCTATTATTTTAGTTAACTTTTAATCGCCGCCGCCGGATTGTTGTTCGCTGTCAGAGCGGATCATCGACGACCGCCGCCGCCAGCTCCTCCGCGGTCGTTCGTCTCTGTAAGAACTTTTATTTATTATTTTTTTTTTCTTCCGTTGCGACCCCGCGACACCCTTCCGCAAACGCCAATGATCGTCTTCTCACCCTTGTCCTTATCACTGTCTCTATCTTTCACACACACACACACACACACACACACACGATTTACCGCATATACGTATACGTATGTATCTATACAATCACTATATATATATATATATATATATACGTATACTTTCGCAGCAGCCGTTTACGCGCGTACATATGTGTCCTACGGGTCGCCTGACACTAATGGAAACGAACGACGTAACCAACAGCAATTTTCTAGATTAAACGTCACGGCGTTACGTCTCTCCGTCCGAGACACGCACACATACCCACGCACACGTCCACCACACAAGCGCGCGCGCGCGCTAGCGATCGTTTTAATGCGAACGACACGCGGCGTGTACAGCAGCAGCAGCAGCAGCAGAGGGCGAACCGTGATGTGCACAGTGTAAGCGCGTGTATTTTATATACATAGTACACGTACATCGGGTTTGCGTGTGGTGGGCGTGGCCTCGGGGGAAGGAGAGCGTACACACACGCGCCGGAGAGGAGAGGTACGCGGACAGCGTAGGGGGTTGACTCGCCGAGGTCGGCCTACTGTACATACGTATTATATATATATATATATATATATATATATATATATATATATGTTTAGACACATAGGGCATATACACTTATGTATATATATATATATACATACGCGCGAGATCTTTTTCTTTTTGGATGTCCCGCGTCTTCCCGACGCCGCCGTCCTATACAATCTCGTCCGTCCGTCCGTCCGCCCTCTGCCGCCGCCGCCGCCGTAGCCGCAGCAGCAGCGTGTCTTTGTACCCTTCAGATTTCCCGTCCGTCCCCGAAAATGATCGGTCATGTTTCGGACCCAACCCCTCTGCGGTGAAACGATTTTTCCTCCGCTCGATTCCGCGCGGTCCTCGCCGTCCGCCCGCGAAAATATATTTATTATTATATATATTGTTATTATTATATGATAAAAAAAAACAACGCGTTATATACGTTTTCGATCTCTTATCGCCGTCCCGTCCATTTGTCATAGAACGGGTGCGCCCTGTTGCGCCCCGTTCCCCCTCGAATATCATATCGCGCCGCGTGCGGGACGTGTACCGCGTATACAGTAAGCCGTATACGAATTATTATTGTGGGACAGGCCGCGCGCAACCGGTAGCCGATTGAAAAACGCATTTGTCACCCATAATAGCGAAAAAATTCCACTCGTTAGATATTATTCATTTCTGTCTTTTTCTTTACTTTTTTTTTTTTTTCCAATTCTTAAACCGGACCTCCACTCGTCCCTACGTCCGTCGCTGCGGATACTTTCAATATTGTTTGCATGCGCGATTTTTCCTATACATCGTGTCGGGTGCGTTTACAAAAAAATTGGCCGGGAGGGGGGCAGGGGTTTAAGGTTTTACATATTCATACTATTGTAACAAAGAAGTCCGCACACTTTCAACCGTAGGATTATTTACTTGCCATTAAAAATGTCAATATTTTATAACACGGGGGGGGGGCAAACCCCTAAAATACCCCCCCTCGTACACGCGCCTTTATTTATGTGTTTTATGAAATAGATAAACGGAGTTTTTGCTTTTCCATCAATCTTTCCTTTCGTAATTGTCGTTATCCGTTCATTGTTTTGCACTATACCCCCCAAACCGTGTTTTCCTCCTTTCCCCGATTGTTTGGCATGATTTGTTCTGTTCGTCAATTATCAAATTTCTTGTTATTTATTTGTTTTTAAAAATATCTTTGTTCGTGTTTCTCTGTTTTATATCATTTTTTCCGATAATATGTCATTTTACTACCTTAACACGTATAACATTGAACTTTTTCCGATATTTTTAATTCTGTACCTTAGAACTAAAATACACCATATCCATTTTCTATGTAACTGAGTTAGCCCAATATCCTTGTTGTCTACCTAAAGATAAGTTAGGTTCTAGGTTAGGGCTCTACGTCCAGTTATCATAAGTAACGGAAATAAGACGATGGAAAATAAAGTGCCACGGTTATGTCCAAAAGTGTACAACACTATGTTCACAAAAGATACATTATTTTTAGAAATTGAAGACCTGGCCGGCAACAACCAGACATCTTCACTTTTTCTAATTGTTCAAGAGAAACAAAAACTGTTTTATAAATTAACAACAAATTAACAGAAAATTTATTCAAATACATTAGCAATATTTATTATTGATATTACGAAAAAAAAATCAACAAAAATTTAGATAGAAATCTTATAAATAATACTAATAATAATGTGTTTAAATTTCGTAGATTAACAATTCGTATTAGTCATGAAGAAAAACAAATTTATAGATGAAAATAATCGAAAATTCGGACTCCTGTAAAATTCCTACTATTTTGTGACATTCGATTCGATCTTATTCCGTTCCGTAGATCGAATTTGAAACAACCGTTTATGCCGTTAATATTGACCACCGAAATTCTTGTCCTTCAATAGATTAATTGGTTTTGCACTTACCACCTAATGTACCTTATATACACTTTATATAGTTGTTTAAATAGTGCCATCGTTATTTTAAAAAATTCTTCAAAGTTTCAATTAAAAAGTAGGTTTGTAAACTTATAGTTGCGGGTGTAAAAATCATAAAAAAAAAAATTATATTATCTATCGTAGTGTAACTTAAACAATATGAAAAGCAAATGCAGTAAATGTCTTTTCTTTTAACTTTTAAAAAAACTCATTCAAACTATGTCAAAGTATTATGAACTCTGTTTTGCATATTTTATTTCGATTTTTTACGAAAAATGTATGTAAAAAAAAAAAAAAATGTTTTTTATCAGCAAAAATAATTTTAGATTTAAACGGGTCATCATAATATATAGGTTTAGATAGCTAATATATTTTGATATTTTCGCGTATATTTAGTTCTATTTACACATTGCATTATGTAACAAAAAATTAATATCATTGTTATAACTGGATTTTTTTTTTACCTGATCCGTTGACCGATTTCATGTCAGTCGAACCGTTATTGGATGATATGCTGCCCGGCGTGGACGGTGTGCCAGGCTTGACGTCCTTTGATTGACCGCACTGTTTTGGCTCGGTTTTTATGTTGGTCGTGTCCACCGTGCTACTGCTGCTGGACTGCGACGACTTTTGTTGGGCCAGTCTTTCTTGCTTTCGAAATTTCGCTCGACGGTTTTGAAACCATACCTGGCAAAAAAAAAAAAAAAAAAAAAACCATCTTTTAGTCGTTATAATCGTAATTCATATCAATATAATATACCCATTACCTACTCTTATTCCTAGGGTTGCAATTTCAATATTTAAATAAAACATTTTTAATGTATTGTAATTATTTGTAACTGATTAAAATATTGTAAAAACAAAGGAGGTCGATCCCAAATAGTTGGGATAAGTGCAAAGAAGTTTAAGATTAAAATATTATGACGAAAATACCTTGTAATTTTCTAAATATTAGTTTCTACGTCTCCGATTTTAACGAATATCCAGTGCTTGAATTAGGAGAGAGGTGTAGGGGCACGGAGTACATAAACTAATTTTACGGAAATTTCAGCGTTCCTCTATTGTTTGTTTAAAGTGGGTCGTGTTTTTTCACGGTTCTTATGTTCTACAACTGTTCAAATAAATATGAATATATATTTTCACATTGGTTGAGTAAAATATTCATCCCCCTCGAACAACCCTAGAATACACCGCTGAAAGAGCGGTATATATTTGATAAAAATGCGTTAAAATTTAAACTTAAAGCGCTTTAAAAAAAAAAAAAAATTCTCGGACTTTTTTCTACTAAATGCAACTTCCAAAACAATTGTAATCACATAAAACCAAATAAAACCCTTAAAAACTCGAAAATTTCAAATGATTCTAAATGAAAAACTACCAAAATGATTTAAAAACTTTACCGTGTTTGGAAAGAGCTTTATATAATAAATATAATCTACGCCTATAATGACCTAAAAGTTTTCTTGGCGGACTTTTTAAGGTTTTTCTCTATTGTATGTGTTTTCCTATATTGAGTGATTAAAAATATTACAAAGAAAATTAAAAAATAACCGCCTCATTGCATCAACGGGACAATATATTATTTTACTAGAAACCATCACCTTTAAAGTCGATGATCGGAGCAAGATTTTTGGTGAAAAAGTTATTCACACGCAGAAAAAAAAAAAATTAAAAAATCATATTATAATAGAATCATAGTAGTAATATTATTACGGAACAAGTAGAATCTACAATAAATAATATCTATTAAGTAATCGAAAAGTCACTATACGCAGTTGGCCTATACACACACACGTATGGGATTTAGACCAAAAATTGAAGGAAAACAGATTCCGTAAGACGAAATCGTAAAAAAAAAAATTCCAGAATTTGACCGATGTCCTTTTCCCCTGTACAGGATCCTAAGACGTTCATAATTCATTTTACGCACCACACACACACACACATTGTTATTTATTATATAATATTATATACAGTGTACGTATATATTATATATACACAGCGTACCGGCATCAGTAAAAGTCTGTCCGTCGTTCTCCAACCTCTCCCCCCCCGGTTCCCCCCGCTGTTAATCAACGAGAACGCCGATGTGCCGCCGGTGTATACGCATTTGGTCCGTTTTTAAAAGGTTATCTTTTTGTCCTAAACAAATAGCGCAAAACCCCTTGGCGGATAAACTTCGCGCAAAAGTCCGCGGGTCTTGTGTATACTTACGAACGACTGCTGTTGCTCTGCCTACACGCAGTCGTTGTGCAAAGAGAACACAGTACGCGACCTGCCGCGTGCAGAGACGCACGAGGGTATATTGTTTTTTCTCTCTTTTCCCCCCATTTTTTTGTTTTTATTTTTTTCGTTTTTCCATCGTCCCCCGCCTCTTATGTATACACTACCACGCGCTACTCTATACATACACACACACACATATATATATATCTCAGCTCTGTTCGGCCTTGCATCACAAAAACCTCTTGCTCGTCCTATACGCGTGTGTGTGTAAATATATACGTGATGTTTGCTTTCCACCTCTTAAATCCAATAAAGTTCGGTTCCGTTTAAACACGCGCGCGTATGTATAGGACCTTTGATTCGACGGGCAGAAGCGGCAGTGGCCTTTTAATAAAACACGCGCGCGGAAAAGCCGACAACGGCGTGGCGTCTATTTATTTCCTCTCATTTTTCTCTCTTTTTTTTTTTTTTTTTATTTTTTTTTTATACTCATTCTTCCACTTCTCTTAACCATCGCCCTTCTGACGCGGTTATTAGCATTTGTTTCGTGAAATTCGTTTAAACAATTATGAAGGTATACATTAAACTATATTATGTATGTATGTATGCGAAATTGTTTACTTGTGTTATTATTTCTTTTTCTTTTTTTATACCTAACCTCTATTTCAGTTTTTTCGCAGTTTTATTTATTCAAATAAATATTATAATTCACAATATGCGGCATTCAAAATGGTCCAATAATGACGAGAATATTGCGAAGAAATCGTCGATTCGTTTTACACCGCCTTTTTAAACGTTGGACAATCAGTGTAATAATTATAACGTTTTCTGTATTACCCGTAACCATATCGTTATCACAACGTTCGTTTTACAATATTGTTATTGGTGCGACGGTCTTACAGTGGTCTATCACCGTGCGTTCTCCGACGTGCAGTCAATATTCGATTTTAGACACGCAAGTTCTACATGCCATAACAACGATTCTCCCTGAGAATAACGTCAATTACTTGTACGTCGCAGTAAATGCGATTGCAATATCGTTCGGCGAAAACAATTAAACAAATACCCGGAATTCCGTGATGTTTCCGCGCCGGAAACACCCGGAACAACGTATTATAATCGTACGGAAATCATTATAAACGATAGAGGCGCCGTTTTACGTATGTTTTTTTTTTTTTTCGCGGCGCGCAATACCTAAACAACACCGAGAGTTTAAAATCAAAACTCGAAATCCGCTCGCGCGGCGTATCGCGACGCGCGCGTTTTTGGCGCGGCCGGAAAATGACCGTTTTAGAATACGAAGACAACGCGGGCCGTAGCCGCGCGCTGTAGGGGGAAAAAAAAAAAAAAACAACGAACGACGACGACGCGCGGGACGCGTTCGCGCACGCACCGCACGGCCGCCCGGGCGTCCCGCGAACGGCGCCGCCGAATCGAGCCGTGTACAGTCATCGCGATTTAATAAACAAACGCGCGTCGACCGTCGGCCGGACGCGCGATATTTAACGTTCGTTTCGCGGCGCGGTTTGTCCGTACGCGTGCACAGGGCGCAGCGCGGCATCGGCACACAGTTTTCGGAGGTCGTTCTCGTGCGCGCGGGCGCGTCGACGACGCGTTTGTTTCATTACGCCGTTTCCTCCGCGACCCGGCCGCGCGAACTGACGACGAACAACCGAACAACGACGCGCGTGTAACTCCAACAGATGCGTTTCGCGCGCGATTTCCCGTCCGGTGGCCAATGTACCGTGGTAGACCTTCGCGCGCCGGGGCTTTTCGCCGCCGCGATTAATTGACCGTGTCTCTCGCTCGCTCGCTCTCTCTCTCTCTCTCTTTTCTACTCGCGCGACACTCACCCCCCAAAAGAAAAAAAAAAAACAAAACCCGTCACCGACGCCGCCGGAGTTAATTGAATATAAATAAATATTATATCGTCGTGTTCCGCGCGTAGACCGTACGTACGCGGCTACGTCCCCCTCGTTTTTCGGCGCGTCATCCGCCGCGGTCGTTCCGAAACGCCGACACCGCCTAACCATTTTCGTTGTTCCGCCGGTCCGCGCCCGATTTACGCGCACAATACGAGCCGTTCGACCGGGTCGACATAGTCAGGTGGGTTACGCCGGCACCCCGATATCACGTCACGTGGTCGTAGCGTTAGCGATGTACGATTAAAAAAAAAAAAATAATAAATAAAGTACGTGTTATTATTATTATTATTCTTTTTTTTTTTTTATATATATTATTTCGAAACGCGACCGACCCTAACGTATCACGCCACGCTTCAGTCAATAACTATTGCTAAATCATCCGACAGTTCGCGTTGACGCTCGCGAACAAACGATTTTCCTAGCAGGTTATTTTACCGCATCGTAATATAGCACGTGTTTGCGAATTGCACGCGTCCTTATTGTAACCGTCCGTAATAGTAATTATTAAACCGTACACCGAACAATGAATCGGTAGTACCTATTGGTATAATACTCGTGTTATACATTGTCGAACCCATTGAAATAAGATAAATAGGCCAGGAATGATGACGACCGTTTTACACGCGTAACATGCAATATTGACGACTACGAAATAATGTACGAGAGGGAAAGAGAATGTTCGAAAAAATGTTTGTACAGGTATAATGGTTTTTCGTGATAACCGTGAAAAAAACTACGCGATACGTGGAGGATTTTACCAGTAAGGCGTGTTAATAAGGCAAAAATGAGGCGCCCATTGCGAAGGGGGGCCAGAGTGAGACATGTACACCCACCCTCCTCCCCACCTAGAAAATAATAAATTATCCGAAAAAAAAAATGTGTGTATGCTTTGAACCCATCGAAATAAATTTTATTATATTCTTCGTATCGAAGACTTCGACTACATCGACTTTTATTTATCACTGAATCAGTGAACGCGTATTATGTACGTATTATTATGGCAGCCGGATGTCCCTAGCATAGATAATATAATTTTTCTTCTATCTGGTGCCCTATGATAATAATAATAGTGATTTTTATATTTTATAAGTGAACGAAAATCTGAAATTAGGTAATAGGTATTTAAAAGTGTGTTGGTCATTCGAAATATATTGTGTTTAGTCTTTAGTGTTGATTTATTTATTGCCTATTAAATTATTTTCTATAATGCTTTTATTGAAATGAGTAAATCGAAGAAATATATTTACTTCAAAGCGTCAATAGCCAGAAACTTCTTTGTCCGTATATGGAGGTGTGTGTAAATCGTTACTTTTTATTAAATACTATAACTATAATTTACACACTTATAAATTATAATTGTTTACTCAAACGTATGATGCAAACTATAAACAGTAGAATATTATAATGTCTTAAGCATTGACTTAGCACTTCAGTTATTATTTTTTTTAAAGCTAATGTTTACATAATTACATACCTGTTCTTCCTCATTCCTTTTCAAGAAATACGAACCTGGCATCTATGTGCTATATAGGTTTTGGACTCTAGTTTCATTTTGTCCCTCGTCTGAAAATTACCCTATGGGCGCCCTTGATTCGATCCTTTAAGTCTGAGCAACAAATACTACTTTATATATAATTACTTCCTATTTAGTTATTTAACGCCTATATCTAACTCTAATTGGCCATTCCATTAGCCACATCCACTCATCTATTTACGAAAAACCTATACGAGTATTTAGACTCGCACAACTATACTCTCGTGATCCTGCAAGCACGTTCCACCCATTTTATTCTTCTTTTCACGTCTACTATCATTGGAATAAAGCCTAATATTATTATTATACTTCGTTAAAATAATTTGCCACAATGTTAAACGCAACGAAATCCCGATTCGTCTTGTAAAATATGAGATTGTATGTAATATTATAATTACCGGAGGATTTTAAACGTTAGGTTAAGCTATAAAGATTGACCAATATATCCACTAGACAAGTATGAGTATATATTTTTTGAATCAAGACATTTTCCATTACAAAAAAAAACAGAGTATAATATTTAATTGGCACTTAGCCGAATGAAACGTTATAAGTACGTCCGAATTCAATTTTGATTTTGGCAACTATAAATTGTACAGAATGAATAATTTCTCCGAGGATTTGTGACACGCGTATGTTTCTGCACGTCTTTGCAGGGAATTGGCACTAAGCCTAAAGTTTAAGAGAGAAGATGTACCTATACCGTTTAGAATCAAAGAAGTCACGAACGCGCGTTAACGCATAAATATTATAGCTTTTACATAAGTATATGGGTAGTATATGACTATGCACACTATATAAACTATAGTAGAAATACAATATCTGGAAATTAATTTCGTGTTTTTAGTGTTTTTACCGCATTGTTAGTTATACGTTTTAATTGTTCAACATTCGCGATTGTTATACAATGCTAACCATATAAAAGCGTAACGCTAATAACACGCTGAGCTACGTAGGCGTTATACAACGTACGTAGAATATTCTGTAATTTTTTTCCGACGTTTTAAAATTAAAGTTTATCGTCGAAGATCGATAAGTATATGACGAAAGATCAACTCCGCAAGACGGATTATAACGTCTATATTTTGGACTCCGGGGATTTAATTTAATTTTCGTTCTTCCCCGTATTTTCAATTGGTTAAAAAGGCCGACAACAAATAATACCCGGTGTATAAATAAAATGCGAAAACAAATCTATTTTATGTATTTTATAGAGCCGTCCGGCTGCAGTCGTTTTCACGTTGTGGAAACGGCAACAGCGCGGTATACACTAATATATTCTGCGGCCAATCGGTCGCCTCCGTCCCCCACCCACTTTATTAACGTCGCACTGAGACGCACTCGTAAATCCTCGGGGGAGGTTCTATAATATCTTATACAGACGGCCAGTACACGAAAAACAACACTGCGCGTTTTACGGCTACGGTGCGGGAGAAATGCTTTTTTTTTTTTTTTTTTTTGATAATATTATTACAAAAACTTCTATTCATAACATAATACGATGGCGTTTCGTTAAAAAGGCGTATACCACTAAAATTCGAAAAATACGTTTTCGGTATCAAAAAAATCAGAACAATTCGAGGCATAAACTGGTAAAATGTATGCCAGAGTTTGCCAGTTCAGTTAAAAGTGTACAACAATAATCTTCATATTTTTTGATAGAGTACGAAAATATTTGTATTATTAGATTTACACAAAATTAACACGATCGTGGGTGCAAATTACCTAAATAGTTTTGGAGATTTAAGCCACGATATAATATTGAATAATATTGAATAGGTATGTATATTTCGTAAGGACTTAGTTCGGAAGAGCTTGGCTGAGTATTCGGAGAGGGCATAAACCCTTAAATTCCCCCCTCCGCTATTTATGCCAATAAACACTGTAGTCGAATACAGGAAAATATAATAAGTGAGTATTATGTTATTTGTTTTTCAATAAAATGTCATCTAAAAAACAAGCATCGATATTTGAAATACATACGATTTTTCAATGCTCCCCCTCCCACCAGAACATTTTTTAAAATCCACCAGTGACTCGGCGATATTGCAATTATTATAATTGCACGAGGGTTTATGGGGCCATATCATACCTACTTATCGTTTTAATAAATTATTATACGCATTCTGCGCGTCTGTATAAAATATAACATTATGAATTTGTAGTTAGGGTGTCGAATTTTCATATTACGGCACGTCCGTTTAGAATAGATTTGTACAACAACCGCACGTAACATATTATTATAACATTGTAGGTATACACACGAGTATTTACGGATAACAAACACCAAACCGAAATGATTGACGGAAAACGTTTAAAACTAATTAAATATTACCGCAGCAGGAATACATAATAACGTTTTGTACGCGTGCAGTAACGTCGGAAGGTGGGAGTTTTCAAATTTATCTCACTATATACACGGAGGTACCTACACTGCTGTATATAAATACTTAAACTCGTTAATTCTTAATTTGTTTTGTGCAGTGTGTTATTTCGCTGTGATGGAGATCCTTTCGTATTATTTGCGAGTACATAGAGTATACATATGTTATACTCTAATATTGATTTTTTTTCGAACGACCGTCGGCGTATTCCACGTTCCAGTAGGCCTGCACTTCTGCATTCCCTATGTCTGCAATACGAGTTAGTTGGTATCTATTACTTGTGATAATGCGCTACACGGTACAAAATATTACAGTCGGGTCTCGTTAATCCGAACGAGCTTCAGAATTATCGTATCACTATATTTAGACGTATTTTCCCGTAATAATAACAATTTAAGGGACGCTACACGTGTTTTGCATTCGTTGTTTTCTGTCTTACAAACGCACGATATAGTTAAAACAAGCTGGCGCAGACTACGCGGCATTCGATTGATTTTGATTTTTGAGTGAAAACACCTATTTTAAAATCAAAAGAAAACCGTAGTCCGGAGGACAGGACGTTGCATTTTTTCCATTTTCTCCAAATAATTAATAAATTATTATTATTTACATTAAAGTCAATTTACCATTTTTAAATTACGACTTTTTCAACATTGTTTAACTAGCTAAAACTTTTGAAAAAAATAATTTCATAATTTCGTGCTTTCACTCTAAAACCAAAAACTAAGCGAGTTCTGGGTAGTCTGCGTAAGCGTGTTTTTACTATATTCATGTGTTTGTAAGAAAGAAACAACAAAGACATAACGTATCACGTGTAGGGTGTAGAGTCCTGTTAAAATAATCTCGATAAGCACATTACACGTGTAAGACGTTATTTAAGTATTTAAGTATTTAATAAAGCATTTTTTTGAAACAAAATAAAGTATTGTGCTTAGCACAATTTCAGATGCATATAACGTCTACTCCTTCGAATCTCTTGTAGTTCTTATAGAAACTTCGCTACTTTAACTACACTTATCATCTATCTGTTTACACTATTTTCTCCCCGAAATCGACGCACACCTGATAAAGTCGTCAATCACTCTATCTGTCTAACTTTGTCTTGGATGGCCCCGTAGTCTTTTCCAATTTAATAGTATAGTTATAATATATAGTTTATTTAATCCGACATTTTTAACGATTACATAATATACAATGTATCAAATATTATGAACATTTAAAGAACACGCATGATTGCATTCTATAAAATGGCGAATTTTTATAAATTGTTCTTTATTTTATAAAAAAATTATAAAACGAAAAAAAAAACCAGAAGATAACGTTTTAGGTATATCAACAACGATAACTGCAGTCCAGACGTCTCTTGGGAATATTTAAAAACTTACTATATAGGGATAGGTGGTATTTGGATATTATAACAGTTGAACTGTACACAGCACATTTGAATAAAATATGCATAGCTATGATTCCTTTTCGTTTATGATGTTATGATATTATAATATTTTATACGGACGTATATACAAACAGTTTAAATATTTATATTCCAAAAACGAAAAAAAAAAAAATGAAAATAAGTATAGATTTGCATATAGATTATAGATATACGTGTATATTATGTTTCGCCACTATGTGAAACGATAAACTTTTAAATGTTTACACGCAAGCGAACGACTCGTAAGATATCATACTATAATTTTGACAATATCGACTTATAATATACTAAATGTATGTAAGGTAATGTGTGTACGTCATCGTGTCGTCGGCTCAGAATTAAAGGAACGTACATTAACGAAATGCAGCTATTGAAAATACATAATATTTTCTACTAAATTGTTTAGTTAAAAATAAATTTAAATTAAAAAATAGGTTAAAATCAGTTAATATGCGTAGGAAAAAAAATCCGTATACGGTTGATAATTTCCTCGTGGACGATATGTCTAACTTTAACGTATGAATTATCGATTTGAACGAAAAGTAACGAAAACTTTTTTTTAGTTAATTGAAGAAACAAGCAGTTCTGAAATTTTACATTACCAACCGTTAGTTATTTTCACCCTTATTTTCGAATGTAAATCACTATCCTCTTTTGGTTTTCTAACAGTAACATACAGTAAAACAGTAGTGAAGAGCTACTCGAAAATTGCGCTCCGTACTGCCACGCAAATGATGTTCAACTCTCTCTCTACCAAAACTTAAAAATGGAGTACGTCGTTAATGGATTAGCGGAAATTAAATACGTCAACCCCAAAACGTATTTAAACTAAAACTTCGTCCGTTTATGGAATTTGTAAAATATACCGAAGGTGCACACTGGGAGTTACGGGTCTGTCCCCCTCCTTTCGAAATGTCTTCCTCCACTGAATTTGTTTGAATCAAGTTTTAAATTTAGCTTGTTTCATACGCTGTCCGAAAAAAATGTCCAAAGCAATAGTTAGGTAGGTAATAATGAGTGTCGGGGTCGATCACTCCGTACACAAATATCGGTGACGACGACGGACATCCGACGAACTATCGGCGATACAGTACCGTATTTAAGATGGAGGGGGAGGTGTATCCGAGGATACACCCGCTCCCGCGTAACCGTGATAACACGGCGTAAAATAGGTAACCGCGGTAAAATCGCGGGGTAAAACGTCCGTGTCTTACGGCCAGTCGATTGCGTGTTACCGTTGATCGGCGTGAGCGGTGGTGCGTGGAGCTTATTCGGGTACACCCGCGTTCGAAGACAACGAAAACGAATTTATCGAATGCAACGACGCGGATCGTACGCATTCGCAGTACGCGCGCCAAGTGGGGGAGGGTCGGGGAGGCAGACGTAACCCCCCCCCTCCCCCGCGAGACTGCGAATGACAGTTTTCGTCCCCTAAAAATGCTAAAAACGCCACTGCCACGATAGGACGAACGCACTCACACCGACCCCGGTCGCCGGGCGTGTGCAGTGTATAATATTTTGCGGTTCGCGACATTATTATCGTATACACAACGTGACATAAACTCGCGCGACGCCGAAACGCCGGAGAATCGACACCGCCACCAACACCGGCGGCGGCTGCGGCGGTTCTTCCGGTTCGCTGGCCCGTTATTAATTTAATAATATACGGCTTTCGCTCTTCCCTTCCCCCTTCTTCCCCCCCCCCGTACATTCTGTAGCCGTCCTCTCTCGTTTGCCCACCTCATCCCCTGCACCCACCCCCATCACATGTACGCGTCTTATTTCAATCAGCCACGCCGCCGCCCCCGCCAAACCGCGACGGGTCTCCGTTTTATATTCTTCCGGCACCGAGTCCGCGCATTGCATACATTTCGTGCGTACTGCGGCCGCACGCGTCGGCGGCACGGGCGCCCGCGGGAAATTTATCAGGAACGGACAGTGTCCGCGGTGTCTCGGTGAAGTTTCGAATGGCACTTTTTTTTTTTCTTCTTCTCCTCCTCACGTACAACCCTAAACAATAACGGGTCCTTTGACGACCAGGGAGGACCGCGATAAAATCAAACGCCAAAAATTACAACGAAACTGTATAAATGATCCGGTTATTAAAATTATACTTGAAATTTTAAAGTCCAGATGCCCCGCCTTGTCCCCCGTCCGGGGCGTCAATGATTGGCGGTGTTTTTATCGCGAACCGACGAACCGAGGACGGCCGACTTTAATGGACTATTGTGATCGACCTCTTATAGTTTTTTTTTATAAGTTGTCGCGATCGACCGAAAAACATTTTAAAAAAAAAGTTTTTTATACACGCGTGTTACACTACTTTTATCTTATTTAGATGAAAAAAAAAAACCAAAAAATTATGCGCTGTACTGCGCGCATATAAGTGAAATGTGAAAACACGTATAACGTCATCTTTGAATCTTTTTATTTTTCGGTACAGTAAAAACACTACAGTTTATGTCGCTACACATTATGTCCTCATAATTTTAGTGAGTATTATATTGTTATGTTATACGAGTAGTTTAATCCCTGTGCTGTGCGAGTATCTGTGGTTGCACGGATGAAAAAATGTACGACGCACTAGAACACTTTTAATTCCACATTACGTCTGTTTGTTTCAATATACCGATACGTTCATAGCGGAAACCGGAATAAACGTAAAGCGAATAAAAAATCGGCACGGGCGCGGGGCAGCACTAGTGATTTGTAAACTCAAATTCGAAAAGAGAACATTTTTCTTAAAACGTTGATATTATACTGGCTACGGCGCGTAGCTCTATAATATTATATAGTACTAACACAATAAATAATATCGGATGATTCAAATGTATCGTTTATACGAGTATAACAACAGTTTAACGTTCAGACCGAGGGAGTGTAAAGAAGGGGTATAAAATCACCCTGCACATTATATTATAGTTTTTGTCGGATGGCGGAGATATAATAATATGACAACGCCCGGAAAAGATCGATCGTTATGTACATTGTTATTTTCACCGCCGATCTCCCCGGATGAGTGATGACGATTCGTATTTTTTTCGCGCCGAACGACGACAATAATAATAATATAGTGTCTATCGCCATACTGGTAAAAAAAAAAAAAAAAATAATAATAATAACAATAACCGGAATATCTGAAAATCCGAAAGTGCACGTTTTTTAAATACAAGCACGGTGCGACACGCGTTGACAACGTCTACAGACGTCGAAAGAAGTTTTTCTCATTACAAATACAAGCTGAGGTTGAGGCTGTATTCGATTTGTAAAATTTATAAAATTAGTCGTACAATGCAAAAATAATTAGCTAGAAAAAAAATATACTCGTATTTTTCGTACTTTGCCTTTTTTTTTTTTTTTACTTATAAATGCATTTTTTATCAAAAATATCAACCAAGTATCAATTGGAGAAAAAAACATTGTCGATTTAATAAGTAATTATCTTAATTTATATAATTATTTATGCATGAAATACGCCCCAATATAACTTTAGTGGACGTAGAAAGATTATTTCCTATGTACAATCATTGTTCGATTTTCCAGGCAGTTTTCCCAATAAAAGGGAAAAAACGAAAAAAAACGGGAAAATGTACGAAATACATTAGTAAAATACTGATGTTTTTTTTTCTGTGGAGAATTTGTCCATCAGCAATTTCGCTCCTATTTACAATAATAGCACTTTTTCTAAAAATAAATCCGACCGGGGAGGTACTCAAAGGAATTCGTTTTTCGATTATATTATCACATTAAATAAAATAACATATAATCCCTATTTAATTATTTTACAATAATATGACGTATATATTATTGACGGAGCGTCACTGTGTCAACTGAATTCCGCTCAGAATCGTTTTTATTAAGCAACGGTCTGTCGTCGCTTGTAGACACAAATCGTAGATTTCCCCTCTATACCCAACAAACTTCTCAACTTCTCACCGACAACAGTGGACAACGCGAGCTTTTTTTTTTTTTTTATATCGATTGTGTTGCCTTCAAAACCCGAACACGTACCGATAACCGTTACGGTGTTCTCCGTCTGCGCACTGCGGTGTACCGGACGCGGCCTTTTTCGAAATGACGTTTACGACTGCGCGCGCGTCGAATGTTTTCGATCCGATTGTTTTTCGCGCCCACTGTAATATCATACGCCGACGGTTTGATGCGCGCGTATATTTTCGCGACGAGCGTCCGGTTATCGACAGCCGTACCGCGATCCGTTGTCCGTGGACGCGGAAACCCTTCGGCGGCAAACGATGATGATAAAAAAAAAAACCCGCGCGACAGCATACGCGTTACGCACCCGCACGGCCGCACAGCTTTGTTACGTTCTTGGCGCGTCGCCGCGATCGCCTCTGCGTACGCGCGGATTTCGCGGCGAAAACCGCGACGTGAACGAGGCCGACGCTGCCCGAGGGCGTGCCGCTGTTTCGCGGAGAGACCGCGGAACCGAACGATTCCGTTCGGCGCGTAACGCGTACGCGCAGACGTAACCGTCGCTAATGAAAAACGCTTGCGAGCAGTGCGTGTTGCCGCAGGCGGCCGCGTAGTCTTTCGCTTGTCGCCCGGAAACCGGCAAAAATCACACGAACAACGACCGGTTTTTCCCGAGTTGTTACGACGGGGGACATCGAAAAAGCGCGACCCGCAGCGATGGCCGTGACTACGTCGAAAATCCCCAGTAGAGTTTTTAATCGGATCGAGACTGCTCGGTGTTTTCTCCGATTTATTTTTTGTCGTAAACAACATCTCCGCCGAAACAATTGTCTGCGAACGTAGTGACTTTTCCGAAACGAAATCGTACCCGGCCGGCCGGGTCGCGGGGATCGTTTTCCCGCGATTTTCCTCGTACAGTTTTCGTTAATGACTGCGTGGGCGGGGGGGGGAACGGGAAAATGCAAGTTACTGCCGGACACGCGCGCGTTATCCGATAGCTCCGGACGATGTCGATAACGACGGGAAATTTTAGCAAAAAAAAAAAAAAGCGGTCCTCTCGTTGAAACGTTTTCCCCGAGACACCGGGGCACCTGCGCGTCCCGCGGCGGCAGCAGAAGCAACAAATAACAATGACGGTGACAACGACGCAGATACGTACCGCGGGCCACAAACGCGCACGCATTGTAGGCGCGCGACGGCGAACGCCGCACAAAAGGGCCGGTCGGCGGACGGGGAGGGCGACGCGAACAAACAACGGACGGGCGGGTGCACGCGAAATAATAATAGGTAATAATAATAGACACGATCCGAACCCTTTACGCGCCGCGTCCCCGCGTAGTTCATTAAACCGGCGACAATCGCCGCGGCGCATGCACGGGGCCCGGCGCGCGTTACGAATAATATTATGCGCGCGTGCGTTAGTGTTGCGTACGCGCGCGCACGGATCATTGCCCGCCGTCCGAGAACCGCGGGGAGAGCCGGCCGATTGTTCCCTGCGCGGTCGGTCCGGCAAACGCTGGCGTCTGCACCGGCGGGACAGCCGGTGTCCCGTGCCCGCACGCACAATCGCGGATAACGGTTAACGGCGATCGTAACGCGCGCGCGGCAGTCACCGGCCGGTGTCGCTCACCCCTGTGGGGCGCGGCGCACGATCGCCGCCGCGAAACTGCGACGCTTACGCGTGTGTACGGCCGTAGGTGCCTTTATTGTCGCGGTACGCGAGACGACAGAAGGCTAAATACTTGTTTAACACATGTTAATGTTATTATTATTATTCCGTTTGTTTGTTTGTTTGTTTGTTTTTTTTTTTTTTTTTCGGGGGTTTTTTTTACGCTCTCCCTGCCCTCCGCGCATTGTGCAGTACAGCACACACGCGCACCATCCCCGGCCCCATACGTCCGGCGACTTTTCGCGCGCAACTGAGCAAACAGTAAAGGCCGCCGACGGAACAACGGTGACGTGCCGCGCGTACAAATATATGCACAGGGATTATGGCGCCAGATTCGGGAGCGAGAGAGCGGCGCGCGCCCGCGTTTACAATAAATCAACGCAATATTGTCCCTTCATTACCCGCCGCCGCCGCCGTAGGTACGCGCCCGCGAGTGCTACAGTATATTATACCGTGTTTACAAGGGATTTTTCGCGTTTTTTTTTTTTCTTTTTATCTTTTTTTTTTTTTTTACAGGGCGAAAAATAAATATGACGCGATTTAATTGTGCGCCGCCCGTAATAACAATAATAATACGTCACGAATCGGCCGGCTCGCCGTCCGGGAGCGACGTTCGAGAGACTACGCGCGTATACCTTTGGCGGTGCTTACATTCTTCAAACGCGTAAAACGCATTACGATCGCGGCCGTCATAAAAAAAAAAAGAAGCTTTCACGGGACAACGGGCGGACGGGCGCGGCCACCGCTGTAGGCAGTTTTACGTACGTCTGTGAGTAACGCGATCATGACCATTGCCGACGGAAAAACGATTCTGAACGGAGTTCGGTTGGTGGCAGTGTTGCTTTGTCGACAACGTGTACGTCGTGTTATGGTAAAATAATCGCATTGAATACATTCTTCGACAATAATTGTTTAAATTTATTTTCCCGTTTTCCATACGTTGTTCCCGGTTGTAAATCGGAGCGAAATTGCTGGTAGAAAATTAGTCGTCCACGGGAAAAATAAAAATAAAAATAAAAAACATCACTGTAAAACACTTGTTTACCGTTCTGACATTTTTTCTGACACTAGTCGCTTGCGCAACGACGTAGGCATAAGCGCAACCCAATTGCGGAGAAGGGGGGGGGGTGTTTTCGGTTTTCGGACGCCCTCCTTCATCCGCGTTTAAGTAATATAAATTTATTAGAACGCGTTAAAAACCGCGATGTAGACATGCGATACTTTCCTTCAAAAAATCTCGGTCGCGCCACTGGACGTGTACTACTATTTAATAGTAGAAGGACAGAAAGAGATTATAACCGTTGATTAAACATACGTTGTGTATTGTATATTTTATGTATATTTAATCAATGATTATACCTACGGTGTATTTTATCGTGTCCACGAGCGCAAATTGTTTACAGACTTTCAGTTTTTCAACCGACGGAACCGCTACATTTTTCAGGCACACGCAAGACACAACAAAAAAAAAAAAACCGTTCATTTTAAAATTCAAACATACATAAAGTATAGGTAATATCAATTTATTTGATTGCCAACCGAATGCTTTCAAAAACATTGTCTGTACGAATTTCTGCGCTTCCGAATACGTGTGTATTAGGTATTACGCGGCTGAAGTACAGCCAGGTCATTTGTAAATACGTACGCTTTTATTTTTCGAACGCAACATCCATTATGAATTGTTTATGCGCAAATAACGTACGATATTTTGGCACAGATAAGCGCAGACGACGCGCAAATGATAAATTCTCGAACGCAGCGTTCATTTTTTCCCCCCCCCTTTTTCGGTTTCGCGCATACCTTTGCGCGTGCACCGAGAAAGTATTTCCATTCATCTCGAGTACACATTTTATGACGTATATATTATCTTATAGACTGTTGAAGTGCTCTTGGACTTTTCGGAATAAATTCCTCGCATAAGAAGTGCAATTCGACGAGGTTCGTTCGACAATATACTAGCCGACCCGGCAACGCATTGCTATAATGCTGTAGAAAATAGTGTAAATAATAGCAATGACAATAGTTTTCTCGTCCGTGACGGCCCCACATTGTCATCCGTGCCGTCAAGGTAACCCACGAACATACAAAAAAATAAATAACTAAACGATTGGATGTTCAAACACCGAAAGTACCTGAAAACCTAATTATTGACATTTTCGTGCACGGATCTCCGGTCATTTCGAAAATGATATCCGGCCCGCGTAACTCGCCGATAACGCAGCTATCTTTAGGCGAGAGGAGTTTTGAAATCGATTAAGCGGTTCTTGAGCATTACAAACGCACGGACGTGTCTTTCTCTCTTCGTAATGTTACAATGTAATACGCAGATGTACGAATGCGTTTTTTCAAAGTTATTTGCCGCCGCGCGTGAACGTTGATTCTCGGTTTTGTGCGATCGGCGCTAACGCCGATTTTACATCATTTACGTGTACACCGTCAATATTCCGGATTAAAAATATTAACGATATTATAATGCGCAAACTCCGGGGCACCGTTGTTGTAGTAGTAGTAGTAGTAGTAGTAGTAGTAGTAGTAGTAGTTGTCGTAAACTATGATAGTAATAATAACAACAATAACAATAATATAAGGGAGGGTAGAAAAACGACCATTTATGCATTATATGAATTAAGTTGTCGGTGTTTATGAAATAAACGAACCCCTGCGGGGCGTAATATATCGTTGACAGTTTAGTTGAACATGCTGCAGGGCTACTGAGACCGTTAATATAAGTGTTAAAAATGAACAATGATCTTCCCCGTGCACGCGGACGCCGCTGCAGTTTTACGAAAATGAATATAAAAACATCCCATCGCGATTAATATTCATCACGGTCGACCGGAATCGCGCGTAACAATCATCTAAACAACTGTGGAAAATATTATAAGGTTTGAAATCGGCGAGGAAACGACGAACTGTAATCGTGTAAAATCCACGCACGCACACACGCACACACACACACACACACACAACGTAAACGTTTATTTATAAATTTCCAATGGATTATCAAAATTGGACGTCGAGAATCTATAATAATACGCATTGAGCGCAATATTGATATAAAACGAGTAAATCATACGAGACTTCATTGGTATAATGATGTATTGTTGTAGGTACCGGGGGACGGGTGTACCGCCGTTGTACGTGGGGTGTTGGGAGGGTACGTTATGTACGTCTATTCGATTTACATCTGTAAACAATCATTAACCGTCGGTAACGAAAACGATTTGAAACGAAGTTTAGTTACGTATGTTTTCGAAAAGCAATAATATCTATAATTTTCGTCAAAATTCGATATTAAAACGCTTATTAAAAAAAACCAAAACTACTACATTGCACACAACTTTTTTTTTTTTTTTTTACCACCAAGTACGACCTGTGACGAACCTCATGCAAAACGTTCAAGCTTTTCTGCGTAGTCAAACTTAATTATCCACACAAATGACGTAAAGAACCGCAAAATTAAAATGTCCATAAATAGAACAAAAATGGTCATTCCAATTGTCAAAAGGCAACAATAAGTTTTCTGTCAACATTTCAGGTCCAAACGAATATTTTTAACCGAATGATAACGAAAAAACCACAAATTTAAAATTATAAAAGTATTGTTTTCGTAAATTCTCCCGTTCTTTCTCGGGTTCGCTCAACTATTAAACAAAACTATAGGAGATATCAAAAAACGACTTACTTACTCACCAATGAGATTAAAAATGCGACAAAACAGATCACCTGTCGTTTTTGTGTTTTTTTTTTTTTTTATTGGAACAATATTTCTAGTAAAAAACTTAATGTGTAAACATTTAAAACAACGAAATCATCAATGCATTCACATTTTTCGTCTTATTCGGCTTTTACGCAATTACACGCGCCGACTCCAGAGACATTCGCCTTTCGAAAATGACGCTACACTGGATTTATCGGAGCAAGTTTTCTTTTTGAAAAATCGCTTACAGACCGGGAACGAAACGCGGACCATAGTGCAACCGACCGGTCCGTCACTCCGCGTCGAAACGGAAAACACGTTGAAGCGGTCCAACGGATAATCGTTACGTGCCGTGGCCAGATTGGGCGAGCGCGCGCGAACCCGCGGTCGTCGTGAAGCGCCGTTGGCCCGGTGTTATTGAATCCGGCCGATTAAAGTGATGACGGTGGAATCACGTCGTGAACGCCGTCTGGTCTGTGACGCCGAACACGCGTCGTTGACAACGGACAACGTTGTGTGTCAACGGGTTATGCGGTGACGTCTTTCTCGCGTTCGGACGGTATCGATTTGTGGATAATCGCTGCCGGCGGCCGTGGGTGCCGGAACGCGAACGTTCGCGGGTAACCGTGCAACGGGCCGCGGGTCGGATGTCGGGCACGGCGGTCGGCGAAAACCGCCCGGTCCACACGGCGATAATTTAGCAAGCGCGTCAATATCGCCGGTCGGAGAGTTTGCGTGCGAGTGTAAACCGACGAAAACCGGAAATTCCGTAACGAACAAACGGCGTACCCCACACGCCCCCCCCCCCCCCTCCTCCCTCCCCTTCGTACGAGAACGTTTAAGAATCAGAGGTGAGCGTCGGCGTCATCGGAAAATCGGCCGTCGGTTTTTTTTCTATTTTTTTTTTTTTTTTTAAACCGATATCAGACCCGATATTTTTCAGAAAAAAGGTCCTCGATTTAATAAACGCGTTACCGACTTCAATAAACAATATAACATATAACATAATATACAAATTATACCGGCGAAAATCGGATTTTTTTTTTGTTTAACGCATCGGACGATTTCGATGAATATCGGCTAATGGTCGCGAAAAAAAAAATAAAATAAAAATATCGGGGGATCGATTGTCGGTTTTATATCGGCGGAAAACATTTGAACATCGGGTGTCGGAAAAAAGTCGTGCCGGCTCGTCGCCAGTACAGTCACACGTTAGACGTAGGAACCGAAAAAAAATATTCAGTTTATGTTAATTTGTTACGTGTCCCCGACGAAATCAATCACACCGACGCCCGCCCCCCCCAATCACAATTGTTTTACGATTTCCGTTTCGTGTTAATTGGCTGACGGATGTAATCGCCTAATACTGTTGAGGGGATCGGACCGGACGCGACGATGTTCCGCGGGGCAAATAACAATAATTAGGGTGCCGCGGGTCGCGTGCCGTCAAGTGCCCGGGACGCGTGCCGGACACGAAAAATGGCGCGCACACACGCGCATTCGAGTATCTTATTACGCGCTTGTTTAGCACGGTGACGCCGGGCGTGCTTACCGCGCGGCCCAAAAGAGTCGGGGAAAAACAAAAAAAAAGCAAAGCAAAGCACGGCGGGGAGAGCGGCGCGCGCGATAACGTCGGCCCGGTGGCACAAATTGAGACGTCGCGTCACGCGCCGCGGCAATTTTCCTTTCGGTCGGACACCGACGGTGCCAAAGGCGGCCGCGGGTTCGGATTACGCGATTCGATGCGCTCGCGATAGTATTGTCGTTGTTTGCTGTTGTTGCAGTTGCCGCCGTTATTGTTATCGATGTCCGACGGCCGCGCGTACAGCGACGTAACGAACAAATATTATTACAATACGGCGCTCCGCGTTGTAAAAGTGTGGGAAAATCGCGTTCCCGAGCGCGTTCGCTCGACGGGGGCGTACCCCCTACCCCCCCCCCCCCCGGACTGTTGTTATTACTGCGGCGTCGAGAGCGAAAACCGTTTTCCGATGGGTAACGAAAACGATAACACGTTTGCCCACGATTTTCCGTCCGCATGGTATATAAGCGGTACGCTGTATCGGCGGCGTAGCGAGGGGCCCGGGGGTATTTCGGTGTTCGGAAAACCTCTTCGCCGCCCCATTTGGCTATATCCATGCCGAAAATTGTAGTTTTTGCCAACTAGGCATGTGCAGTTACGCATCAGATTAATAATTCCAATTAACTATAATGTTACGCGCGCGCAATAAAGTTACAAGGTTACGTCTAAAGACAAAATAAAAACACCCCTCCCCTCCCTCCCCCCCCCTTACGAAAATCCCTGCTACGACACCGTGCCGTGTTATTTATAGTCCAACGCGTTTTTTTACTGAAAATCGCCCACACGTTCCGGGCCACTACCGCGTACATTTGCGTTCGGCAAAAAGACGCGAGTCGTATTTTAGGTCAGCCTGTTTAGCGATCTAGCCGTTTCACAATCGTTTCGTTTCTGTAGATTTCGTTATGTAACCCGTATACATTGAAAACTATTTGGAAATCAACTACACAAAGTCCTTGTCTCCCGGGTCCGATGTAGCGATGCGAGATTCGTTATCGTCGTCCTCGGGTGAGAATTCGGACCATAATATACACAAGTATATCGTACGTGTAAAAACCGCGATGGATACGAATTCGGTTTTTTAAACGATTCTACGATGAACGTTCACTATTAACGTGTATACTCACCTAAATACGAAAAACCGTTCGAAACAAGTCGCGGTTCTGAATGATCAGAGTGTTCGCTTAAACCCGATACTTCGATCGTTCACTCATATAATTTGAAACTTCCATTCGACACATAATCATAATCCGATCGAATTAAAAATACGTGATATTATTTGTACAGATACCGCTTTGCGCGTTTCATATTTAAATGGAACGAATACAAACGAACGGGGTTTTGGCTACAAGGCAAACGCAAATTTGAACTGTAAAATGTATTTTTGTAGAAAAATCGCGCGCTACATTATACGCGTATTGTATATTATTGAGCGTATTAAGTGTATACCCGGTTGTTTTTTTTTTTTTTTTTTTTTTTAGACTCCCAGCCCCGGCGTATTTCCTACACAATTTATGTAACAAAGGAAATCGTATTACAATTCGATTTTCGACGAACAACGTACGATATACATTTATATTTTCTGTCATGTCGTTATCGACGATACATTTTTTTTTTTTTTTTTTTATTACATTACCGAATATACATTTTACCGTATCCTATAAATATATATATATATACATATTTGTATATATTATTGTATTAGCCTTCGTAGTAACGTAAACGTACATCCGCGTATAGTGTTTTTTCGTACGTTGAACGGCGAAAATACAACTTACTTGGACTCGGGCTTCGGTAAGCTCTATGTGTTTGGCGATCTCTTCTCTGGTGTATATGTCGGGATAATGCGTTTCCTGAAACGCTCTTTCCAATTCCTTCAGCTGCGCCGAAGTAAAAGTCGTCCGTATTCTCCTTTGTTTCCTTTTTTCCGTAAGAATACTATCGTGAGTCGTATACGGAAGACTTTTGTACGCCGCCAGTCCGCCTATAATAACAATAATAATAATAATAATAATACAATAATGTATTTAAAGTTATTCGTCAAATACATCACTATAAATTATTATTGTGTTGGGCGTACGAAATAACGAAACAATCGTTTCGTATTATTTTGATTTAAACATTTTTTATCGTATAATTTTGTATTATCTGTTGGTGCGATAATATTGTTTTTTTGGAGTGATATATCGTATGGTCTGTATTATGTGCACCTATCCAGGGTGTCCTATAACAGCGTTATATCTTTATGCTAATAATTCTGCCGATATCCATTTTTTTTATTTTTTTTCAATCGGGTTTTTCGCGAGAGGGGACACATACGTAGAAATAAATTATATTTCCGTCGCGTAGTTATTGAAATAAATAACGTTTTATTTTATCACCGAATTTTCGAAATAACCGTTTTGTAAAATGATTAAAATAAAAATTCGATTTTTCTCTACACATAATGACGAGTCGCCCTCGCGCGAAACGAAACCCAATTGAAAAAAAAAAAAAATGAATATTGACAAAGTTATTAGCATAAGGATAACACCGCAGAACACCTTGTTTAACAGGAATGATTTTTCCGTTTTCGTTTTTGTTTAGCACCGTGTGTCGGTCTCGGTGACTGGCGAGTACTAACGAACGGCAATTAATTATTCAAAGGGGCGAAACAAGAACGGTCCCGGGAAAACCTATAGGTTGCAGTAAAATATACGCACACAGAGAATACAGAAACAGGAATAGTAAACTTTGAAATCCGTGTAATCGTTTCGAAGTTTAAAATTTGTCACTATACGTGTTCTTCCCCCTCCCCCGCCCCCGGACCCGTCCATTCATACGCGTCACACTATAAAAGCTAAATGTATCGTTTGACAATGTGCTACGTGTCCACATGTAAATGATCGCGAAAATATTGTAACGTACAATGAAATAATAAAGTTAAAACAAAATCATTAACAAACGGTTAATACCCGTGAATAAATAATATATATAGATATGCAATAAAAAATAAACGGATGAATGAATACGCCGCCCGGAGTATTATACATGATAAGTGCATTACCGTCGAGCGTGTTACATTTTGACCGCGACGTACCCGAATTAGTGAATTTTTCATTCGAGACCGGCCGTGTAATACACTTATCCGCGCAACACTCCAGGCGCACGCATTCATTCGTTAATTTATTCGTTTTCCTATTTGTACGCGTAGTACAATTTTTATTTGTATTACAATCGTTATTATGTTGTTAACGAAAAAATCTAAAAACGCGTCCGTATAAATTACAAACTTTTGTTGTTGTTGTTGTTGTATTATAGGTACGCGTGTGCGAATATAATTACTTAACGTTACGGTATGATTGCATAATATCGTGTATGGATTAGCGGCTGTATTAACCGGAGTGCAGCGGATATTATAATTTATTGTAATAAATCGACGCGGGGGATATTACGTTCTCGACGCGTCAAAACGGTAATTCGTTTTGATATTAACAATGAAAAACTATAGCAATATTTCGTTTTTATTTTTATTTTTTTTTATTTTTTTTTTTTTACTAAAAACGTGTATAAATATAATATAATACATGTAGATTTTTTTTTTTTTTTTTCATCTTGTACGCGTGTTTATATTCTTTCCTCGTCGTTCCGCGCGCTGGAAGTTTTCTCCGCGAGTTTCTTAATGATTTATCGTCAAACCGCGTGGGCGACGCCTACACGCACGCCGCGGAGCGCGGTTAAAACGAAGTGGCGGGTGAACATAAAAAGAAAAAAAAAAAAAACCCGAACCCCGAAACGAAAAACAAGTGTATGCGCGCTACATTTTCGTAAATAAATACGAAATAAAAAAACAAGACCGGAAACTCTTAGCGCGACCGTAAAAAATTAAGACGTACGTCGCGCCGCGGGTGCGCCATTGCTGCAGTAGCGCGCGACGAATTTCGGAGGAGCACCACCTACAGGCGATGTACAGGGTAGACGATTTAGTTTATGACGATAAATCGTTGCGAGATCAAAAAAAATAAAAAAATAAACCAGAGTGTGAGCGAGGTATGCACAGTGTTATTGGTATTATCAGTGGCGTTTTTTCCGTGCCTGCAACACATAAATCGGCGCGAATAAAACCGGCGGCGTATCGAACGTTTCTACGGGCAAACTGTCGGCAATTCGGAGACTGTATCCCGGTAACGTAATTCGGGCGTAATTTCGAGGGTCACAAAAATTACTCGGGATGCAAAAACCCCCAACGTTATTTAAACAAATAACGTTTTTTTTTTTAATACGATCCTATTTATTATTTATTGTTAATGTAAAACACGTTATAAATCTTAATAATTTTTCTTATCGCATAATCTTTTACAAATGGAATACGGAATTCAGAATTAGAAAATATTGTAACTGTCTCACTGTAGTTGTTCTCTATTTTAAAGTATTTATAGTAACGGCTCGTGCATTTATTGGTTATTTCAATTTTTCTTTAAGTATATATTTTTACTTTTTAATACTTAATAACTAAAACATTCCATAACTTGTACAAAAAAAAAAAAATTATAATACATAGTAGTAAATCGAATATGGAATAAGTAAAAACCGACGAAAGAAAAGTTTAAATCTAAAAATCTGTTCGTTTTTATTTAAGTTCTTATGATAGTAAATCGTAATCAATTTCAATTTCAATTTACGGAGTATTGTTCATAATATATAATTTTCGAACAGGTTTATTTTCATAATTAAACAATTAAATAATTACTTATATATTTTAATTTTTTTTTTTTTCTAACGAAAAACCATAAGTACAGAAATATCAGGGGTTGCAAATTATTACTTTTTCGACCCCTTGCGACCATCTAATTACGCCACTGTTGTTTCCGAACAAACATTACACCGTTGTGCGAAAAATCGGACGTCTTTTACGATACACGATTCCGATAATTCGGATCGTAAAAAACGTTTTCCGATGGGTGGATAGGGCAAGGGGGACGCGTCTTAATAAAACTCGAATTGAATCACGTAAAAGACGATCGGGAAAGCGCATTGTAAATATTACATTCTGCGCGAGTGCATAGGCTCAACTAGACCGCCAACCTTGGGGGTGCTGAAATTATGAACACGGAGGCGATACCCGCACAATCCGCTTTACACGATGCTCGCAATAAGCGAATACGCGTTTTTTTACGATTTTTTTTATATACAAGTGAATCGAAACCTTTTCAACTTTATTTTTCGTACACGCACGATACATTGTCAATAGGTAATTTGTGTTTTGTTTCGCTCGTTAGTTACGAAACACACGGATAAAACATTTAGTCTATACTATTAAACAGCTTATTGGGTATTTGGGGGCGGCGGCGGGGNGGGGGGGGGGGGGGGGGGGGGGGGGGTTCTGTGGACCCTCTTGTGTGTGTGTGTGTGTATAATTAGTGATGTGCACGCGTACTATTGTACGACGTGGTACACGCGCGGGGCGGAAATGACGTTCGCGGTAACCGCGCGCACCACCGGAAGTGGTACACGATATAAGCCGCGAGGCGAGCGAGGAGGCGCGGCGCGAGCTCCGGTAAAAACGGTTCGTGTTCCGAATACCACCGCCGCCGTCGCCGCCGCCGCCATTTTCACTCCGGTCTTCTCTCCGCGGGTCCATATTGATCGGAATTTCCCCGGGCGGCCGCGGTCGGTATAACACACGGGCACGCCGATGGCCGTCGCGTTCGTCCCGCGCGCGCGTGATCACGCTCGTGTATGTGCGCGTGCACGTGTCACGATGCGTGCGTGTACGCCTCTCGCATGATACGCGGCGCACGCGGTGATGTTTCGCGCACGACGTTCGCGCGGCCGCTCGCTGCGGCGCGCACGACGCAGACACGCGGACGTGCGTCGCGCGCGCGAGTTCGGCGGACGTGCGGCCGGTCGCCGTCGACCCTGTGCCATCCCGCGCGCGCTATGACGAACGGACTCCTCGCGAGGTACGCCAACTGCGCCGCCCCGCGCCCCCGTCCCGTCCCGCGCATTTCGCCGCTTAACGCGTACATTATAATACATACATGCATACGTAAATATGTACATACATACATACATACATATATGTACATACATACGTAAATATGTATATATTTATAGGCGTTTACAATATAATATACACCATAGGTGACACGGCGACGGCGACGGCGATGTAAATAATATGTACAACGTTGTTTATACTGTCGCGCGCTAGTTTTTAATCCCATTAACCGAGAGATGCGCTCGCCGGGCGCTGCAGGGGTGACGGTGTTTTTTTTTTTTTTTTTAATAGACGCATCGCCATTTTTTACGATCTTTCTTTATTACATTGCACTACCCTCATTATCGGCGAGCGGGGGTTGGGCAACGAATAAAGTGGAAAACTCGATTCAGGTGCCTCCGGCGTGCGGAGAAAGCGGGGTTGACGTTTCGGAAAGGAGGGGGTGGGGGTGGGGGGGTCAGAAAATTGTATTTCCGAAACGCACGACAGTAACACTCGCGATTACGCGTCGTACCCGCCCCGTCGCGACAACCGCACGCCCGCGGATTTCCGAATTCCGCTGGCGGCGATAATATAATGCGACTAGGCGGCTGTTTTCGGATGTTCGCGAACACGAAAAACCACACGCGAAACAACAACGTGATGTTACGCTGCGTCGAGGACTCAAGAGGAAAAACCTTTTGAGGGGTGTTTTTTTTTTTAAAACCGGTTATTGAAAACCAGAACTAATTTTTTTAATAAACATACCAAAGGTTTGGTCGGGTCAGGTTACACTGATAATTTCAGGAAAGATAAAGAAACGTTTGTATACCATCTTGATACAACCTGTATTATTGTACACCTGAACAATAAGGAAATCAGATGAAAACAATGCCTGGTGCTAGAGAGAAAATACTAGGGAAAAGACCTTTAGAAAGACCAAAATTGGAATGGGAGGATACAGTTAGGAAGGACGTGGAAGGATCTGACAGTGGATAGGAATGATTGGAGAATTGATTGTGAGATAAGATGGTCTTATAATGGCCGAATAACCCCCCTCCCCAAAAATATAAACCATTTCGGGGTGGGGGTAGGTACTATCACTCACTTTGGGTGGTAGAACCTAACCCAAAACACCCCTTGCGTACGCGCAGTGCGTGATTTTTATACAGTACCGTTACGCTATGGGGTAGTTTGGACAAAAAAAAAACACCAAAATCGAACGTGTATTCAAAATCTTTTCGGAAAAATCTCCGATCCGTAACAATAATAATAATCACCGTGTATGATGGCTGTATAAATATATTATGGACTCGGGATATTATCGCACGCAGACCCGAATAAAACCAACGAAACACACGTAGCGGAGTTTTTTTATTTTTTTTACACGTTACATTTTACGAACGTGTTTTCGGAACGGAATATTGCCGTATATACGTTAACGGCCATCGCAGTCAGTCTCTGAGTCATAAAATGTCGCTCGTTCAAAAAAAATTCGATCACAAACCTTTTTTTTTTTTTTTACTCTACGTACTGCGTATATCATACGAGATCATAAACATTTTTCAACGGCCGTATAATATAGTAAAGGAGATAAGAAAACGACAATTGCAGAGGGGAGAGAGACGCGCTCGGTGGAAACAAATACTATGGCTCGACGATAAAAAAAAAAAAACGAAAAAAATTATTCTTTTTTTGGGAAAAGGTTTCTGGGAAGACCATGGGTTAAATGAAGAGGGACTACATTAAAAGAGATGCAATGTAAATCTACGTAGTGAATCCGTTAATGGATTATGAATAGGATTCTACAATTTTTCATGTAACATATTATATTCATATCCGATCAATAGTTCCTTAGTAATAGCCGTTTTAATTTACAGAAGTTGGCGTAAAAAAGATAAGAAATCACAATCAGCACGGTAACTCCTTAACTTATATTTTCAAAAAGTAGGAAAAATAAAAAGTTATTTTTTCAGTAATTAGGGAATGAAAATACATATTTAATTTGTCTCTACATGTCTGACACATGTGTCTCCGTCGCACAAAACCCGATTGAAAAAAAAAATATATTGATAGAGCTGTTAACATAAGGACAACACTGTAGAACAACACTCGGTAAATTATCAATGTTTGCTGTCGGGTACATAAATTAAGTTTCTATAAGTTAATTGTTTTAGATTCTGAGAGGAACGAATAGTGTAGCTTCACTAAAACGTGTTTAAAAAATGCACCAAAATTTCTGTATGCACACCGTCCAGTGGTATTTTATTTCAAGCGTTTATATAGATTCCCTGAAGTATATCTAAAAAACGTAAAAACCAAAAAAATACAAGGACACCGACTATAGTGTATGATATTTTTTTTATTTTTTTTTTTTTTGCGGTCGATTTCTGATTTCCCATGGTGATTTGCCATTCCACCGATAAGAAAGAAAACATTTACAAATTTATATTTATTTCATACAATATTAATTTAAAATCTATTTTAGCTCCAATCATAATCGTTTTTTGTTTGCTACAGTAATATAAATTAGACCACATCAATGTAAACATTATATTTTACCTACCAACCTTCCCGCCCAAATCAACGGCTTACCCACGACGCGAAGTACGTGTGTCTGGCTGTTTAAGTTTTCATTCGTAAAGGCCGCGGTGCCCTATTTCAGATCAAACTCAGTCGCGATGTTCGGCTATAAATACTGCTATGGGAAACGTGAATAAAAAATTAACACTATGGTCCTCCCATCGATAACCGATTTAAATAATAATTATGTTAAACACGTTTCTATAGAAAAAAAAACAATGGAAAAATACGCGCAAATATTACAAGAGTGAAAAACTGTTACAAAAGCGAACAATATTAAACCGATGTGTTTTACGTGTGCGACTTGGCTATTAAATAAATCAACGAAAACGATTATCGCAATAAAAAATTATAAATCGGTATACCGTTTTTGGAACCGTGCTGTTGTGTAGTAATTGCGCGTAATAATTTCTATAGCAGTTTGATCGGGAAACGGTATAAAAAACAAGAAAAATATATTCTCTTATCGTATTCATAAACGAAAAAAAAATTTAAAAAAAAAAAGCAAGCAGTAATAAAGGCAACGGGCACGTTGTTTAATTGGGTTATTTTCTCGTTTCGGTAATAACGTCGCGCGCGTTTCTAACTTCGCCGCAAAACATTAAATTATTTATAACGTCACTTGTAACGCGCGACGATCATTGTGTAAATGTCCCGGTTATTATATCGTTTTAATATAATATTAGAGACCTTTTTGTCGGTGTACCGCAAACGACGAATTAATTACCGTAAAAGTAATCGTTGCTTTTAACGTTTAAAAATGCAATTTATAATTATTATTGTTCTAGCGACAATTTTTATAAGCCTATAATAATTCTATGAGGCACGTTCGGTTTTTTGCGTATACTTTTTTCGGGTTTTACACCGTTTTTTTGCCGACGAGACGTAAAACAAATCTTTATTCCGTGACAACCGATACACCTTTTTCTGGTGCTTGGGTCAAAACGGTAAAGTGCGATTCCGTACGTTTTATCTTATAGGGAACACGATTCCGCACGACTTTTTTTGGACAATATTGCCGTTTATTATTTACTATTGTCATATCGTTTAATTTTCTTAAATAATATAACGTTATAAAAAAAAATTGTAGAACTCGGAAAAAGTAAAAATTAAAATTTTTTCAATTGAATTGGAAAAACAATTTTTTTACTAACTAACTCCAAACTACTATAAAATAAAATTAGTTTTTCACTTAACTTCTGAAGAAATAATAATAATCATGTTATGTAAATGTAGATTTGTTTGGATTTTTCAGGCAAGTAAAAATATACCACAGACATAAAAAAGTCATTTTGTGAACAATCAATTGTATAGAGCTGAATACAATATTTCGGCAAATTATTATTATTTTTTTTTTTTATTAATTTTGGGGAATTAAGAATAAAACACGTTTTCGGACCTTTTCGACATTGCAACTGTAATTTTTTCCAATAACATTGGTCTTCTCGAATCGCACGATGATAATTATTGAGATACGCCCTTTTTGACCCAAGTTCCAGATTTGTCCTTAAACACGTCTATAAATTATCATACCGTACACGTATATTGTTAAACACCGCACTTGAAAAGGGTTTAAATGAATAATACTCGTTTGTATTCGCGCAAACCGTCGGATAATTATTTTTAATTTAATATTGTTTATCGAATATTATTATCGAATTTCAGATACATACGTAAATATACAAACGTACGGGTACTAAGTTATCATATTATATTTTGTTATGGCAGTGTGAAATAAAAGCCTTCCCGGAAAATATAATTCAGGTAATGCGAGTTCGTGTTTTATGTATTAAAAATACGTCGTCTGCTACACCGTATATATACGAATAATATTCGTGCGGTTTTATAAAAATGAGAAAAGGATATTTTTCAGGGAGGAAAAAAAATCTATTTGTATAGGCTGTCATACGTACTTAACCAGCCAATTTCTCATAGTTCCCCCTTTTCGGGCCGGTCGTTTGTCTTCACACTTGTCTATCACGATGTCCGACCCCTTGTCAAAACTTCCCTCAACTGAAATACATCACAACTTATGTATTCTGTCAGAACTATTTCCCTAGAGAAACCTTATATTATATACGTATACATTACAGCACATATTATATACTCGTATATACGAAAAGTAACTATTAACTTTTTATGATGGTCAAAAAATTATTAACTCCGACGTTATTTGTACTATAAATCTAAAATATTATACATCCGCATTGCATGTTTATAATAATGTTATTTCGTGTTAATCATTATTCATCGTATATTTTTGATACCGTGATCAAATAAAATCCAATTACCTAATTATGATTTTCGAAAGTCGTATTATTATCAATTAAATAATACATAATAAATTAAAAAAAATATATATGTATATATAAATACATTTTCGACTTAAAACGTTCATAATTATCAAATTTTTTATAAGATTAAGAGACTGTTGTCCTGTGTTATACATCAATATATTATAATGTATTTTTTATATTTTTCTCGCCACATTCGGATACTTTCCGCGGCTTTTACAGGAGACCTTAATCTCAGGAATAAGAGTTATTTATAATATAGAATTGAAGTCATAAAATTCGGATTGAATTTCGATATGAATTTCACCGTGTTGTTGCAAGAATGAGACGTTTTTTAAGCTCTTAACACCCTTACAGGGCCCCTCCTCGAAAATTAAATCAAAAAGATGACATTTTGTTTATTCAAGACTCATACGACGAGATTGGAGAGTTATGTCAAGAATATGCAGTAGATGGAATTTCAACTTACAACATCTAATCCAACAATTTTTACGCTCAGATTTCACAATTTTTTCAAAAATAGTATAGTTATAGAATTATTGTAGCATTTTTTTATTTTTTGTTTTATAAAGAATATTTCTATAATACAAAATATGTAGGGAAGACTTCGACTCATGTGACGGAGGGATCTGCAACTCGCGGTGTGTTTTTTTTTTAATATTATGGTCGTACAAGACTGTAATAATTTTTCATAGAACATAATATATTTATCGTAATGCGGCATTATACATATTTATATTAAATATATTTTTTAAACACATTTTTTTAATATATTGTTCATATAAATCAAAGCTAAAAAAAAAAAAAATAGGTCCTTCATGTTGTGCATTGAAATAAAAAAAAAAAAACCAAATAATAAAAAGTAAAAACTTCATGTATAATAGTGTACATAAAAAGAAGTCGAGCGAATAAAGTGATATGAAATATTATGTACCGATTCTAACAAACATTAAGGGAAAAAAAACTACGAACGTAAAATTTAAAGGACATTTAAATATTAAATTTGAACTAAAATATTATCCTGTACGACCGCACAATAAAACCTTAACCTCTCGCCTGAATTAATTTTAAGAAAATATAATACATTTGTGTACAACATAGTATACGCAATATTAGTCGAAACTTAAAAACGTAAACCATACTATAATATTATGTGTATTACAATTTTAGCTAGCAAAGTAAAACTTCCAAACTTCCATATAACGGTCATCGAAAGGACCGCTATTTAGAGGTGGCCTATAGGACATTTATAGGTGTCCTACAAAAGCATACAACTTGACGGGACCAAGAAAAATGACCGATACATATAGGGGTGACGATTTTTTAGAGGTGACCGATATCGGAAATTTTACTGTAACCAAAAGCAATACACTGTCCTTTGCATTTTAGTTTTTTATGATTTTCTAAACTAAACTACCTACTTATATAAAATTGTATTTTCATTATTACGTAGAGTTATAATATTATAATTCTTTTAAATTTAATCGCAATGTATTGTAAGTACAAAATATTTTTGACTGAAACAAAATAAGAGGATTGAGTAAATATGAAACCTTTATAATGTAAACTCAATGCTTAAAATAATAATTTCGATAATATTTTTGTCAAAAATTTGAATTTGAATTCAAGGTAAAACGAAATGTAATAATAATTTATGCGAATATAATATTGACAAAATGTTAAGTTAGATTAGACTAACTCAATTAGAAATCAATTGCAATTCGTAGTTTGTATCTACATAAATATTATTTTAAGGTTTTATATACATCGAAAATTGTATTTATAGACTTAAAAATCTACATAATATATAATATGTATTTATTTATCTAATCTATCGAATTCTATACGAAAATATGTACGTATGAATCTATTAATCAATTATAATGTTTACATGTACATCACTACTTGATCATAATCTATAATTTGTATAAATTTTTTTTTTTTTTCCAATAGTTAAAAACATTAATATTCAGTAATACAGTTTTTAGTTTAGCCTATTTATTCTTAATTCAATTAGCATAGTTTTATAAATCGCATAATTATAAACCAAATCTGATACTGGAGCTGCAACTGTGGTAAGTGAAAATATATATCTATACACGAGGATAAATCATTGCTAATGAAAAACGATTCTGACCGAAATTTGGTTAGACGTGTTTTGAAATTTCGTAATTTTTATGGTTTTTATAAAAATTTAAATTTAAAACGATTATAAATAAACAACTTCATTAGGCTCAATTTTTTTTACCACTAAATACAACTATATACGTATTGTACATAAAAAATAATAAGCTTTAAGTTAAATTTTCGCACATATCCGTTCAGCCGAATAGTTTTATCCCCATAAAATCCAATAAAAACTAAAAAAAAAGTACGAAAATATCAAACACCTTAAAGATCAAAAATTACCACGTTGTTTTAAAATCACACCTAGAAAATATTAACATAAATTTTCTGAACAAATCGTTTATCTTTACGATTATTTTTAATTAATTAACAAAAAAAAAATATCGAAAATAATGAAATCTATAATTCCGTAAACTTTCCCAATTCTCAAACGTTCTATGTCGGTTTTGCAGTTATTAAGAAAATTACAAATGAAATCGAAAAACGGATTGCTTACACATTAACGAGATAAAAATTTCTTTCGGAAAAAATGATACTTTTGAAATTCGTAGGAAGATTTGTAGTAGAAAAATAAAACATAAAAATTTGAAAAAAATGAAACTTTAGTGTCATAAATCAATCAGTTTTGTTTATACAATTTTCCTGGCTTTTCCCGATTAACATGAAAACCACTTGAAAAATAAAAAAATTGCATCTTAAAGCGTCAATTAGATTCAAAAAAAAAACTGTTATAAAAAAGGTCGCTGATCACTTTTAAAATAAAGTAAGATTTTTGAAAGAAAAATTGTACACATTAGACATAAAAAGTACTACACGCCACAATTAAACAAATACATTATTCGCCATACTCAGAGCTCAGACATAATAACATGATGCTCGGCTTTTTTATTTTTACCACTATGTACAATTTATGATTAACCTTTTGTTAAATTTTCAAGTAATTTTGCAAAGTCAAAACAGTATGACGTTTTGTCAAATAGCTACTAATTGCTAAAAAATAGTCGAAATATTTTAAAAATATTTAGTCTTTACATTTATGTCTAACCAACTTACAACAAAAAAAAGCAATACCCAAAATAATAGGAAATGTTATAATTTATATTTTCCCTGCATTTTCCCCATTTATTAAGAAAATTACAAGAAAAATTAACACTCTCCAATACCCTAACTAGGTAACATTTGCAATTGGAAAAAATTGTACACTTGATGATCGAGGCAAAATCCGAAAATTACTAGTAGACAACAAATAAATAACACACAGTAAAAGCATAAGTGTAAGCACATTTATTCAAATATTTTTGGAGCTCATATCCCCATAATATTGATTGTGTATACATAATATTCACTTTATAAGGACTTAGTGATATGGAGGGGCTTAACTCCCCAGACTTCCCCACCCTATTTGTACCAATGAAGTAAAACCAATATAATATCACTCAAAGAATCTAAAATTAGCGGTAACTTATGTTAGTTTAACAACACAAATTATACAAATTTTTTTATCATATTATATTAATGTAATTAAAAATTTAATAGGACGAAATCGGTAGATTTAGTTTTTAAATTTTAACATAAATTAATTAGGATTTTGCGTTGAATAAGAATATATAATACACGTTTTGAAATAATGATGAATTTTCGGTATAAATATTTTTGTGGGAGAACGGTTAACTGCAACAGACATTAAATGTTCTAAAAATATCCCATGTCTTATGCGACTACGTTACAAATATATAATATATTATGGAACGCAGATAATCTTAGAGAATTTATAAATTGTGAATTTATCAATAATTTAAAATGTCGTGTAATAGGAAAAAATATAATATAGGTATCAATGTTTAGATAAAAAATACATTTATGTACACTTGATGTGTTATAGGAGTTTATATTAAATAAATCCTGATGTTTTTATTATCTAAGGAGTACGGACGGTAAACAATAAATAACAACCCTACTCTCTAAATATTACCGCCATCGTAGGTATAGTACAACCCGAAACGTTTGAATTATGATATTTTGAATTCAAAATATAAATTTAGTTTAATTTCGATTGGTTTTTTCGAAATTCAACATTTTTAGCCGGTGTATTTTTGTAAAACAAATATAAAAAAAACGGTCGGTACAAGTAAGTTACGAGCGATTTTCTGAACTTACCCGGCAAGTTCATCGCCGTCGAAAACATGGTCGGCCGTCCGGGGTGATGGTCCTGGTGATGGCCGTGATGGTGTCCGCGGGCGGCCGCGGCCACGGACGTGGCGGTGGATCCGTTGTGGCCGTTCCCGGATACGGCGGCCGCGGCGGCTGCGGCCGCCGACAAGTGGTGGCCCATGGCCGTGTTATACGACCGGGCGGCCATGGACGCGGTGGGACCGAACCGGTAAGCGGCGTGGGTCATCTGACCGCACGCGGCCAGGTCGCCGTATCCCATGGCCGCGTGGTCCATGTTCGATGCGGCCGAGGTGCCGGTCAGACCGTCGAAGTTGGCTTGGTTCAGGTACGAGTAGTCCATGACGTTCTGCTGTGATCGCGTTATCTCGTACCGTTATCTCATCGGACGGCGCACGTGTACGGTATCGGAATAAATAGTAAATCGCCTGACGTTGTCCCGCGGTCGACGGGTAATTATTATTTACAACGTTATACTGTTGTTGTTATGTTATTGCGGTCGCGCGGTTAACCGAATATCGCCGACGAAAACAGACCGCGGCGGTAATCGAATCAAATACGTCTCGCGCCGCGTACCGTTATCGAATTATCGTCGCGCGCGTGTTATGATCGTCTCGGCGGCGGCGGCGGCGGCGGTGTTTTACCGGGTCTTCGAACGAGAAACGTTTAATTGCGTATGACGCGATTCGCCGGCAGTTTTAATTATATTACCTATTATAACGGAATCTGTTCCAGGGGTGTATTTCCGTACGACGATAATATCTCGCGCACAAACCTGCGGGTCGCGTGGCGGCCGGGAAAGACGATCGCTTTGGCGGAAAAGACGGTTAAGGCCAGCGTACAAATAATAAAAAAAAAAATACGAAAAAAAAAACTTGACTCGAAAGGAAACTGGTACGGCTCTTACACGTCATACACTCTCGAGTCTCGAGAGTTGTCGCGTATAACGCGGCGCGCGGTGGCGCGAGTGACGGTGTGACGGCGGTGGCGGTGGTAGACAGGACAAGACAGGACAGGAGAGGACGACGACGACGACGACGACGACGACGACGACGACGAAGACGACGGCAGCGGCGGCGGCGGCGGCGGCGGCGGCGGCGACGGCGACGATGATGATTATGGTGCAGGCGCGCGCGCGGCGGTATATACGGTACGACGGTGTCGTCGGTTCCAAATCAAATGATGGCCCTGCGTAATTCAATAACTGGCCGCCGCGTAGAAAAGTGCGAATAACCCACCCCCTTTCCGGCGATGCCGCAGTGTGCCGCCACGGCCGGTCACCACCGCCACCGCCGCCGCGTTCCTACCCCTTGGGGTACTGCGGCGGCGGCCTTACGGCGGCCCCCGGGCTGGGCGGGGCGCGCCCGGCAGCCGCTCTCACCCCCCGCCGCGTACGTACAGCGCCATTGGCCCCGCGTGCGCGCAAGCACCCTCCACAGCCGCCCCGTCCGCCGACGCCCGCGAAGAGGAGTAAATGGCGCGCGTCGTATTTTTCCCGAACGCTCGCGCCGCCGGTTGACACCGTTGTCGCGCGGTATACCGACGCGCGCAAAACATATAATATAAAACTATTATTATTATTATTATTTTTATTATCATTATTATTGTTGTTGTATTACCGGACCCATTCTTGCGTTCGCGTCTACATAATATATTATATACGGACCTGTTATGTAAACGGTTTCTACATCCCTGTCTACGATCTACTCGCGTACGCGCGCATAAAATACATACACGCGCGTCAGACGCACAAACGACGTGCTAAATCCTAGGCGAATTGTCGATAAACAAAACCCTTCAGCCCGCGCGAATTCCGGTACATCTCGCTATGTGACTGTGCGGGCGTCTATGCGCGCGCGCGTCTGCGGATTATGGCGCGTATAATATGGTCGGACCCGTACCGGCTTGTCGTACGGAAGAAATCCGTCGGAAAGTCACCCGCTGCGACATTTCGTTGCCAGCGTTTATCGTATTGCGTGGACACAAGGTGGTTTCGGCGCGCGATAATCATCCGACAAGCGAAGAGTGTCTTTCTGTGCACGGCATATGAACAGAGATGCTGCAGAAATGAATATTTCGACGCGACATACTTTTTGACGCTTTTGGATGCAGGAATTCAAACACATAATAGATGTTGTCACGTACGCTCGTGAGCAAAGGAATGACTCTGGGAAATTGTACGACTATCGAATGACTGTAGAAACTTTTTAAGAAACTTTTCTCTAAGTGAGCGATAGTCCAGAGAGCGATTGGCCAGAAAGCAGAGATCCAGTGGAACCTGTATTTTAGCTGAAGACAGAAATACAGAATATAAATCACAATAAGAGAAATCTGACTTCGGCACGGTTTTGTTGTGCTTCGTACGCACCGCGCACCGGTTCTTTTTAGTTCTGAAGGTAATGAGAATGGTTTAGTTTTCACTCGTGTTGTTGCCAACTTGGATGCAATCTGCTTAATTACTGGCTTTAGATTTTTTTTTTTTTATTTTAAAATAAACCATACTACGTACAGAGAGCCAAGAAATACACAAATCTTTGCAAAGTAGTGTGCTTATTGCGTAGATATGTATTGGACAATGAGCATAAACGCAATTAGGGATAAATCTCTCAGAAATCAACAAAGATTACACAGAATGGCATTATCCGCTCAACAATTTGAACATATACGATAATGTAATGATTATCACTCAACACGTAAAACGCGTAGTATTTATAGTATTTAGGTAGGTACTTATAGTCGTTAAAAATTATTTAATGTTTAATTCGTAATTTAATAAAACTATACCTAGGTATTACGTATTCAGTTGTACATCTTATATAATATAGAGCACATACAAAACACGCGTACGACGAGTTTAGGAACGATGCACTTTAAAACTACTCAACCGATTATGATAAAATAATGGTCAATGTGTGTGATTCGGTCCAACTTAAACGATAGGATAGTTTTCAACGTTCCATACTCAACCCCGTGAATTTTTAGATATTTTTGAATCGAATATCTAATTGTTAATGTAATTTTGTTTATTTAATTTCGTCTATTCGTGGGTTTCCTTGGTGATACAAATGATAATTCGGTGGCCACGGACAATAAAACTACTGTTATTATTATTCACACTATATTATCTAGCAATAGCAAAGCACAGACCTTGCCGGGTCAGCTAGTAATAAATATATGGACGTATCTAAATATATTATAATCTCTATAAAACACGAAAAGAAAAAATAGAGATACCGTCGAATGTTGGGGAAAAAACGATAAATTGTGCAAACACTTCTTGGAATTTAAAATGATATTTGAAATGTATACAATACATATAATGTGTATACAGGAATCGTTCGGGAATAAACAAATGCTAAAACGTCGGACATGAACAAAATTGCACGAATACACACGGTCGTTATTTATCTTGGCGTTTCTGGTGTGTATATAGATTATAGATGCGTAGCCGAAAATAGTAGTAAACCGAAAAATATCACGTTATCTGTATTATTCTATTATCCGTTTATACAATTTTGCGCAATTTGATTTTTGTAATGTCCGTTTCGTATGCATAATTATGTGTTAACTCTTGAAATGTCATACAAATCAAGAAAAACTTTCAAAAATGCCAAATTTTAGTTCAGTTTTTCAATTCTATACAATACATATAACATATTAATATATTATATGAAATCAATTCCCCGCGCTTTTTAGAAAGTATTGTTTTTGAATGTCCAGAAAAAAAATACATATACTATGTACTTAAAAACAAAAATAAAAATAAACATTTGTTTGATAAATTTATTCCACATCCCGTCATAACGAGTGTTGGGACTACGCCACATAATATATTAATATATATATATACGTATATAATATATGTTCATATTATTTCGAAAATGTATAAAAATTTTACAAATAATTATATATAATTTACGTGTTTTAAATTTTAAATTCATAAATAAAATGTTATGGATAAGGTGGTTCTATACGTATAATTTGTTCGTGAAAACTTTTATATCTGTTATATATAAAACTGAAATCCTGTCTATTTGTCTACTGTCTGTTTGTTCCGCTCTACGGTTTTATCTTGACGAAATTGTGCAGCACACTTGACATTTGAAACAAGAGAATGATCACCGTCTACTTTTTACCCGGGAATTTAATCAATAAAGGGTGGCTGATAGAGGGTTTATGATATTTTTAGATCGAAAGTTGAATGTTTTTTTGTTGATTTATGAGTTACCTCGACAACACAGACAAAAAACGAATTACTATTGTTTAATTTAATTGTCACCGACAAGGATGAATGGTTTTAGGTTTATAAATATAAATTTAGAAAACCTTATATCCCAATTTTAGATTTCTAAGCCGAGATATGTGATATGTGCTGTGTAAGTATACGCGATAAAAAATAAATACATAAAACCGTATATCCCCGTCGCGTCCGTCCGTTCATATAATTACCGATACATTTAGGTTGTTTATTTGGTTTACTGGGTTTTATTTAGATAATTTGTATTATTGTTCGTAACGTTATTATTATTGATAATTTTAATACGAGTATTAAATATAAATACATTTAATTAGGTACCATTTGGAACGAGAATATGAGTAGATGTTTTAAGAATTTTAAAAATGTGTTGTCAAATAGGTATTCATACAAATCGAGATATTCAATTTATTTTTTTTACATACTATAATCATTGGTGTATACTATGCTAGGTTATCAAAATCTTTCAAAACGATGTAACGGATTGCATAGTTTATTGTTTGAAATGCGTTTAGAAACCGGGAACTCGCACGCTTACAGAGTGTGCTTTCCTAATTTGTTTAAAAGATAAATTACCGGGAAACAACGATTAATTACGATAGGGAAAAAGCGTTAAATTGAATTTCTCTTATTTATATCTGTTTTTAAAAGGATTGAACCGGGGAAATACCGGGGAATAATTCAGCTATAGTTTTTTTTTTTATTAATAATAATAAAAAATATTCATATGTTATTATATCAATAGGTTATATTTTGCAGGGTGTCCCACGAAGATATCCTCATTGTAATATCTCCGGAGATAATAAAGATAATCAAAGTCTGGTTTTTTTTTTTTATATATATTTCTCACGGGGATATAAGGACTAAAAATATTTATATTGCGACTGATTTTTTTTTTATGCTTTGATAAAAAACTTAAAAAATTCCTTTGTTATTTTATTATTTTTGAAAAATTTGAATACAGCTATTTTATAGAGTTTATTATTTTTCTGAAAATTTTAACGTATCAATTTTTATTTTCATTAAATTCGTGATTTTTAAAATTCAAAGAAAAATACTTATAATTACTTATAACCAGGCAGCAGGCT